AAATAAACACAGGACACATGCATGGACTAGTGCTGACAAATGCTGGTGCACAAAAGAAAAGTTATATGCGCCACTGTAGCAAATGCTACCTTTGAGCGATCCATTTTCGACAGTTTGGCTGGAGCTGACCTTTTCGGTAGTGTAGCTCATCTATTAAAACTGATGGTACCGCTTTAAATGTAAGGCTTTAAACAATAGTCTTTTTCCTTGATCTACGCCTTAAACGATAGTTCCTTCTTTTTGGTCTACACGTTGAAGAACAGTATAGATGATAAAGTAATGCAGATTCGATACATACGCCTCCCTTAGAGAATCTCCAAGACAGACGAAAAATAAGCTTATTTGTGTACAAGATACATAACATTATCTATGTGTGGTATTATTCGATGCGCATTTCAGTTCTGTACCAAGTTCCGTGGCTAATATAATTCTATTTGGAACTGTTCGACAACGTTTTTGCCTAAAGATCGTAAAATACAGAGTTTTTAAGTAAAATCATGAAGGGAGCGTATATTTGTAATTTAAACTTTTTACATAAAAGTAGATCTAATGTAGAGCTATTCAATGGTTTTTGTATTATTCAAATACGACACGCCTTTCCTGAGATATGACAAAAAAAATGTAATCTTGCAAAATCATCGATTTTTATGGAAAATTTGCCTGTGATAGCAAGGCAAAAATCTGGATAGCAATTTCTCTCGAGGTACAAAATTGGCGATATCTCGTGATAGAACCATACTAGAGGTGTGAATCAGGGCTTGTTCGATAGGTTCTTGTCTGTTCTACACTATGATAAGTTTTGCAAGTAAAGCTCTGATAACAGAAACCTGGTGATCTGTCAAAAACAGCCAAAAAATTGCAAAAACCATTCTATCAAAAATCAGCCTAATAACGTCGGCCAAAACACTTAAAATTGGTATCATTAGATTTTCCTTTAAATTCTACTCCAAGTTTTATTTAGCTGGAAAGCAATGTTACTTTCAGAATCGCATGATATTAAGGCTGAGCGATTTCAGAAATCCATGAATCCTCATTTTGAGTATTATGGAGGTTGGGCTATTGATAGTTTAAAATAGCGCCTTTTTTTTAGAATGTAGCTCAATTCAAACGTAAATTCGCTACCTTTGTCAAATATAACCTCTTAATTACATGTAACAGATTAATAGGTAAGGTGTTGGCGAAACTCATGGTGAAAATTGCTAATTCATATCTTGCTTTGCTGCCTTGTAGCAAGCTATCAAATTCTAGTGCTTCCCTTGCGGTACATTGATAAAAGTGACGTCTTTTAGCCTCAACCTTTTATTAGCATTTTTTCCTTTTTTCGTTTATATATATTTATATATATATATACTATACATCGCAAGCTCTCTACTCATGAAACAACGCTACCTTTGTGAATAGAATTGAAGCAAGTATAATTGACAGTTATGCAATAGACGTAAGATACAATGTTAACGCGTTTTATACCGTGGTTATACTTGGGAAAACTCTACTAGGGGCTTATTTTTAATCTTTTGCTGTGCACTGGCTGCACATTTGGCGGTGGCTGCTTTGATGGTATATCGTTGCTTCGGTGGTTCTTCTCTGGTGTTTGCTTATCCTGTGGTCTGTTGTCTTTGATGTATGCTGGTTCTCTGGTCTGTCTCTGGTCGTGATGCTGTGGTAAGAAGTGGTAAGTGTCTTTTTTTTTTCTTGCGGTCGCAATGATATAAACTTCTTTGAACGTTTGTACTACTGCTTCCTTTCCCGCGATAATGCATTCATGCTGTTTGCTTTATTGCCTTTTCTTTCTTTTTTGCTGGCTGTGATATGATCAGCTCAACAAATACTTGCAATGTTGATGCTTCGTATTTACGAACAACAAGCATGACACACTACTATATAATTGTATTACCCTTCTTGTGATACTATGTTATATAGCCGTGGATTGTTGTTTGTGTTGCCTCTGTCGCTTCACATGAAAACAACATTGGTCTTCATGTTGTATTACAACACTTATACTGCTGCTACTGTTGCTCCTGCAATTGTGCGCATTTGTGTTCTTTTACATCATCAGACTGTTATCATGCACATTGCTCATGTATATATTTTTGTTGCAATAACAAGAATATAATAACGTGAACATTTTTAATGTTTTATTCATAACATACTTTCCTTTGGCTCACTTCGTGTGAGCATTCTTTTTTTCTTTTGCATAATACATATACTACTATACTTCTATAGTATTATTGTGTTCGCTTCTTTTTTTATTATTATGTTTCTTTTGAAGCATACCTCTTTACGTTGTGTGGATGTGCCTATCCCTGAAGCTCAACAAGACTTTATCCGAGGCTAGGAGGTAGATAGGCTGCCTCCATTTGGTTATCGCTACTTACTTTAGTGATGATTAAAGGTCTCAATGCCTGAATTTAAAGCTAGGTGGTGTAAGTAAGGCATGCTCTAGCACCTGGGGGAAGTTTGATGATAGCAGCGGCTATATTGCTACTATAGCGGCGCTTAAAATTTTGCCTCACATCAAAACCGGGGGAAACCCTCGCAATTTTTTTTTTAGGTCAGCGGAGTTTTCAAGCAATTTGATTGGCTCGGAGGATGAAGCACCGAAGGGTTTTAGTTAGTTGATCTTCTATTGATCTGTCATTTAACACTATATTGTTTTTGTAATAAAAGGGTATCCAAACAGATACATTTCAAATTCTCCTTTGTACAAAAGTAAGGTAATAGCGTGCAAGTATTATTTGATTTGCTATGCCTTACATGAAACTGTATGACGGATGCCCAGTGAATTTATTATTCTAAGCTATTATAATGTCATATAGTATAATGAGTACAGCAGTATACTAGGAACCATATTCCCCCCCCCCCACCCAATATCAACTGTCTCGCCAATTATACGTCGTTTATGGTTGATTTCCAACATGTTTTGACTTCATTGGTTGTTACGTGTTATCTTATTATATCAAATTTTGGATGTATAAAAGTGCTTTCCTATTTAAAGATTTGGATCATCTAGGATCAAGAAGTTTTTAAATATTATTGATTCAATAGCTCAAAAAGTATCATGATCCTATAGCAAAATATTGCAAAAAAATGACAATGTTGTTGTATTTTATATTCAATAGTAGGTCCACTACGTCCTAACTGATGTACTCACAGAACACTGATATCCTCGTATGGAAGCATTCAGGGTGTGCTCATGAGAACATCAACTGGGTTATAGTTTGTAGTAGTAGGTCTTTAGGAGTGTCGATGTTCTCAATGGGAACATTTTTCGTCTTTGATAAGGCTGATATGTCAGCGTATCAGCTTAAAACTCTTTGCGTGCCATGATGCTCATATACCAATGAATAATATCAACATGATGTAAATGAATGTTCAGGACAAAAATCCATCGTTTAATGCAAAAACATTACAGAAAAGAAACCAATTGTCATGCCAATATGGTATTTAGATGGCTGCGGATCAACTAATACAACAAGCCGATTCTCATGCAATTAGTAGGGTATTTGACACGCTGTTGATACAATTGAAAATGTTATGCTTCTTATGTAAAACAACAAAATTAACTAACGTTAAATATCGTATTGCGTGACAGTCAAAAGCGTTTCATTTTTATAGCGATTCTACAAGAACAATAAAGAAACTAAAAACATCATTGAAAGTTGGAAAGAAATGGGTTGGCAATGCATAGAAAGCCTTTGATCCGTTACTTTTCATATATCCAGCGGAATAAAAGTCTACCAGAATCTATATCTGTTCTTTGTCTCGTTTTCTGAACGAATTAGTTAGTAAAACCACTCAATTTAAACAGCTTTACGAAGCTTTTTTAAAGAGAGTCGTCAATTGGCATTTTGGCTTTGCATTGCTCATCGAGTCAGAAATAGCCGCATTATGGCAACTAGCTATTGAAACTGTAAGGACGAGTAACCTCTGATGAGATGACAGTACCATCGCAACAATGTATATCGATTAATAGTTTATTATCAAGACTCGAACACGGATATGATCAAAACGACTCCACTTGAGTTGATGAATGTGGTACTTTGATAAGCGTTCATCTGCACCATAAATGCACTACCACTCTTTCTAGTAGCCATGTGCGTCTTAATTGGATATTAATGAGGATAATGTATATAAGCAATCTAGTTTACCTAATCGCCAAATGAATGTAAATGACAAATGGATGATCTCTCAAGACATGAAGCGTGTTGCTTGTATTTCCAATGTCCCTGTAAGTAGCAACTGATCGAAAAATTGTGTCCACTTGCGAAACCTTAATGTAGCATCCATAGCTCTTCATTGGCCCCCCCAAAAATAAAATCATCGCAGACGGTACAAATCTAATCTGTGGACAAACCTAGAATCTTGTTTGTGTTCTGTTCTGATAATAATGTGACATTTTAAGAGTGCGACCTATACATCATTTGCATCTACCATGATTTGTGTATCCATTCTACTTCAAGAGATGTCGCCATTTGATTTGATTCCGCCTATCCAACACGAACAATCCCATCCTTTCTTGTAGGTATCACAAGGAAATTAACAGGAATTACCTTTTTCACAGTCAGTTGGGATGAATTGATGTTACCCCCCTGAGAATTGGACGTCAATATGCCGCAGTAGACTAGTAACAAAGATGGATTGCGTTTACAGTCATCAGACGCATTACGTTTGCTTGAAATACCAGTTAAAATGCATGGTCAATGCACACAGTGTTTATATCATTTCATCAAGCAACAAACAGAAAGCAAACCTTAAATTAGCAAGATACATCTTTTGACCGAACACCCGCTTGAAAAAAAAAAAAGTACCTTCTACTTTTTAGGGAAATAACGATCCAAAATGGAATGTGTAGCAACAATTGAAAAAAAAATGTTTCTGTCTCTGCTTCAATTCGCTGGTGGTTTATAAAACAAGATCCATCTCTTTTTTTTTTTTTTTTTTTTTTTTTTTTTTTTTTTTTTTTTTGTGTCTCTTTTTCATCTACTATACATTAGAAAATTATGGTCAAGGATCATTGCAGTTTATCGGTAAGTGCTTGTTGATTAGCTTGCTGTTGTCCTTGTGCGCATGCTCATCCAATGCCAAAATGTAATTAGCAACCGTGGATAGACAGTGATTTTGCGCCTTGTTTTAGAGAAAAGTAAGTTGAGAGCAAATGGATCTGGAAAGTAGGGCAAATGAGCTAACATGGAGACACAGTGTCATTGATGGTGCATTTCTCTTGGCAGTACTGGTATGGTCAATGGTCGTCATCACCAAAGCAGCCATCAAGCATTACCAATCAACATCTGCTGGGTACACACCTCTCTTGAAGACCACTGCCAATCAACACTATGGCTCTACAACAGCAAATACAACTGCTGGAACAGTCTCAGCAAGCGACGCTGCATCAGATGCCACTATCACCATGGATGTCGAAATCAAAGCATCTCGCTGGACCATCTATAACTGGTCTAGACTGATCCTTTCTTTGGCGCAGCTGGGCTTGTTTGCATGTGCCATGCAACAGATCATGGAGCACAAATATCAGTACTCTCCCAACGAAGGAAGCAAATCTGATATATTACATGCGTATGGTATGCGTGTCATTTTTTGGGTGAGTTGTGTTCTGTGTGTGTGTGTGTGTGTGTGATACAGAGAGAACAATGGCATTAATGGATCTTTGTAGGCATTCTCCTCCGTCATGTCAATTGTCATTATCTGCTTATCAGCAACTCCCAGCAAATTAGCCAACAAGATCTGTCATCAGCTCAATTTGTTGTATTTGATTGATTTCCTTGTTACTGTCATTGATATGAGATCTTATTATATCTTGGGTGTGAGCGCAGGTATGGGATATTCGTTATCCTTCTGGACGGGTGCTATTGATCTGGCACTGCTTATCATTGTTATTAATGAGACTCGCTTGGCTCCTACAAAGCCGGTCATCACTGAAGAGGTACGTAATTAGTGTGTGTGTGTGTGTGTGTGTGTGTGTGTGTGTGTGTGTGCGTAAGCAAGGCTTATCTAAATTGTATCATTTCAGGGCAGAGTCATGTCGGGTGAAAATTGGGCCTCCTTGTATTCCCAATTCATGTTCAGCTGGGTCGATGTCATGATGAAGGAGGGCTACAGACGCACACTCGATGATAAGGATTTGCTTGAGCTGCCACCCAACAACAGAGCCAAATACACTCTGTCTGATTTCAACAAGCACAAGACAAGCACCAATGTATCCGCCACTATCCTCAAGACGTTCCGTTGGGAATTGTTCTACCAAGCCTTGTACTGCTTGGGTTGGTCTATTCTCATTTTTGGCCCTCCCTTCTTTTTGAACTTGATCATCAAATACATTGAAGATCCCAAGGGTGAACCTGCCATTACTGCCTTTTTGTATGTCTTTGGTTTATTCATCACCAACTCGGCTCAATCTCTTCTACTCCAGCAGGGTCTGTACATTGGTCGTACCATTGGTATCCGTATTCAATCCATTATCATTGGCGAAGTATTCTCCAAGTCGCTTCGTCGTCGTGATGAAAGTGGATCCACCGACGTCAGCAAGGAAGAGACGGATGACACCAAGGACAAGAAGGACACCAAGGGCAACGTCAACAATCTGCTGTCGGTAGATGCTCAAAAGGTAGCTGAAATCATGGCCTACATCTTTTACATCTACTGCTACCCTCTTCAAATCGTCGTCAGTATCTGGGGTTTGTACAAGCTTTTAGGCAATGCTGCTCTCTGGGGTGTCCTTGTGATGATCTGCTGTCAACCTGTCACTTACTATGTCGGCACGCAATTTGAAACGCTGCATGCCTCTGTCATGTCTGCTACTGATAAGCGCCTCAAGCTAATGAACGAGCTCTTATCTGCTATTCGTATCGTCAAGTTCTTTGCTTGGGAAAGCGAGTTCAAGAAACGCATCATTCAAGCCAGAGAAAACGAATTGAGCGCCATCAAATCTCGCTTGATGATGTTTATGTGGATGGTCAATGCATGGTTCTTTATCCCCATCCTGATCATGGTCGCCACTTTTTACGTTTATACCCAAGAATACTCTTTGACTGCGTCCGTTGCTTTTACTGCTTTGGCCTTGTTCAACACCTTCCGCGGTGCCCTTGATGAGTTCCCTCTGTTGATGACATTCCTTATCCAAGCACACGTCTCTGTCAAGCGTGTAGAGAAGTTTTTGGACGAAGATGAAGTCGAACTTCCTGTGCAAAGAAACACGGAAGCTGCTCGTCATGGCGTCGCTCTTGGTTTTGTGGAGAATGCTACTTTCAGCTGGGACAGCCATCGTGATAGCTACAACAAGCCCTCTATTAAAAATCTCAACCTGAGTTTCCCCATTGGCAAGCTGTCTATTGTCTGTGGCCCTACTGGTTCTGGCAAGACGACTCTGTTGGCCAGCTTGCTGGGTGAAACCTACTGTCTCTCTGGCCAAGCTATCCTGCCTCGCATTATTCCCACCAGGTCCAGCCCCCTTGGCGGTGCCGTCTCTGGCATTGCCTACGTTGCTCAAACGGCGTGGTTGCAAAACTGTAGTATTCGTGACAACATCTTGTTTGGCTTGCCTTATGATGAGGAGCGCTACGAATCTGTCTTATACATGACTGCATTGACCCGTGATTTGGACATTTTGGAGTTTGGAGATGCTACTGAAGTAGGAGAAAAGGGCATCACCTTGAGTGGTGGTCAAAAGCAAAGAGTGGCGATTGCTCGTGCTGTCTACTCGCAGGCTAATACTGTTATTTTGGACGATTGTCTCAGTGCTGTAGATGCTCACACTGCCAAGCATTTGTACGAGCATTGTTTGACGGGTGAATTGATGAAGCATCGCACAATCATCTTGGTCACGCATCATGTGGGTCTGTGTCTTCCTGGTGCTAGCTACGTTGTCGCTTTGAAAGACGGTCAAGTGGTCGATGCTGGCTCTCCAAAAGCCATGTTGAAGTCTGGTGTTTTGGGTGATGAACTGTCGCAATCTGAGGAAGCCGAGGCCGTCACTGCTGAAGAAGCTGCTGTGGAAGGCCCCATTCCTGTTGTTCCCAAGAACATCAACAAGAAGACGGCTGCTGGTGGCAAGTTGACGCAAGACGAAGAGCGCGCTGAAGGTGGTGTCACCTGGGACGTATACAAGACGTATATCAATGCCTCTGGTGGCGTCAAGTTTTGGTTTTCTGTCATGATTCTCTTTGCCACTGCTCAAGCCTGTGTTCTGGCTCAAGATTACTGGATCAAGGTGTGGTCTGCTGCCTATGGCCACGAAAACCACCACAGCAACCAGACCTCTGCTAACCCTACTGTCGGTGCTTTTTCTGCCCATAACTCTGCCTTCTCCATCTTGGGCCAAACCAACTTGATGAACGCTTACACTGCTCCCATCTACAATGCCTTGGATGCCATTAAGAACTCGGAGGGACCTGTGGATGTCAGATACTATTTGGGTGTCTACTTTTTGATGGGTGTTGTTGCTCTGTTCATGACCTCGCTTCGTACCTTTATCTTGTTTACTGGCTCGTTGAAAGCATCTCGTCGTATTCACAGTGAGCTGTTGAACCGCATTTTGCGTGCCAAGGTTCGTTTCTACGATGTCACTCCCTTGGGCAGAATTGTCAATCGCTTCTCGTCTGATCTGGCAACCATCGACCAAGAAACAGCTCCTGCTCTCTCGTTCTTGCTGTATTCCGTTGTAGCTACGCTCTGTGTCATCATCTTGGTGTCTACAGTGACACCCGCCTTCTTGATCCCCGGTGTAGGCATTGCCATCATGTTCTTTGCTATTGGTTCCTACTATCTCCAAACATCGCGTGATCTCAAGCGCTTGAATTCGGTTAGTCGTAGTCCCATCTACGTCCAATTCAATGAGAGTGTCAATGGTGTTGCCACAATTCGAGCCTTTGGATCCCAATTCAGATTCATCAATGAGAACCACAACAAAATTGACAGCAACAATCGACCCTTCTTGTGGATGTGGGCTACTAATCGCTGGCTTCATTGCCGTGTGGATGTGCTCGGTGCTTTTGTTGGCTTCTGTACTGGTTTTGTATTGGTGCTTGCTCGTGATTGGGTTGATCCTGGACTTGCTGGTCTGTCGCTCAGTTACTCATTGATGTTTACTCACCACGTATTGTGGGTTGTACGTCAGTATGCTCTTAACGAAATGAACATGAATGCCATTGAACGTGTGCATGAATATCTTGACGTGGAAGAGGAGCCACCCACTGAGATTGCTGAAACTGAACCTAGTCCTAGCTGGCCTGAGCATGGCTCTATCGAGGTGAGCGACTTGGTGATGCAGTATGCTCCCGAGAACCCTCCTGTGCTTCGCAATGTCTCGTTCAAGGTGAACCCTCGTGAAAAGATTGGTATTGTGGGTCGCACTGGCTCAGGCAAATCAACACTGGCTCTCTCCATCTTCCGCTTCATGGACCCCACCAGCGGCTCCATCAAGATTGATGGTGTTGATATCCACAAAATTGGTCTTGATGTGCTTCGTTCTCGCTTGACCATTATCCCTCAAGACCCTGTTCTTTTCTCTGGCACGCTTCGTAGTAACTTAGATCCATTTGATCAGCACAACGATATCGAGCTTTGGGCCGCCTTAAAACGTTCTCACTTGATTGACGAAGCCAACAATGAACAACAAGATGCCGAGAATCAAATCACGTTGGATTCAGTGGTCACTGAAAACGGCAACAACTGGTCTCAAGGCCAAAGACAATTGATTGCTTTGGCTCGTGCGCTTGTCAAGAAGTCAGCACTGATCATCTTGGACGAAGCTACTTCATCCGTCGACTTTGATACTGACTACAAGATTCAACAAACCATTCGCACTGAATTTGTGGACTCTGCTCTGCTGTGTATCGCTCATCGTATCCGTACTGTTGCTGATTACGATCGTATTCTGGTCCTGGATCAAGGCGAAGTTAAGGAATTTGATACTCCCTATGATTTGATGACTACAGATGGTAGTATATTCCAGCAAATGTGTCTTCGCTCGGGCGAATACAATGACTTGTTAGCTATTGCTAAAGCTAAAAAGGATCAATCCTCTTAAACTAGCAAAAAAAAAACCCCCCCAGAAAACTTTAGATTCACTTCATTCTATTATTCCTTTATCTTTTCATCATATGCAGTATATATATTCACCAAACCAATAAATCATATATCTATTTCTACCAATATTTGAAACCATGGTGTCAATTCGAACGTGTTGAAAATTCTATAATTGACGGCAATGCTTTTATTTTGCATAACGTAAATTACTCGAAGAGGATGCCTCGTTTACTAGTAGCTGCGTCACCTGGAGTTCTGCTCTTGTGATGTTTAATTCTGCTTCTAGTTGAGCAATTTCATCAGGCAAGCTTCTTGTTTCCTCCATGACAGACTTGAGCTGGCCCAATTGAGTGTCTTTATCAGCTGCCAATGTATCGAACTCTTGTCGTAACTGTGAAATGACTCTCCAAGGGTCCTCGTGTTCATCTTCCACGAGCGACGTATGACTCAAAATAACAGATTGAGAGGACAAAATAAACCGCGAGGCATTGTACAAGCTGTTTCCTTGATTTAGTCTACATGATATGTTGTTTTTGCAACTCGACCTACCGCTGCTGGAGCACAGATCGTATGCTTGATAGATCTGTCGATGATTCAGCTTGATCCCGATCCAATTTTTCTAGTTTTAACGTAAGAAAAGCAATGTTGTTCACGTATTTGATTAAAAGAGACCGTTCATCAGAGATCTTTACTGTCTTGTTAGGATAATACGACAAATCTATACAAATGCCAATCCTACCTCGCACGTTTTAGGAGATACTGGGATACGCTTGATACGCGACGCAAAGCTTAATATGTCCAATGTCGGTATCTCATCCTGAGAAGCAGATTCCATGTCCACAGTACATATCGAGACGACATGATGTTGTCCCATGAATGTTGGCTGTAGCAGTCGCGTGAGTTTAGAGTCATGATAAGGTGGCAGTGGATGTCCTGCACTGTAGTTATATGAGTACGTATGCAATCTAGCACCCTCTGTGTATTACCTCTTTCCTGCTTCAGATAGGTTGTATACCACCGCTTCAAATGCTAGACAGCTTTTGTTGATGGGGCTTTTAAGTGTTTGAAATATCGATTTATCGTTACTTGCCATATCAATCAGGTACTGCAAGAACAGGTCAGATTAAGGGAAACTATATGTCAGTCAAAGTTTCTTACCAAGTATGATATCTGAACACTGTTTCGCTTCTTTTGAGGCACTCTTGTTCTACGAGAAGAGCTACTTGTGCTGCTGCTTGTACTGCTGATGACACTGACATTACTAACAGATGCTGCTTTGGCTGATAGAGTGTGCTTTTCTCTCTTTTCAACAGCCTATCAAAGGTACTGTTAGATTTGGATACTTGATATGATGGCATTTTCAAACTTACGAGCTGAATGAACGTGTGAGCTCTACTGTGGTGAATATCGTAGTTGTTTGTTAACAAATATCTATTAGCTTCGTGTCCGTGTGATTATTAGTATGCCACATAATACTCGCATTGTGTCAAGAACTTACCCTCTGCTCTCTTTATGTACTGTAAAGCCTCCATGGGTGAAGTAATGATCTGCTCCCTCAATGACATGACATACGCTCCTCGCTATATACATGGATAATTAATAACTCGTCTCTATACATTTGAATTTACTTACTCTTTTGTTCTCATCAGATATCTTCAATGCCTCCCCTTGCTCTGAAAACAGATCATTGATCACTTCATTTGCTATCTCAAAGCAGGACAGGCTCAATATGAATTCATGATTGGTATCCTACTTGTTGTTAATGAACACTCCTTACAAGATTTTCAGATCCTTACGTTCTTTATCGATTCAAACACTGTTTCAAATGTCAATGGCACTACTCCTAAATCATAATTGTTTCCTGGAGTATACGTTATTATTATTCTGCTGTACTGACAAATATATAATATCTTGCTTACCAAACTATGTCAAATATAGATAATAGAATACGAGACGATACACAGAGCAATGATTAGATTTCGAATAGTGTAGTATTATTCTGATTTACCATAGTCTATAATTGTTACATATGGGAAGAAACAATTGTTTTATTACAATCAATCAATCAAAAAATAACTCTTTAATGTATGCGCATTTATTTCACAAGACTTACATAAGATTTCCCTGTTCCTGGTTGACCGTACGTGAAGATTGTGCCTGTAAATCAATTTGACCTTGTTACTATAATTGTTCGCTAGGAGTAAGTTATTCCAAATCTGTACCATTCAATCCCAACATAACATCTTGGACCGTAGATTTCACACTTGTATCAAACAAGTGGCGATTTGTGGATGATGCCCTAAAGATATGATCTACATGTATTAAATATTTGAGCTAAAGTCTTGCAAAATGTCTGTCATCATGACACATACCGAATTCAAACTTTTTGTTTGATTTTGGCCCCAAGTAACGCAATGTCTGATCGTTTTCTAATTGCCAATCGCAACTATCCTTTTCAACTGATAGCTTGATGACACTTTTGACTCTCTTCTTTTTGGTCATGGGCGTAGAGTTGGAACTAAATATGCTCGTGAGCCAATTACTGCCTGAAGACGCATTGGAAGATGTCGATGAAGTACGCCTTCTATGAACCTGAGGTGTTGTTGTCGCTCTCTGTTTAATGTTGCTCTTTGATGGCTTCAACGTTGGTGTTGCTGGGATGATGGTTGTCTTTTGTCTACTGCTTATAGTAGTGTTGGTGGATGTGGAAGTAGCCAATGTTCGTCTGGGTAATGATGTTGAGGCAGATTTAACAGGTATTCGACTTGTAGTATGGCTGTCAGCGGTGAGATATTTTGAGGATGAGGAGGACATGGTTCAGACGTGAATAACTTGAGAAAAAGGAAGCCATAAATAGGCACCACCGCAAAAAACACACCTTCATTAATAGCAAATTAAGGAGAGAGAACCTAAATGGAGTTTCAATAGACGGTAATTAAGGACATATAGAAGGCTCCTCTGTTGCCAATGTACTAAATTTCGATATACATATATAAGCCATCGAAAATTAACTAGACATTATTTATCTTATATCAATTACTAATGGAGATAGTTTTTCAGTCGACAGCATTGGCTGCTATCACCAGGATTGCTAAGGCCGTGTCTGATTCCATGTCCAATCTTGCTCTTACTACTGAAAATGTAGGTACTGACAAGTCCGCCCCAAATTCGCTGATAAATCTACCATCGCATACGACCATTCTGACCACCAAATGGATATATTCAAGAGACCCAAATGCGCTACTGTTTGACTTTGGTGAGCTCAATTTGAAAAAGGAGCAAATAGTTCCTTTCATTAGAGCATCTATACCAGCAAATATCACTGCATGCATTCGACCCATTAGCAGTTTACTGGTAGAAATCACTATCCTGGGTCAAGATGAAGCCAATCCCTTGCACAAACAGGCGTATTCTATATTAAAGAACAAAGGGCTACACCTCAAGGATAAGAACATTTGGCTGAAGCCTACACAGACACTTACCATGTATCCTAACCTTGTGTTTTGGCAACTACGGCTATCCGGGTACCCCAAATCAATGACGGGCGATATTTACAAACAGAAAATTGCTGATACTATCAAATGTTCATTTGATAAAAGAGACAGGGGCCATTTTGGCAAAAGTGTACTGGTGGTAGACGCAGAAAATGTTTTGTTTAGCAACTCCAAGACAGATCGAAATATCCAACATTGCTTTGTCACTATTCTTGTTAAAGAATATACCATTCATCCTCCTCCTTCCATAAATTCTACGCGCAAATTGATCTATATACCCTTCTTGAAAACGTACCTACCTATTGAAATCTTTCTTGTTAAATAAAAATGTATTTTGCTGGCTGGTCCCAACTATGTGTATATGCGTGATGTATTCCTATCCATAGCTCTTGCTATGGGATTGTCATTTTCACTATATATATATATACTGGAAAATTATGTTTCTAAAAAATAGATAAGCAAATAACATTCTTTCAAATAATTCTAAAGAATTGAGAGCTGGGCAAAGGTAAATAAAACCACCAGAGAAGCCGACAAAGGGGAGGGGTTACCGTAGCGAAGCAAAGGTGCAAAGCTATGGTAAGTTGCGCAGGCTGCAGAACTGCCCTTCCAGAAGACTTCAGCTACCAAAGATGTAGTTCATGTCATGTAAATAAAAGCCATAAATCAAAACATAACCAAATTTGACAGCTTTCATCTCTTGAAATGTAGACTTTTCTGAGCCGCCGGAATGACACCAAACAATTATACCAGAGTAGTAGTAACTTCCTGACATTTTTGGCCATGTTTTTTTGGTCCCCAAAAAGTTGAGCAAAGGTGTCAGAAAGTAATTATCAGATGAGGGCGACCGTTTGGTGCTATTCTGACGATCTAAAACGGCCGTGAATGCGAGAAAACACAGCTCAAATGCACTCATATTTTGCTGTATTAGGGACATTAAGGACTAAAAAGTGGAAATACCAGTATGCTGCTTGCCCGTATATAAAGTAGCTACGTGTATATGGATGTAGAGCATCACATAAGAATCAGACCCACAGATAATATGAAGGGCTTTCATGTGTAAGTGGAAGGTCAAAATGAAAGTAGCAGTATTCTGACAAGATACGCAAGGGCAACCCGTAGCACGAGCTGCCGCTGCATAGGGTGGCTCTCACCGAAACGAAGCGAAGGTAGAGAGCCATCCGTAGCATAGAGAGAGTCGCATTATCTAAGGTCGATTTGAATCGGCTACTGTATTGTGCTCTGTTAGACCTTAAATGCCACAAGCGTATGATTATGAGCAATACTCTTGGTTGTGAGTAGCAAATTCATGCAAATCTTGAAACACAATGTCAACCACAAATGGTTCGCCAAGAAACAAGAGCATTGCGTTATGTAGGTCATGCTTGTTTTTCTCATGCTTAGTATTCAAGTTGGCTACTGCGCAACTGCTTGATGCAGATGATATAATGAACATTGACTTGAAAACTGCTCTGTAGTATATATTTTGGATTTTCGCGAGGCACAGACCTTGTTCCTGAATTAATTCAAGTTCCGGAACGCAAAGCCTGTTTGTTTCAAGCACACATTAGTAGTAAATTATTAAGCAGAATGCAAATTGGAGAAACTTCTAGCCTTCCGCAAAGAAATGGGGTGTCATTCTTCGAGCTATAATCTCACATGGAAGAAAGTAGAAAGATTCGGTGATGCTTGTCAGTCATTTCATGCATTGCGCACTATCTGCTGATGCGTTTTTAGTGCACATTTTTCTCATCAATTACTCAGATGTATAGGTTCACACGCCAACACAAAGCTTGCTGATGCGTGGAAAAGTGACAAATCTACAGAAGCTTCAGTGAGAACTGTGTGTGAATCACGTATGCTAAATCCAGATCGTCGAAAAAGCCATGATAAGGATGATGTTGACGTTACAGATGTGATTCATACCGCAAAACCTAAAATTTCTTCTATGGGAACAGCGTATGAGATTGTAAATATAAATGTACGCCTTGCATGTATCATATGTATGATATTCGCAGTCTGTGCATTCATCCACATCATGCTGGAAACTTGGTCTTCTGTCTGTATTTGTAAAAATGCCATCCTCATTAGCGGATCCGATGATGATACAATGTGGAATCAAGATTTTGTATTATATTCGAAGCAAAACAACAGGGATCGACGGGTCATTTGTACATCCGCCGAGTATTCTGTCTCTTTACAACATAGTGAACACAACAATGTGCTTGTAAAACCCTAAAAAAGGCTCTAGATCCTTTTGTGTGCGTGCGTGTATGTTCCATCTTGTTATGTTAATTACTAATTAGTTACGCCAAGTGTTTGTTGTCAAAGAACCAAGAAAAAAGGGGGCAGGGATGGGAAGGAGGGAAAGACATAGGCTTTCAAATGTACTTCAAAAGCAAATCGAAAAAATCCATCGACATCCAACAGTTTTATTCAAATTAGTTTGCAAGCTTTATGAACAATCAAAATTTGCAGTAGAAAAAAAAATTGCGCGCGTAACGATGACAGCATGAATGGAATGAAAACTTTATTTACTTTAGCAAGAGAACGAAACGGAATGAAGAGATCAACTCAATTTCCGTAATCAATAATCCATACCAATGTTGGTGACATGATGATGATCAGGCATAAAGATTTCATCCGTCATTGGAGGCTGACGAAGAGGTAACTTTGACATGATATCCAGAGGGCGGCGTTGAGATTGTTGCTGTGCTTGTTGTTGATGGAGAGATTGCTGTCTCTGGTTCTCTTCAAATTCATCTTCTTCAGATAACTCTTGATCGTCGGATAAATCGGTATCGTTGACAAGGCCTATGCCAGACAGGCTGTATCGTTGTTGTTGTCTTAGTGTGTAGGTTAATAATTGGATATGTTGCATGGCTTTTTCCAGTTCCTGCCTGGTCTCATTCAATGCAGTATCTCTTTGATTGGTTATCCCTTTAAGAGCATTGATCGTATATCTTGCAAACGATAGCTCTTTGTTCAGATGTGAATTTTGTTGCTGAAGGTATGCATTGTCAATTTCAAGCTGAGAACAACTTTTGGTTGTATTAGTGTCGATATCTATATCATGTGTAATGTACCGTGAGTAAAAATGATGATGAACAGCAATGCTCTCATAAATAACATACCATTCATGTTTAATTTGTCAAACTCGTTATGTAAATGTTGGTTAGCTTGTTGATTTGTTGTTGCCATGGTAACGGTGGTTATGTATAAAGAGTGTGAGATGTGGAAATTATTCTATTTTATTTCGACAGAACCAGCTGAAAATAGTAATATGTATATGGACACAAGGAATTATAATATAGAATAGAGGTATAAAATGAAAATTGAGAGTTTCCTTGTTATCAAAACAACGAAAACGAATAATTCAACAAGAGTGAAAAAAGGAGATATGAACAAAAATGAAAGAAATGGGAAAAACAAAAAGGAAAACAAGCCAGAGCTCTGGGAGGTTTTATAGACATCACTGATGGTCTATTCTAAAGGTCACGTGTGATGTATCAGAAATTTTTGGGGGTTTGGATATGGAAGGAGGGGTGGAGAACGGGCAGAGAGAAGGGGAGACTTAAAGTTTGAGGTACCCGCGTCCACTCTGTAATTGAGGGAGGGGGGATCAAAAAAAGGAGAGCAGGAGAAGGGACCCTTTCGATTTTTCTTTGCGCATTTGCGTTTGCATATTTTCTTTCTCGATGAAAAACTCGACATTCAAAATATTACAGAACAGACTTGTTATGACATCCCCTTTGTCAGTCTCCAAATGTTGCAAGGAATACATGCTACATGTGCTCTAGTTGAGTATTTGTTATCAATTTGATATTTTCATGTGGAACAATGTGTGTGTAATTTCGTCGGAGAACCCGGATCAAATAGTTCGCTTTCATTCTAAATTACCGGTCCAAATGGCATCGTTTAGCAGTGCTTTGTATGTGATCAAACACAGCTGTTGAATTAGGCGTGCGCTGTTGTATTTGGTGTCATTTAGAGCAAGTGGAGCAATGTATAGCATGGTATTTAGCCTGGGTTACACTTACCTATCATCACCATCCTTGATGGCAAGCAAGTAAAATGCACATTGAGCATTGCATGAGCACCACAACTAAAGCAGATGATACGAGGCATTCTGAAGGCATAGTACAGCGTGCGATTCTCTTGAAACAAGCGTATCCCAATTATAAGTATACTCATTGAAGCAACTCCGTTTTCTGTGCATCCAAATCTACAGTACATTGCATACATACATTTTAACCACTTTAGTTCAGGTAGCTTTCAAATTTCAAAAGATCAAGACACAACAAAACAGACTGTAAGGCGCCTCCAAACGGAAATACATAATGCACCATTATGGACAATAACAACTTCCATAATAATAGCAACACCAGATGATTATATATTACCAAGCATCTGGCATGCAGTTTTCATCACATTTAAACACATTCAAAACCTCGTGTTTGGTAACAAGCTAAATAAGGCAACTTTCAAATTCAATTACAATAACACCAAACCACTTGTATGAACTCGAACGAAAACTTAGTAAAACACAGCATATCATCCTTCTGGAAAAAGCTAAACAAACACATTTAACGAAGTCTGAGAGTGGCGCGAAAAATCCATAAAACAAACCTGTGTATACAGATTGATGATGATACAAAGCCTGAGCGTGATATCAAACAGTAAGAAAAACCTTATACTAAGAGCTGTCGAAGCATAATTGGCATGCTACTTTAAAGCATGACATAATAAGAAGGCTCCATCTCGGGCTTTAGGGGATTGAAGAATTTTTCGACATGAACGGCATCATAGGGAATTGCTAGATTGATTACCTAACATTTGGCCCAGCTTTCTGTGGAAGAGAAGGTTCCAAAGGACGTACTATCAGACAACATGATAGAAACTTGGCCATTGCAAGCAGGTGAGCAGGAGCAGAGAATACATGTCCCTCGCTAATCATTGTGACATAAGACTTTTACTGCGCATAGATCAGGTTTTATGAATATCGCTCGTAATTAATTGTGGACGCTCTTGATTGAGCTTTATTTGTAGTAATTGACCATATATCTCAGGCTAAGCCGAGGTTAAACAAAACCAAAAATGGATGGGGGGCTGAATGGAACATGATGATAGGCTCAATTAGCATTGAGTATAATAGATGATCGTCGCCCTTTGTTTAGCTTGCCGATGAAAAATGTAACCAATTGACAGCTTGGAAAGCATCTCTTCTTGGACCGTGGACTTGGCCCAAGAGACAGATGCCTATGTTACACAATGAGACGCTATCAAGTTCACAAACCATCACCATTTTGTTGGTTTGTATTATCTGATTCGAGAAATATTTGCACCATTTTGCGCGTCAACAAGGTAAATATTTCTTTAATCGTAACACACTTTATTTATATCAGTTGTTGTTGTTTGTAATATCGCCCAAGATGATGGCGTCTACAATAGATGTGCTGGGAACTCGACGCTCTATGCTCCTAGATGTCACTCCATTCAGCAAATAAAAAACAAGAATATATATTAAATGTGCTAAATTTTCTTTAGCTTGTAGGAAGACATCTATAAATATTCTCTAAAGATGAGGCATTTTAGAGATTTAGTGCAATGCACAACGTCAACTAAGATACTAAATATACACGGCAAAAAAGTATGATGCCAAGCTTTATCTTGAATGCACATGGATGATCATTCTATCATTGTCATGTGGAATGGCTTTATTGAAAAATATGTACTCAAAAAAAAGAATGGTTGTTTGCTATGATGGCTTCGTGGCACCGAATTTGTTGTTGTTACTACAGCGATTTGACTGAAAACGATTCACGATATTACGAGTTGTGCCTGGAGACTGATTGTGTTGCATCAAATACACAGTTTTGTGGTTATTAACAACAATCACCTTGGAAAATGTCACTTTATTAGTATTTGAAGCATTATTTTGCACGAGTGATGATCTAGCAGGTATAGGCGAAGGTATGATATCCAGAACAACGAGTCTGTTGGACATTTTGGTCATATTTGCAGAGAATAGAAAAGAAGAGAAAAAGATGCTCTGCTCAAAATCCAAGAACTCAATAGGATTTATGAGTGTCCATGACGAGAGGGAGGGAAACATCCGGCTTAAATTATCATTGTTTTCAGTGGCAAGATCACAAGATGATGTGTACTCTTTCTGCAAACAAATATTGTCTGCATGTGCGTGTATATTACAAAAACCATCTGATTTAAATGTTGTTTATTAGTTATAAAGTAAAACCCAAAATTTATATATGTTTAATGTTTGGCTGCATCAGGATGAGATCGAACAACCATCACAGTGCAATCCAGATGATGCACAAGATGTTCAGATGTGGATCCAATCAGCTTTCTACAGGAGAGGCTCTTTTAGTCTACACAGAAAGCGCACGACCACACAAACAACACTTGCCTCTTTAAATAACCAAGACCACGGCTACCACAAATAACGAGATCAGCTTGCTTTTCCTTGGCAAACTTAACAATTTCAGCAGTAGCTACACCTCTGAGAATTTCAGCCTTGACATGTTTCTAACATTGAGAAAATGTCTCAGTTGACTCCACCATCATTATATGAAACCCACATATGACAACTTACCAAACCCAAGGCATGCATGGCGTGAACAGCCTCGGCTAAGCTTTCTCTGCCTTGAGACTCCAATTGAGCGACCGTATGTCTGTAGTCAGCAGCACAGTCAATACCACCAATGGCAATGGTTTGCCAACCACCAGGGCCTTCAATTTTGGCAACGTCTTCGTTGATGCAAGTAACAATTGTAATTTCATCAGTAGGAAGAAGCACGCCGTGGCCGTTTACCCATTCCAATGTTTGGCGGCTCGCGTCAGACTCATCGTAACAGATGATAACCTTTCGGGGAGTAACAGAATCAGGTATAGAGACATTTACAGTTGTAGACATTTTGAATAAGAAAAAGAACTGGAGGAATATGTAGAATTACATTTTTGACAGCAATATTTATACTTGAGATAGATGTTTCAGCGTCATGATACATGAATGGATAATCTTTGAAACAGCATGAAATCCAAATCTTATTTATCCCGTTTGTAAAAAAAAAAAAAAAAAAAAAAAAAAAAAAAAAAAAAAAAGAGTATAGGTTGCTCCTGAATAGATCCTCCTAATGACAGATTGACAAGAGGGGAAACAGTTATTTGCAATACAGTGGTACAATGGTGCTCCCTATTGTTTGTGTTTGTACGAAATAAATGACCAAAACAACATCTCTTTTTTCATTTATCGTTCTTTTTCATCCCTTCACTTTTTTTTATATGCAAGAGTATCAAAAGACTAAAGGCAACAACCACTTTTTTGATCTTTAATAGAATTCAGTTCTGATACAAAATTATAAATCATATAGAAACCACTCAACATCGCACAATTAAAAGCTTCAAATCAAACAATTCTCTTTCACGAAGCTTATCTATCGCATCAAAGTCTCACGTAACAAAGCTCTACAACACTACCCCACAACATCTATCTGTAATGTCCACGTTACCAACTATTGGTAGTATGGAGACCTTCTCTTCTTCATCAAGACAGCACCATGAGGAAAACAATAGACTCAAAGGCGTATTGAACAGATTTGTAGACCTCATGTCCACCAACACGGATATTCAGCAAAACGGTGGTATGGTCATTTCAGGTCCAATGGACATTTCTTCTCCCTACAACACAAGACACGTAACGCATGTTGGTTTTGATGCAAATACTGGCGAATTCACTGGTCTTCCAAAAGAATGGCATACGTTACTGAAAGCAAGTGGTATCACTCAGACCGAACAGGAGCAAAATCCACAGGTATTTTACTCTAGTGTGTTTTAAGGAGAGGTTCGTAGTTGTTAACTTGTTTTCCCCCATTCTCCCTAAATCAAAAAGGCTGTCATTAATGCAATTGAGTTTTATCAAGAATCAAGAGATCTGGACGAGGCTGTATGGCACAAAATTCCAAAGACGCATAGTCTGAGAAGTAGTGTTCAATCGGAATCATCAACATCAGATGTTGTATCGCATTACCAACCCCAGAAATCAACGGGAAATGCTATCGCTAAATCACTGCGTCGATTATCTAAACTCAAATTCTCTGACTATACAAAACGCTCGTCTGTGGTAAATGCGCTTGATCCTACCGCACTATGTTCATCTTACTGACTTGGCATTTTCATCCATGTTAGGCTTCAAATCGATCATCCATACTTGGTAGGTCATTTATTACATAATCCCCTCCCGTTTCGACACATGCTAATAAGGTTATATAACAACAGTGGAAAATCAAAAGACACCAGTCATCTCCCGTCCGAGTGAGACAGCATTTGCAAAACAAAAATCAGACATTTCATTGCCAATATTAATAGAAAAGGTCTCACTACCACCATCACCATCATCGCCTGTACCAACGTCCGTAAGTAAAAAGACCGAGAAGAAGGAGCAAGAGGAGAGTTACCCTCCAGTCATCAAGCGAAAGCAGAAAGAGCCGAAACAGCAGGAATTAGACGTTGTGAAACAACTAAAAGACATTTGCTATACCGTGGATCCAAATGATATTTACAAAGATATGATCAAAATTGGACAAGGGTATATGTGTATAAAACAGTTAGTTAGGCATATATATGAGCTAACTGTTGTACGGGCATCTATAGCGCATCGGGTGGTGTGTTTATTGCTCATCGTACATTCACAAATGATAATGGCGAAAAAACAACAATGCCTGTGGCCATCAAGCAAATGAATCTGGAGCAACAGCCCAAGAAGGAGCTCATCATCAACGAGATTTTGGTCATGAAGAAGTCTCAGAACCCAAATATCGTCAATTATCTGGATTCTTACCTTTGGAAAGGAGATTTATGGGTTGTTATGGAGTATATGGAGGGAGGAAGTCTTACAGACGTTGTCACTTGCAATATGATGATGGAAGGCCAGATTGCTGCTGTCTGTAAAGAGGTATTGCAAGGCTTACATCATTTGCATTCAAATGGTGTCATTCATAGAGACATTAAGAGTGATAATATCTTGTTGAGCCTTCAAGGTGATATTAAACTGAGTAAGTAAAATACAATAGAAAAAAGGGGAAAAGAGTGAGAAGGGGACCAAGATAGCGTATGAACTAACATTATAACTAGCCGACTTTGGATTCTGTGCTCAATTAAACGAAAGTCAAGCTAAACGCACAACCATGGTGGGAACTCCTTACTGGGTGAGTAGTGCGACAACTTGCTGGCACCGCGTATATACTCACAACCACATAATTAGATGGCCCCTGAGGTCGTAACCCGTAAGGAATATGGATCCAAAGTGGATATTTGGTCGTTGGGTATCATGGCAATTGAGATGATTGAAGGGGAGCCACCTTATCTGAATGAAAATCCATTAAGGGCACTCTATCTGATTGCAACAAATGGTACACCCACATTACAAAGCCCTGAATCTCTTTCAGAAGTGTTTAGAGACTTTTTGTCAAAATGTTTGGAGGTAGACCCAGAGATTCGTCCCTCTGCCGAAGACATGTTGAAGCATCCTTTTTTGGCACTTGCAGATCCTCTTCGCTCGCTGTCTCCTCTCATTCGTGCTGCAAAAGAGAGCACTGCGAGCTCTTGATTTATGTGCCTGTAAACTACCTACTGCTTCTTTTCTTATACCCTTTTCAATTTTGACTCCCTTCTTTTTTTTTTCTATCCTCCTCACAATCTCTATTCATTGCTTCACTTTTCTAATTATTTCTAGTCTTATCTTTTTTTTCTAATAAATACAAGCGTGTTTACGCTTCAGATGGCTCTCTCTAACTTTTCATTGCTTCAGTGAGAATTGACCTATCTGGCAGCAACTCGCAGAACAGATCACACCGAGATGTGGGTGTATTTAGATCGTGATTTCTCGCGATAGAAGCGGTTTTAGACCGCCAAAAAAGCATCAAACAACTGCTCTCGTCTAGGACTTACTTACTGACACTATTGCTCAATTTTTTTGGAGCCAAAATAATATCATCAAAAGTCGACATCAAACCATGAGGGGCACCTCATGGAAAACATCAATAAATCAAACGATCGCGTTTTTCACCTCAAAAATGAAAACTTCTACTATGGCATATATTGAATCAAAATGATTCTGTTAATTCAGGGCAGCTCCTGAAACTACGTTTGTGGAACCTTAATATGTAAAATCTTGACATTTTCACCAAAAACCTCATTTCATATTTTATAGCATTGCTCAATAAACTAAATCAAAACATTGATTATAGCTGGCACCATCGGATGCGCCGTGAAAAGCACTCCTAGAGCGTATTAGGAAGTATGGGATGATCATTGCGACTTATATAGTGTAACTTCTCGAAATATGTAAAATGGGTTGATTTGGAACGAAATCTGTCCAATCTTGATCAAAGGCGAAAACTTGAATCTTGCGAGTATAATAAATGACAAATTAGTAAAGCGGTCTCTTGAAAAAGCCAGATTGAGCACATTACCTTGAAGACTCAAGCGTCCGCTAATACAGCACCGCTGCCGCCCCTTTTCTCGTTTCTGTTACAGAAAGAGGTGGTCTTGGAAATAATGCCAGTGTTGGATTGACTGGGTTTTGGATTGAATACAGGCAATGGCTGCTTGAACAAGAGAATGGAAAGCCCAGAGACAGCGATGGCCAAAGCAGATGTCTTGTTTCTACCTTGAATGGCTCTGTGATTGAGAACGGACACACAGGCAGGATTTAAGCACAGGAATGCACCATGAATGGACCTTGCCTTGGTCTTACCATCCTTTGCTTTGATGGTTTGTGTGGGATGAGAGGTGGGCCCAAAGCAGTACATGCACGTCTGGGATGTCTTGTGTTCGTTGGTAGTATGCACAGTGGCGACAGATGAATGTAAGCGAGGCTTCCATTTTCCACCATACTTCAAATAACCCTTCAAACGAGAGCCGACACAAAGACCACCATCTCCAATGAACATTGCAAGTGACGTTTGGGGACGAACACCAGCACAAAAGGATCTTTCACGCGAAGCAAAACGAGAACGGAAACGCCTGTCGATATGCTCAACCTTGTTAGAGTATTTTGCTTCTTTGAGTGGTAGAACGCTCACAATGCTGGGCCATTGCTTCTGTGTGCATCAAGATTTGACACAACATCCTCTACCTCTTTGGCTCTGAACACACTGGATCTCGGCAATTGCTGCTCAATCTCTTGAACCTTCTTTCCTTCTTCTGTTGTTTTTTTGTCTTTCAAAGTGATCTTTTGCCTCATAAATTGGCCAGAACCAAAGTCGACATCTTCAGCACGCATCTTGTATGACTCTGGCAGAGGTTCAAATGTTGTTGTCTGACCACGATCATTAGCAGTAGCACCGGCGTCGTCATCATCACCATTGGGATCTCCATCGCATTTAACACTGCCATCACGAATTTCATCCTTGTCACTAGCATCGTTCGTAATAACTTGATCAACGCCATTGCCATCGTTACCAGCAGCAGTACCAGTACTATCAGACAAATTGCCTTCATCAGCATTGAGATGGGTGAGAGGAGAGAATCTATTATGCAGTGGCAAGTGATATTTGTATTTGTTCAGATTCATGCCAATAGTTTCTGTCATTACAGCCAGCCCGTTATCAGTACCCGAAAACACCATTGAATCGAGATGTTGGTCAGAAGGAGGAGGCTCGTAATTTGATACAAGAGGGATGTCTTTGTTTCTATATTCAATGGCTTTTCTTGTCAAAAAGGCACGAGTTCTCATGTTGGACAGTTGTTGCTTGATCTGTTTGATGGTGGTGAACAACTGGTATCTTTGAGCCTTCAGCTCTTTGATTTCTTGGTGTTTGCTACGATCAGTGTGCCACTGCTTCTTCAAGTCCTTGATCCTTGTAGAATACTGCTCCTTCTTGTAATCCTTGTTTGCAGCCTTCAGCTCATCAAACACAGCCTTGTTATCGATTTCCAGTTGGCCAGTGTCTTTCTTCAGTGTTTGATTAGTTCTGGTTTGAAGCTCTCTCACGGTATCCCAATCAATATCTAGAGGTTTCTTCGTATTGGAAACTGACTTGTTAGAACTTGGTTTGGTACCCAAAATACGGACAGAGGTAAGACCAGGCAGGATGGTAAGGTTGTGAGCAAATGTCAGACCAAAGGACTCGCAGGCTTGTGTGATGGCACGCCTTGTATGCTCCAAAAACCTCTGATTGAAGCTCGTAGGTTTCAGGAGTCCCAAAGATATTTGAAACAGGGAAACCAGAAAACTCTCGTGAAGCGCCAATCTCGCCCGTAACATGCGAGATGGAGGTATTGGAATTCATAGTAGGTCGATTAAACATGTTGTTTGCGGAAGAGGCGTCCGTAAATAGGCACTGAGTATCCGACAAAAAGGCGTTGACCATCAGTGAACAGGCGTTGGCAATGAGCTGACATGTTGCTTTTCATTGATGCACATGAAGAGAGAAAAGAAAGGGAAACACCTCAAAGCCTATTACTGATACCGAATATATATATAAGCAGGTTGAAACATCAAACAGAGTGTTGCAGGAATTACTGCTAGGCACCAATATATCAGTTGCAGTATCATATTAAATGCGAATTGAAAATCAGGAGAGGACAAAGACTATCGAGGGAATATAATCGCATTAATGAAAATTTGAAAGGAGTAGCTCATGTCAGGGTAATACAACAGAAAAACGGGAGGCAGTTTCTTGTTATACATATTAAACGCTATCAATCCTGGAAAACGTTTCTCTTTTTTTTTTCTGCTTCTTTTCTTTCACTTGCATATAATGAATCAATTGCTACCAAAAGTGTCTAGTGAGCAGTGTACTACACCAATACCTGTTTCACTGGATTGCAATCAGTCAAATCAAGTATTGTTTGATATGGGAGACATAGATCCTTTCAAGGAGAGTGTGGAATTACAAGCCTGCAATGATGCTACAGTGGCACAGTTATCAGTAGAGAGAGAGGATGCCATGGATACTGTGTCATCAGCCTCATACAGGGCTATACCAACATCGCTCAGTCTAGAACGTCAAAGCGGCACGGATTATGGTGATGAGGACATTGAAGACATCGACATGGACTATGATCATGAGCTACCAAAAGAAACTCAAGTGCATTTGCCAGCCATGGAAATTGTCATTCGAAACCTGGGCATTCTACAGGAACGCCAAAAAGCACAAGCAAATGCCCACTTGAAACCAGCACAAGAGCGCGGCATAAACAACACGGATACACAGGACATTGAATACTCTTTGGGACCTCCCATCGATACTCAACTGTACAATAGCAGTTTGAACAACCTAGATAAAAGCATCAAGAACATTCCTGTCAATCGCTTAGGGCCTCGAGAACAAGAAGAAGCGGGTAAGTGCATGCCTTTTCAAAACGTACTTGGAGCTGCAGCTCATTTGTTTGGGTGTATAGATGAGCCTGTGCGAAAAGGCATGAAGTACATGTTTGACAACAATTTTTTAAAGGCGAAATCACTGTTTCAAAAGAGATGCTACAGGTAGAGCTCTTTTGCCATCCAAAGATAGACCGTCAACTTATAGTTATTAGTGATCCACTGTATGCTCTTGGTTTGGGAGCCATGACATTCATTAAAGCCATGATGGTAAGTGCCAAATATCAACAAAGGGTTTATATATCAATTTCGACATATAGACATACAATGAAGATGATATTCAGCTCGCCATGGATACCCTTACACTCGCGTACAATATTGCAGCAGTACAGATTGATAATGCAGCGGTTAAAAAGCCATACAAGAGCACATGGTCCTCCTACTTGTCGACTATGGTTTCTTCTAATCAGACTGGACTTCCCAGCTGTCCTCCTGTAGTGACAATGAAGACGGACGATACCAGCTACTCAAATGACGGTCCAAAATTCTTACCAAATGGCGTGTTGCGAGCCAACGTCGTAAAGGCAGAGAGCTGTTTACTGATGGGTATGCTACAGCTGACTCAGGAAAGCGTCGTTGGCTATGTTAAATGTGGACTCAATTTGAGAAGAGGTATGTTTGCATATAATCAAAGAGAGCCTTAATTGACTGACACGACCACGTACAAGCCTATGGATGTTACACGGTGGTGTGGCAAGAACACAAAAGAATGGGGCAGGCATATACGAAATACATGGACAGAAATACAGTATCAGCAATACAATTTGGCATCGGCACGGTGCACTTGTTACTGTCGTCATTGCCGCCAAAGATCCTCAAAATATTTTCAACCCTCGGCTTCAAGAGTGATAAACAATTGGGATTTGCGTTGCTCAAGCTGTGTCTTGAAGGCAAAGGCATTCGAGCTCCTTTGGCCTCCTTGGTGTAAGTATTGCAGATCAAGCAGATGTATAGGCCATGCTAACAAGACATGCTGTTTAGATTGCTGACATACTTTTCCATTCTATCATCATTTGTTCCTCAAATCTATACCAAAGAACTGATGGGACCCGCAGTGGAATGCCTTACAAACGCGCAAAAGAGCCACCCAAGCTCTTGCTTCTTCTTGTTTTATGCTGCTCGCATCAGCCGCATTGCACGCAATCTTCCACTATCGACGCAGTCATTCACGTTTGCCGTGGATTCTAGTCGTGGTGAATGGGCTCATGAGGCCATGTCACACATGGGCAGCTATGAGATTGGCTTCAACTTTGCATTACAGCTCGATTGGGTATCAGCAGAGGTGTACTTTGAAAAGCTGAGAAAAGAAAAGTACTACTGGTCTCCAGCATTCTGTCAATACTTTATTGGCGCTTGCCGTGGTATGCTTGGGAAACGCGCTGAGAGCATTTTAGCATTTGCAGAAGTACCTCAAAAAGTAAATGAGCAGCAAAGAAAGTCGTACATTGATGTGTACGTTCAGCAAAAGGTCGAGTTTTTTCAAAAGAGCGGCTATCAGGACATGGATTTTTGCTTGCCTGGACTGGAGCTCTTGCTGGTATGGAATGCCTTTGATCAAATGCAAAAGAATGCCCTGGAGGTGTGTCTCTTGATTGTGCAGAGTACGTTGGAATTGATATACGAAAGGGAGAGAGCAGAGTACAAGATCCGATTGCGAGAATTGGTGCCATCAGCCAATCCACCAGACTATTACGATCAACGCGCCATCCTCTTGCTGATCAAAGCATCAGTTTTGAACGCATTGAAACGATACAGTGACAGCATTGCTCATCTCAATTGGATCATGGATCACAAGCACCAGCTGAAATCAGAGACATGGATTATTCCATTCACCTACTGGGGTACAGTATATCAACATGCAGTTCAGAAGACATGCTAATAGTGTTGAACAGAGTCTGGAGTAACCAGCTGGGGCATGAAAAATTACGAAAGAAGCCGCAAGGTTTGGGAAAAGGCTCTGTCCTGTACAAAATATGCATTTGAGTACAGAATGGCAGTGCGATTGAGTTTGGCTCTATCAAAATGTGACGAGATTGGTGTCACCGTCAGCAAGTCAAAGAAGCATAAAGGCATTTCCACCAATGGTCGTAAGAGAATGCCAATTGTACCTTGCTAACAAATGTTTGTGAAATGGTAATTGCATGTTTGTTGTACAAGCACTGGTGTGTAGAGTAAATGTTTTCGATTGTGTCGTTGAAAAAGCAACAACAGCATGAATCATGGCTATTTTTTAAGAACTAAATAAAATCACCATTTAATAGAAATCAAGAAGAATCTATTTAATGTTTAGAAAAGCACCATTCAGGCACCAATTATGATTGTATCATGCTAGCAAGGGATCAGCAGAATCAACTCTTTAAGGCTCCGCGTACAACCCGTTCAAAAGTTTAGGTTATTTCATAATTGATAAGCTCATCATCTCTTTCTGTTTCTCTTTTTTATTTATATCCTCTAGACAAACATTGTGTATCAGTGTCACATCACACACTGATCCTATGCCAGCATCAATTAACCTCATTACAGAGGCAACTCCACTACTGTTGCAAGATGCAATTATACCTTTTAGAACATCCGTCTACTTATACAGCCTTATAGCCGCAGTGGGTGGGTTTATCTGCGGATTCGATACAGGCTCCATATCCAGCATCATCTCACTGCCAATGTTTCAAAGCAGATTTTTTATTAATGGATCTTTAGCTTACTATGAGAGTATTCTACTGGCATCCTACCTGGTTACATCCATGTGCGGTGCCTTTTTTTCTGGTTATTTCTGTGGTAACTATCATTATGGTACATTCTCATGTTTGACATTTTTAATAACTAACTTTTGTACCAAGATGGCATTGGAAGAACGTACGCCATGCTACTTGCTACTTGCTTTCTTGTGCTAGGTATTTCTTGTGAGCTATCAGGATTCAGTGCGCACACATTACTTCTTGGGCGGCTGATAGGCGGCTTAGGCACCGGTCTCATGACGAATGCGATACCCTTATATCAATCAGAGATTGCACCACCAGATATTCGTGGCCGACTCATCAGCATATTTGCACTTTTGGGATCATTTGGTCAGATGGTGGGCTATTTTGTCACGTTTGAAAGCAGCTACTATACTTCCCATTGGAGCTGGCGGATGCCTTGGCTGGTGCAGCTCATCACTTGTCTATTGTTTGCGGTCGCTATCTGTTTTCTGCCATATTCACCAAGATGGCTTATCGATAAAGGAAGAGAGGCCGAGGGTCTTGCTGTGCTGTCAAAACTGCATCATTTGCCACAACAGCATAAAGTGGTACAAAAAGATTATCTGGAGATCAAGACATTGATTGAAACTGAGAAGCTGGATGGCCAAGACCGCACTTATGCAGAGCTGTTTCAAGGTTCCAATTTGAAGAGAGCACTACATGCATTTTTCATATCCGTTGCTACCTGCTTCACCGGGAATGTGGTTATATCGTACTATGCCCCTCAAATATTCAAAAATGCGGGTTTTAGTGATGTTTCGATATCGCTGGCATTGACAGGGGGCATTGGGTTCCTTTCGCTTGTCTTTACTGCTCTATCACTGCAATGGTGGATAGATCTCTGGGGAAGAAAGGCACTGTTTCTTATCGGCTCAACCATTTCTGCTATATGCATGTTTACTGTTGGATTCATCTTTTATCTTTACACTTGTGTAGCTAAAGACGATACTGTGATTGTAGCTAATCCATATGCTAGGTATGTCATTATTTTATGCATTTACGTATTTTCAGCTTCCTTTGCCGGTACTTGGGGAGTCGCAAACTATGTATATACAGCAGAAATATTTAGTATGCGTTGTCGTGCCAAAGGGCTTTCCTTGACATATGCTATCAGCTGGGCTGGTAGTATTGTGATTACTTATTGCACGCCCTTCTTTATGGCTTACACCATCTCTGGCGTCTATCTATTTTTTGGTGCCTGCTCTGTATTGACACTCGTTGGTGTGGTGCTTATACCCGAAACAAAAGGAAAAACTTTGGAAGAGATTGATTTTATGTTTAACAACCATAAATGACTTGGGCGACGAATAGAAGATGTAGCATTTGAAATGAGAAGGGCCATATAAAAGAACAAATAAACTTTGATCGTTCTCACTGTTTTGGCTTAACAAATAATGCCAGGTCAAATGCAATCAATATTTGAGTCATTCGTTGGTCTGATATAAAGCGAATTACACTTTGTATGATTTATTACATTTACCATATTTGCGACATAAGAGATTGCTGTACAGTACTGTTATTCAAAGATATTTAGATAGATAAAATTTAATACAAAACATAGTTTTATTAGGAGTATGGGATTAAAGTATAAAAGGGCGAAATTACATTGAATACAATGCATTAAACTAATGGTATTGCTATTGTGCATGTGCAATAAGAGAGCATAAAGCTGCATTGGCCATTTCTCATAGATGTCACTGAATATTCAAGTGCAATTTCTTTGGTCTTGTTGGCTGGCATGTTATGGTAATCTGTACTGGTTTTAGCAGAGCGTGGGCAGTCATTAGACGTCAATAGCTTACCTTGATATCTTGTATACAACGGTGAACACTGATTAGATAGTATCCATCCATTAGTGGGTAGTAAGAACGCTTTTGCTGTAAATTGAGAGATTTGGGGCGCTGTTGATGTTTTTGCTGATTTTGTACGGAAAGAAGGAAGAGGAAAGGAACGCAGTAAAAAGAGAATGATGAACCCTGAGATTGGCAGACATTAGATGTAATCAAGGTAATCAACATATTTGTGGTCTGCCGCTCTACAAGGCTCATCGTCGGCCTCAAACAGGTACGTAACCACGTCTTTGTGGAAACGTACCTGCCGAGAACCCCTCTCGTTGCCAGCAAACTCTTTCTCCACAGGAACTGTATCATTGAAAGAGCTGCTTCCATCCCCCACTGAAGGTAATTCGGATAAAGAAGAAGAAGGTAGAGGCGGATTGGAAGAGGAGGGAGGTGCAACTGGAGGAGTAAGATGAGAGGAGATAGATGGCTCCCCTTGAAGGACAAGAGTAGTATCCTGTCTCTTCAAAGGTCGCTCATCCAACTCATCATCTGCCGACTTTCTCTTTCTACTGCTGCGGATGCTAGTGGTAGAGGTAGGAGCAGAGAACTAGGCATGAATGCTTATATGTCAGTACGAAATATTGCTTTGCGGTAGTTGTCTTGTGTCATGGTACTTACACTGTATTCATAGCCTGAGCGTAACAACATTTTAATAGTAATTATTCAAACGAGAACAAAAAGTAAAGAGGGAGAATTTACAGCATGAATGCACCTTTATACCTTCAATTGCCTTCAAAAAATAGTGTTTTAGTTTCTTTTTTGATAGCAATACGCGTCAATAAAGCATGACAGAATGAGATGCCACTTTCCCCCATGTATTCTACAGTTAATTTGAGACATCACCAAAAGTAAAGCAACTTTCAATTATCATTTCCCGTAGAGTTAGAAGTAAATGTAGTGCTTAGTATCCTTCCCTTCAATTTTGCAACAGCACTTTTCATAACAAAAACTTTTACAGGTTCCTATACCTGTGTAACAAAAGTCATCACAAGATCACGGAGGAGTTTTGTCTTACCGTTTCGAGCTTAATCTATATCCTGAACAGCAATGTCAATAAAAGACGGGATCAAAAAATTATTATCGAGCAAAATATCGTATAAAGCATCAAATACCCTGATAGTGTGAGTCTTTTGACCTTCCACTGGCATGTGAAAGCCACTCATAGCTGTTGATTTGACTCTCTTACAATGCACTTCGTCTGTAGCAATACAAAAAATTCATTTAAGGGCCCACAGCATACTAATAGCAGACCTTACTACTCGAAAGTAAGTAAAATACAGCTTGATTTGGATGCATTTGAGATGTGATTTCTCAGGTCAGAAGCCGTTTTAGGCCCCTAGAATTGCACCAAACGATCACTCTCATCTAGCACTTACTTACTGACACATTTGCTCAACTTTTTTTTGGGATCGCCAAGAAACTATGATAGGGTGGCCAAAGTTATTTTTGGTCTTGCAACCAATTGGTCGAAAAAAACGCCCAAAACCTTAAATAATGCCCACCTCAAGAGTTGGGCATTCTGCATAATTTTCTTCATTTTTTGAAAAAAACAGTTACAAGTCTAGTGTAATAAGAGTGCAATGATTCTGTAAAAAAAATAATATATATATCTACTAGGGAGGGGCGGATTGGTGTTACTATTTGCATGTCTTTAAACTTGGGCAATATTTATTAGAAAACATGAAAAATATTTTTGGGCGAGTAGTATTAGGATCAAGTGATGGATTTATTGTGATAAAAGTACTGTATATAATGAGTAGTAATGACAGATATTTTCACTACCGTTCAATGCTTGTCAAAAAAAAAACTATCTATATATATATGTGTGTGTGTTATACTAATGTTTCAATCATGCGGATTGAAACGTATGTAATGTAGATCATTACATCTAGCTGTTTCTTCTGCCACTGATTGCTCCTTCAATTTTTCCTCTCATCTCTTGATATACTCACGCTTCTTTCAAATTATAAATGTAATCAAAACAAGTTGTAGATTGATAAAAAGGAAAGGATATGAGACCACATTGACAGCAGCAGATCAAGGATGGCCAATGTTGTAGGGCATTCGATTGGTGCTGTTTTTTAACCAGAAAACGCCCAAAAACAACTTTGGCCGCCCTATGAGGTACTTTTTTTTTTATTGATTGCTCCGTGTAAGTAGGTCCCTAGGGCACTACCAAGAGGCGGGCGCAATTGATATGATATTCAATTATATTTAGGATAAAGCGATAGATGACAGGAACAGATGATAGATGACAATTGTGATTAGAGAATTACAATTGCTTGTGAATTTCAGTTTGGGCATGTAGTTGAAGGAGCTCGTTCTTGATCTGCTGGACCACATCGATCCATATAAATGGAGTCGAGTGAAAGATCATACGAACTTGAGCTCGCCAAATGTTGCCAAGTGTTACCAGTACGACCATGTGAGCAGTGGTGTATGATTTGGAGACATACTTGATGTTTTCAAAGTCAAGCGAGGAACAGGCTTGGATAATATCACCAATCGAAACGGTTGGCCACAAAAATTCAAAGATGATAGCTTTCCAGATGGATGCCTTACTGGAACAGAGGAAAAGCAAGTGTACAGCATTTTCTTCGTTACCACAGATTGGGCAGAGAGGTGACTCAGCTATCTCAAAGTAGTGTAGCAGGCGTTTGGTCGGGATGGTGTGGGTGAGGAAGCGATAGATGACATTACGGTGGACAAGGTTCAGGGACAGAGACCAGAAGAAATTCCAGTTGGACCTGGCGATGCTGGAGATATGAGCCTTGATGCATGCTGTGCGGAATGCTCTGGTTGAAATCTGTCGAGTGAGTCCTTGCTGGCTGTTGAAGTCATAGGAATCAATGAACGGTTTAAAGGAGATGTCGGTTGTGCGATTGGTGCCATCCTGATGGGGTTGTAGCATGAGGTTAAAGTACGGTTGGATATGTACTTTGTTCTCGTTGATTTGCCTCAGGATTTTCTTGCAAGCGCGTCGAATGTCAGCTGGGATGGTTCCTATGAGGTACCTCTCATGGTTTTTATCGAAAATCAAACGACCAAGTTTTTCACCCCAAAAATGAAGGTTTTTACTATGATACATTAAATAAAAACGTTCTTATCGATCCAAAGCAACCTCTGAAGCCTCATTTGTGATACTTTCATATGCAAAATATCGACGATTTTGCTAAAAACCTCATTTCCTATTTTTAAAGATTGCTCAGTAGGTTTAGTCATAATATCTTTTATAATTAGCACCATTGGATGCGCCTTAAAAAGTACGCCAAGAAAGCTTAAGGCTGTACAGGATAATCACCTCAATTTATATAGTCGAATTTGACAAAATAGAATAAATCAATTCGAAATCGACCAAATCTATCCAATCTTGGCCAGATAAAACGAAAGCTTGAATCTTGCGAGTATAATAATAAGTGACAAATTAGTAAAGCGGTCTCTTGAAAAAGCCAGATTGAGCACATTACCTTGAAGACTCAAGCGTCCGCTAATACAGCACCGCTGCCGTCCCTTTTCTCGTTTCTGCTGCAGAAAGAGGTGGTCTTGGAAATAATGCCAGTGTTGGATTGACTGGGTTTTGGATTGAATACAGGCAATGGCTGCTTGAACAAGAGAATGGAAAGCCCAGAGACAGCGATGGCCAAAGCAGATGTCTTGTCTCTACCTTGAATGGCTCTGTAATTGAGAACGGACACACAGGCAGGATTTAAGCACAGGAATGCACCATGAATGGACCTTGTCTTGGTCTTACCATCCTTTGCTTTGATGGTTTGTGAGGGATGAGAGGTGGGCCCAAAGCAGTACATGCACGTCTGGGATGTCTTGCGTTCGTTGGTAGTATGCACAGTGGCGACAGATGAATGTAAGCGAGGCTTCCATTTTCCACCATACTTCAAATGACCCTTCAAACGAGAGCCGACACAAAGACCACCATCTCCAATGAACATTGCAAGTGACGTTTGGGGACGAACACCAGCACAAAAGGATCTTTCACGCGAAGCAAAACGAGAACGGAAACGCCTGTCGATATGCTCAACCTTGTTAGAGTATTTTGCTTCTTTGAGTGGTAGAACGCTCACAATGCTGGGCCATTGCTTCTGTGTGCATCAAGATTTGACACAACATCCTCTACCTCTTTGGCTCTGAACACACTGGATCTCGGCAATTGCTGCTCAATCTCTTGAACCTTCTTTCCTTCTTCTGTTGTTTTTTTGTCTTTCAAAGTGATCTTTTGCCTCATAAATTGGCCAGAACCAAAGTCGACATCTTCAGCACGCATCTTGTATGACTCTGGCAGAGGTTCAAATGTTGTTGTCTGACCACGATCATTAGCAGTAGCACCGGCGTCGTCATCATCACCATTGGGATCTCCATCGCATTTAACACTGCCATCACGAATTTCATCCTTGTCACTAGCATCGTTCGTAATAACTTGATCAACGCCATTGCCATCGTTACCAGCAGCAGTACCAGTACTATCAGACAAATTGCCTTCATCAGCATTGAGATGGGTGAGAGGAGAGAATCTATTATGCAGTGGCAAGTGATATTTGTATTTGTTCAGATTCATGCCAATAGTTTCTGTCATTACAGCCAGCCCGTTATCAGTACCCGAAAACACCATTGAATCGAGATGTTGGTCAGAAGTAGGAGGCTCGTAATTTGATACAAGAGGGATGTCTTTGTTTCTATATTCAATGGCTTTCCTTGTCAAAAAGGCACGAGTTCTCATGTTGGACAGTTGTTGCTTGATCTGTTTGATGGCGATGAACAACTGGTATCTTTGAGCCTTCGGCTCTTTGATTTCTTGGTGTTTGCTACGATCAGTGTGCCACTGCTTCTTCAAGTCCTTGATCCTTGAAGAATACTGCTCCTTCTTGTGGTCCTTGTTTGCAGCCTTCAGCTCATCAGACACAGTCTTGATATTGGTTTCCAGCTGATCAATGTCCTTCTTCAATGCTTGATTAGTTCTGGTTTGAAGCTCTCTCACGGTATCCCAATCAATATCTAGAGGTTTTTTCGCATTGGAAACTAACTTGTTGGAACTTGGTTTGGTGCCCAGAATACGGACAGAGGTAAGACCAGGCAGGATGGTAAGGTTGTGAGCAAATGTCAGGCCAAAGGACTTGCAGGCTTGCGTGATGGCACGAATGTCGAAAAAAGAATTAAACACGGCATCCTTGTATTGTATTGCTATTCCAACGTTTTCTATGACAAATCCTTGAAAGTCAAAGATATCCATTTGATCATCACCTCTAGTACATAAGGCATACAGAGAGGCCGCGTCCACACGCATTGCATGTAATGAGCCACAGGAAGAAATTGGACACAGATCCACGGCAAACTTGTGGTAGCCAACAGAGCAAAAGATATCATTGGCCAACAATAAGAATGGCAACTGGAAGCCAATGTAGCTATAATGATCTCTAGTGGGTATATAAGGCAGCAATAAGTTTCCCAGAAGCATGCACACGCGATTCTCTTCTTCCGTGATATCGGGACGTTCCTTCTTGAGCTGTATATGGGTAATAGACTTTCCAGCTTGCCTCACCAAGAGATTTCTCAGGGTAGCTTTGAGAATCATAATTCGTCTTCTAGGCAGATCACGGATGCCTTCCTCTTCTTCTTGGTCATCTTCTTCATCTATCAGTTCAGAAAGGGGGAGCAGTTCGTCAATAGGCATATCAGCACTATCAGGATCAAAACTAGCATTGGAGGCAGTAACAGCGTCAGAAGTGCCAGAGGGAGCAGTAGGAATAGATACAGTTGTAGTAAAAGAGCCTGAACCAGAAGCAGATACAGCAGCTTGATCAAGTGTAGTACCAGAAGTAGAAACAGACTTGACAGGACGCTTGGCATCAGCGTACATGTGAGTTATGCGCTCTTGACTATTTCTGGCCAGCTTCGCCCAGTTGTTGTCTTCTGATTTGCCCTGTGCCTTTCTTTGATATCTTTGCAGTTTGTACTTCTCTGATCGGATGGCGTTGTGAAACGAGTTTCTGGTCGAATTGACAACTTGCTCGGGTTGCTTCTTTGCTTTGGTTTGTTGACGTTTCCAGTAATGCGACTCTCGTTTTGGGGCGAGATGCACGCGAAGAAGAATATCCAGTAGCTTGTTCAGTGATTTGTTAAATACCTTATTACTTGCCCACATGTTTTCGAGATTTGTTTTGTACAATCCTCGAGCCACCATCATGAGTTCATTAGCAGGTTGAGGCGTATCCCTTACGATAGCACCAAGTATTGGTGCATTGGCGGACGACAGAGCAGCAAATGTAGGATGCGAGATCTTGGTACCTCTTTGGCCAAACAAAGCAGTATGCAGATAATCAATGTGTCTGCTCTGGAAAAGATCCTTGACACCGTTGCAAAAAGCCGTAGACTTCAAGGCATTAGAGGGCAATGGAGGAGCAGAGGTAGTGACATCCGTTTTCATATTGTAGCCTGCTGGGAGGATGCCTTGTATTTGGAAACCACGAGCTTTCTTCAGCTGAATATTACCACTACAAGCTAAGAGCTGCGAGGACTTCATTGAGAGCATCAATGTATATATCATCAATTGCAAGTCCATAACATAGTCAGATACATCATGCAATGCAGTATTTAGCTTCTGCAAAAATGACTCGACAAGATTGGAAGGCACATCCTTTCGTAAAAGGCTCTTGAAAGACACGGTACAAGTGCGGTATTCTACATTGTCTGGGGGGGAGCTTCAACCATGGATATATCAGAGGGATTATGCGAGATTGAAGACATTGCTGCATGTGAAGGGGCGCCAGACACAGAAGACATGTCGGATGCCATGTCCATGCCAGAGAGGTCGCGGCGAAGAAACGCTACAGAGTCAGAAGGAGCAATAACCGGTGTAGCTGGGATGGATGCACTTTCACCAGTGGATGTAGACGTAGTGGCCTGAGGCTGTAAAGATACCACAACAGCATTGAAGTGATCCTTGACGTACTCTTGAAAGTATTGAAAGTTTTGATTAGTACCATGGTGTTCAAGATGATTTTTCAACTCATCTTTGGCGCATTGACAGATCTTTTCAGCAGTAGTAATGACACCTAGGGGGGAGCCTCTTCACTGAGAGTAATACTTTCTTGAGTACATCCAATTTACTGGGCTTGTCAATGATGGGCCTTGCTTTGTTTTCGATGATTTCCCTCATTGCTTGAAAAAAACTATCCATCAAACGCTGCGGCGAGGCACCGAATGATTTGGGCCTTTTGACAACAGGCTGATAACTTGATGTGGACATGGCATTTGTGGATGCTACAGCTTCATATTCTCTTTTTTTTTCCCTTTAGCAACGACTCTTCTTTGGGGAGGACGACTGGTTTGAGTGCCGGTAAACAGATCCTTTTGCTCTACTTTTGTTCGCACACTAGACATTTGACACAGAAACAAATAACTAGACAAGAAAAATGTGAGTATTTGTAATGGTACGGCGATTAACCAGATCAATACATACTGTAACAAGAGTAGTGCTTTATAGATTTGGTTATAAATAAGAGATGTCAAGACACAAAAATATGACGAGAACTAAGAAATGGCTTTAGATAGTGTTGATGCTACGCAAACAAAGAGTGTAAAGGAACGAGAAAGAGTGGAGAGAAGAGAAATACATACTGAGAATGGATGCAGATTTCATGAAGGAATACTTCAAGCGATTTTACAAGTCAGGCATCAATATATCATATCTAGAACAAGTTTAGGGTGTCTTAAATAATGTTGTCAATAGCTGTTTGACAGATGCAGAGATATGCCGCTGCATATTAGACAACAGTTATTTTTACATTATTCAAATGTTACCTATCTTGTCCTGAAAACAAGACACACAAGCTTGATCAATAAAAAGTTGTATAAAAAGCAAATAAAGCATTGTGCAATTCAATAAGTACAAATACATCCGCTAACATTACAATGAAATACTGGAAGAGGGTACACTTGCTTTACAACTGCTCCACAACTAATACCAAGTATCTGCCTGTGAAGCAAATATTTAATTGTGCAAGAGCTCTGTAAATTAAGCTGTGTGTACGTTTGATATTCAGTATACAATAGACTAGCCGATCAATCTCGCTACACTCGATGACGATGTCGCCCTGCGGGCTCTCGCCGAAAACATCTTATATCAGATATAATAAAATTTTGATATATCAAGTAGATTTTAAACAATCAATTATTAGTAAAAGGTTATCTAAAAGCCAGGAGGAGGAGGAGAGGAGATATCTCCCTCGGCATCTTTTTGCTTATACACTGATATTAAACGAAGCCTATTATTGAGACGATGTGAAAGAGAATTCAAGTTTTATGCAGCATTCATACACGACAATCTCCATATTCTGATAGTAGAATTGTCATACCATTCGCTACTGCTGATGCTCTTAAGATGGCGTATAAAGCTGGTTATGCGCAAATACAGGACTTGTGTAAGATCTACAGCGCTTTTTTGAGATATTGTCATTGCAAAAGACGCCTTTATGAGGCAAAACTCTCCAAAAAAAAGCCTTCAAGCCAAACAATTGTTCATTCAACTTCATTGTCCCCATTTAATAAGCATTGCAATCATCATTGTCATCATTAGAAGGGCATTTGGTCAGCCAGTAGCAGCGCCGCCGCCAAAATTGATTCAAACTCAGTTTTTTTTTTTTATTCAAGATTGGACAGATTTCGTCTTTTTTCGACTTGACAGAACAATTTTGTGATGTTCGACTATATAAATTGTGATAATCATCCGATGCTTCCTAACACATTCTTGAAGTACTTTTCAAGGCTCTTCCAATGGTACCAAGTAATATAGATGTTTTGAATAAACTTATTGAATGATTTATGAAAATATGAAAAGAGATTTTTGGCCAATATGTCGAGATTTTGCATATCAAAGTCCCACAAAGATGATTTCAGAGGTTGCTTTGGATCGAGAGAAACATTTTGATTTAAGATACACCATAGTAAAAGTCTTCATTTTCAAGGTAAAAAACGCGATCGTTTGATTTTCGATGAAAACCATGAGGTACCCCTCCTGGTTTTTGGTCGATTTTTGGCCATGCTTTTTAGATCTTCAAAAAGTTGAGCAAAAGTGTCAGGAAGTTACTGCTACTCAAGTACAATTGTTTAGCGTTATTCCGGCGGTTCAGGAAGGTCTACATGTCGAAATATGAAGGCTTGAAAGCTGTCAAGTTTGGCTATGTATTGCTTTATAGCTTTTATTTACACGGCATGAAGCGTATCCTTGGTAGCTAAAATTTTCTGGAGGAAGGGCATTTCTGCGGCCTGTGCAATTTCTAGTTCAGATAGAACAAATATTGATTTTGGTAAAGCTAATTCGTGCAAATTCTGATGCGTTATGTTGTTGATAGGTCTATTTGTAATGGAAATGAAAGCCTGAATTTGCTGCTTGAATACTATGGTTTTGCACCTTCGCTTCGCTGAGGTAAACTCCCTTTATAGGTCAACGTTACCAAATGTTGAATTAGATGCCAAGTCTCCCTCCCCAGTGCCAGCTTCGCCAGTGGTTTTTTCGAACCTTGTACGGTACTCAGCGCTTTAAATTTTTTACGTCTCTGACCTCTGATTGGTCATTCCGACGTTTTTATATATATAGCTTGCTGGTAAATATATTAGAGATGATGATGATTGGCAGATGTCAGACATTAAGCTCGCAAGATTCAAGGCGTGCGATCAAAGGGTAATCGGAGCTTTAATTAGGCTTTGCTGGCAAAGTCAATGCTTTCCGTTTTATGAAGGTAATGGATACTTTTGAAACTAATAAGAAGGGGATTGCAGATCGAATAATACTATCGCGTAGTCTCACTATGTTTATTTAATTTCGTTATGTAGTTTTGCATTTAAATAGCACCAGTCCGCCTGGATAGCCAGCGAAGCATTCGTAAGCCCAGTGTGCTTTACAGGCTTTGAATGAGTCTAGCGATTATATGTAAAATTGAAAGCATCTAGCTATTCTAATTTCATTGTATGATGGTGCTTGGATATGTTGGGATGTCTGGTCATTGAAATGAGTGGAAGCATTTAACAGATCAACAATAGCATATACTGTAATGCATCTCACAGTCCCTTTCAGCTTTGCAACATTTGTACCGATTCCCTGTCTTGATTAAGCTTACATTTTGGTCTGATTTCATCGCACTGCATAGCATGCATCATTTTCAGCAAAGCCAAAAGCTGCAACTCGTAAAATCTCAAGCAAATCAGGGTGGTTTTTCTGGAGAAGAATTGATTTAATCTCACATTGGATGTGTGGTGGTTGCACCTAATGTTGACATTGACATGTCGAATAAATACAACTACTTAATGAAATGTCATCAGCTTGCACAAGCAATTCAGGCATGTCTATTCAAGGGAAACCACTGTGAAATGGCCATTTATCGAGAATTGAAAGTTTTTGGTAATGAGCGATATGAAATTGATGATGGAGACACAAAAAAAAAAAAAAAAACTTTTCAACACAAACATTCGTGATTGGTTAATTTGCTGCGAAAAAAGTAAGATGAAAGAGAAAGAGGAGGAATCCTATTGTTATAAATGAGAAGGCTTGTACTCTTTACCTTTCCCACTCTTGCTTTTCCTTTAAACTTACTGAACTCCGTAATTCAACACTTTGGTTCCTCGAAATTAAATAGAGCTAAAAGTTTCGCATAATTTTGGATACAACAAGCATAAATATCATCAACAATCAGCACATCTTCTGTTAAAAATGGCCCGTGTTCATATGTTCAAGTCTTCTGTTGATAAGCAGAACAAAGATGTAAACTTACCGCAAGAGACTCCCGCCCCACCTTCCGTTATAGACAATACCACCACCACAGAAGAAACTTCCTTGGACATTACAGCTGCTGATGCGCAATCACCTAAACAAAACAACACATTGTCTCAACTGCATCGCACCGAAAGTGCGGCTCTCACTGCGGCTCTGTTACAAAAGGCCTCTTCTGATATGGATGTTGCTGGTGCTGTTGCAGCTGTATTATCTGCCAAGCCAGGTAAGTTGTAGAATGAAGGGGCTAAAATGAAGGATACTCACATTGGGATAGACATGCTGAATGACTCATCTCAACAACAGTTTTTGTCTTCATTACAACAACAACAACACGATAAGAGCGAACACCAAGATGACACAAGCACTAGTTCTCAACAAAACAACGTCTCAACTGCTCCTGACATGCATCATCCACCGGAGACTATGATTGCAATGAGAGGTAATGAGAAATCAGAGACGACCACAGAGTTCATGGATCAAGCCGCAGCTGCCACGGCACTGCAATTACTGGGTCTTGCACAGCAAAACAATATGAATTCAGCAAACAGCAGCCCTCTCAAATCGAATACTACCTTATCGCAGCCCGTGAGTCAAGCAGATACCTTGAAGATGGATTACGCATCACCTACTACAGGCCAATACCAAGTATCACCTGAAAGCAATGTGATGATGATTGCCAACTATCCTACACTGGGCTCTCCTAACACCACACAACCCACTGCTACCCCCCACACTACTGCTACTACCACCACCACAGCGACAGCCGATACACCAGCTCCTGAAGATGTCAATCAAAAGAGAGGTGCTTGGACACGTGAAGAGGATGATTTACTACTGGCTGGTATAAAGAAATTTGGGTACGGTAGATGGAAGGAGATTGCTAGCATTATTCCCGGTAGAAAAGGCAAACAACTGAAACAGCGATGGGATAATACGTTAGCAGCGAAATACGTAGATCAGGAGTGGTTGCAGAGCAAGATAAAGGATGAAGGAGGAATGAGCAGTATGAAGAGCGGTGTTCCCGCCTCAGCGATAAGTAGAACCAATAAATCAAAGAACAAGACTTCACCACAAGCAACCAAAGCAGTAACAAACACTGCCCCTCTTCATACGCCAGATATCACAGATTGGACGATGATTGCGCAAAGAATATCCGAAAAATTAAGGGATGGCGATCATGGTGCGTTGGAAGCATTGATCTCTCAAGCACTGATCAACTCACTTCAGGCGACCAATGCCGCCGCATCTACAGCGACTCCTGCTGCAAGCGCCACCAATGCAGCAAACCCTATCAACAGCACTGTCCAAAACATACTCAACTATTCTGATCCCTCCCTCCTGCTATTTCCACAACAATTACCGCAACAACAACAAAAATTACAGCAATTGCAGCAGAAACAATCACAGCAATCATCAGCAAATGCAGCAGCAACTGGCAGTGTGGATTCGAGCAATCAAAATCCATTTTATATACCTGCTCTTCAGCAACAGGCACAACAAAGTCAGCAGCAACAACAGCAGCAGCAGCAGCAACAAAATCAAGAGCAACAGAGCCAGCAAGTAGTAGTGCCACCCAGTTCACAAGCAACAAAGAAACGTAGAAGATCTGATCCTGCTCTCGCGAATACCCAAAGTGATGCCATGAACATTTATGCCTCTGCTCAACCCATTACAACCACAGTGAACAACCAAACGCAAACCTATTATCCATGCCTATTTCCTGACTGCGGTAAAACATTTGCCAGACTGTATAACCTCAAAAGCCATTCAAGAACACATACAGATGATAGACCGTTTGTGTGCAATGTGTGTCATATTGCTTTCAGCAGAAATCATGACCTGAAACGACATGGCAAGATTCATGGTGGTGATAAACCCTACCGTTGTTCAGGATGCAGTAAGAGCTTTTCAAGGTAATGTATATACGGAGAAAGAGTATCACAGGAACGTCTACTAACTTGGATGGGCAGGTTGGATGCGTTGAAGAGACATAAGAGTAATCAAAGAAACAAGGCAACTTGTGTAAATACATCGCTTTCGCAATAAATCACTTTATTCATCTGTTTCATGCAACACGAGACGTTTTCCAACCTTCTTTCGCTGTTGGGTATTGCGTGGAGGAGAAGCACTGAGACTGGAAATATCAGTTTCACTGCCATTACTGAGATTGTCATTAGCTAATTTCACGAGATCACCATTATCAAAGTAGCTATAGCCATTGCTGTTGTCCATTTCAGCTTCTTGCATCTCCAAGACGCGTTGGCGTTGAGAAATACCGGTAGGGTACTTTTCTTTCAATAGCAAGGCTTGTACATCCGTTAAATACGTCTTGAGTGTGTCTAAAAATCTTTGTGTTTGTCTATGTTTTGAAGAAGCAACAAACTAGACAGCAGCATGGTTAGATACATGGACAAGTGTGATTGTCGGATGCCACACTTACAGCAATGCCATCTTCTTTGATAATGTAGCCAATGCCAAAACCATCTGATACAGTAGGTCCAAAGCCGAATAAACGCAGAGCAGGATTGCCGCAGTTGGATGTGCTAATGACAGTATGGTTCAAAGTCTTCCATCCACGGTCAGTGAAGATTCGAGGTTTCTTTTGATCCTTGTGCAGTCTATCCCACACACACTCCAATGCGTACAAATGACGATCTTGACCCAAGCCCATAGAGCACTCTCGCGTCAGCTTGGTGTGGTACTTGAGACCACTGCGAAGCGCTTCCAATTTCTCATGACTTGTGGCAGTCTTTGAATAAAAGACCTTTACAAAATTGACAGAGGCATTAGACACACTTCGGATAGCTTCAGTGCGGCCATGTAAAAATGTCTTGGTCATGGCAGGCTCATAGGTACATTCGCTCTTGCCATAAAGGCCGTAATAAGCAGCTTGGAAGGCCATCTAGCAGGTGCAGTGTGTTGGTAAGATATGGTTACCATATTTTATGACGACATTGCTTACCTGAACAAAGGCATCGGGACTCATCTTCATGTCAGTGATAAAGTATTTACCGTACTTGTTAAACTCAAGAACCTTTACTTCGTTTTGTAAAATCAAATCACTCAGACGAGTCTCTGCAAAACGTATTCCCAAGCGAAGTGGCTCGGTTAAATTCCACTCAATCTTGCGTGGGTTGATGTCAATGGACCCCACATTGCCTGGCTTGTTTTGACCGTCTCTCTTGTAGGAATGGAAGATGGATTTGGTCTGGCTGTTGATGGTTTTAGCAAAACGAAGGATGGTTTCTGTATAGATGTCTGATACATAACGGAGCACTGTATGACCATCCACACCTGTACATGTAATTATATTAGCTCATCATGAGTGTAACCAGACATAATAGGTAGAGTGTTACCAGTGTGCTCGAAATTGATGCCTGCACTACCATTTTTGCAGACGATAATCTAATGTGGATAAATAATTTAGACACAAACAGTTTAGAATAAAACTAGGCTGTAACTTACCTGAAGCTTATCATACCATCTATTCGTACAAGTTCCCACTTGCATGCCGTCAACAAGACGGTAAGTACCACACAACATGTTGGTACTCAATTCGTTGGTGTCAGCGGGTTCAACGTGATCAAGACAAACAATAAAGAGAGCACTATCAATCACTCGAAGCGCTTCACCATTGGTTTCATCCGACTGCAATTCTTCTCTCAATCTGGCCCAATTCAGCCGGTTTTCTGTTGTCAATACACCCATTGCGTTTTGAGAGATAGCAGAAGCAGGGGTCATGGCTGCATCTTTGCTAATTGCTCGCAAATTGGCTGAAATCTCCTTTTCAGTCAAAGCAATTCTGCCCTGTTCGTCAAACACTTCGAAATGATAAAACTGTGATTGAGCCATGACTACAATGTGCCTGGCATCGTCAGCTGGTGCAATGTAGCAACCGTCTCTTGTAGGCACCCGTGCGGTGGAGAACAGGCGTCCAAATTGAGACATACAGAGAGGGGTGCCTCGAAACACATCAGGCTCCAGGTTCTTGGATCGCAATGCTTCGATAAAGATCACGGTGGAAAAGATGAGTGACGAGGCTCTCACAATTTGGTCATTGCGCAATGGCGTTGGGTCGTCTTCGAGCAAAAAGAAGGGGTTCAAGTTCAATACCACTGGGTCAGTATGTTGCAGGTAGGAATCGTACCTATATACCATATCAAATGATTTACAATCAGGTATCACAATACATTTAAGGTTTATTTTGTGGGGAAATAGAATTCAGACTTACCAAAACTCTTCAATGTAAGAAGATTTATCCGTAGCGTAGGTTTGTAATTTAGCTTGAAGCTCTGGTCCTTCTCTTTGAAGGAATTCTTGAACGGCTAATTTAGTTTCTATATGCTCCTCTTCTGTCTAATGATATGGTGTGGTCAGCAATCAAGCCAAGAACGTCGTTTTCGCACGGTTATACTCACTTGCAATGGCTGCAGAGCAGCAAGATACTTCTCAGCAGTGTTTTCCAACTCAGGAATAGGTAGTTTCGGCAGTTTGTCCTGGAACTTGAAGGTCTCTCCACCACTGGGATCAGCGGGCAAGCTTGATTTTCTTTGTGTGGGAGATGTTGTAGGAGATACCAAGTCGGCTACAGTCATATTCATACAGGATTGAGGAATAAAAGAAGAGGAAATAAAAGCCAAAATGTGAGAATTTATGTTTGTTTGTTGATGCGCCGCTTAGATATTCTCCATCATAATAGTAAACCTGTGATCTCCCACAATGACAAAATAACATTTATGCCTGCAATTAAGGAATTAAGGGCTCCAATTGTACAACAGTAAAAGCCACTGTCCAGTCTATCATTTACGCGTTAATCTCCGGAAATCCCTCTTGTTGACTATCAGGCTTTGTGAATGTGACGATATGCCAGTAGAGAGTGACATGAGGGATGAAACAGCTGTCGTATACATGTATACATCACATGCTACATAAATTACATAATATGCAGTGTTTTCATATAAGCATGCTCTCGTGTTTGATGTTGATCTGCTGTTCATTGTATGTGCATCTCTCTCTATTACTAGCATTGAATGGATGTAAATTGCTTGTGCTTTCTTTTGTCATGTATTGTACACAGTAACCAACGATATTGCGATATGAGATATACAAAGTGTATGGCATCTATTGTGTGAATGATGCACCAGAGAGTCATACACAAGCTTGAATATATGGATAAGATGGCATGCTAGCTGATTGCAAATCACTGATGTGTAGTCAAGCAATGATAAATCATTAAATGACAACCTTTTTTCTTGTCCTTTCTTTCCACCACAAAAATGGGATTTATATTTCTTTCTTCCATCACTTTTTAGAGGCTATATATTGATATGGAGGAATTTTATGGTGCTCATGTTCAGCAGATACACCACATATGTTCATCAAGTCATTTTATAAAACTCAATACTGAAATGGAATATATCATTCTCATTCTAATATGTAGTTGGAGTTGCTCTTTTGGCGGGAATGTCCTAGAAGCTTCCCCAAAAAATGTCGCCGCAAAAAATCATATAAAGCATGTGCACTGACTTGGAGAAGAAGTAGTCTTTGCATTGATACACACGTGAGAGACAGCCTGTTAATATATTAACTGTAAATATCTAAATCAGCCATTTGTGCGCCTTTATCATGACATAATAAATGCTCAGTCCCTAGACACTTTTACAACCCTAACATGCAAACTGAGTTGCCAGGCATTTGTCAGGCCTGGCTCATATATGATTAGAGATTTTATACTAAATTACGATCAATCAACAATCAAGTTTCTTCCAACATTTTAGCTATTATTATTAACTTTACGATATCAGCCAAAGTTCTTTGGCAGTGTGAGCTACCTGAGCGTAGGTTGGTTTCCATGAAAGCGATGCGTAGGTCAGGAAACCACCCAAAGAGTCAAAAGGCTCATCGTAGCGTAATAAATTTATGGTCTCTAAACACTTTCAAGGTCTCAAAAAGAAAAGAGGTTAATCTGACAAGTATTCTGATAGATTGACGTTATTAAATATAGAATGCAAGAAGAATAGCATGGCTAATAACAATGCTATGCAATTTTCCACCTACTTTCCTTCATGATTCAAAGGGCATTGAGTTTGCCAGCTGGCCCCAAAGCCAAAATCAGTTCAAGTCCAGAATTATAATCTGTTCCAAATTGGCCAAATTTTGATTTTTTCCACTCGATTGAACTATTTTAATAGATTCGACTAAGCAAAATATGATAATCATCGTATGGTTCTTTAAGCTTTCTTGGAGTGCTTTTCAAGGTCCATCCAATGACACCAAGTAAAATAGATGTTCTGAATAAACTTGTTGAGCAATTTGTGAAAATACGAAAAGAGGTTTCTGGCCAAAAAGTCGAGATTTTACATATCAACGTTCTACAAAGATGATTTCAGGGGTTATGTTAGATCGATGGAAAAAATTTGAATCAATATATACCATAAGAAAAGTCCTCATTATCAAGATGAAAAACGCGATCGTTTGATTTTCGATGAAAACCATGAGGGGTACCTCATGCTTTTTGGTCGAATTTTGTCCATGTTTTTTCGGTCCACAAAAAGTTGAGCAAAAGTGTCATTAAGTGCTAAGTAAACGCAATTGTTTGGCAGAATTATTGCGGCCTAAAACGGGTTCTAACACCAGAAGACACATATATAATTCACACAGGCTTTGCTGTGATTTGCGTACTACTGAGCAGTAAGAGGTAATGCAGGTATACTGTCTGTTGTTTTCAAGTTTCTCTCATCGATACAAATTTAGGGCATCCTGAAGAGCCAAGATCTATAGCTATATGCCACGTATAAACGAATTTTACATTGTAACGGAAAGATAGCAAATGAAATTGTAGTACATTTCAAGAGATTTCTACATTATTTGAAGCGCTGTTCTGGACATTTGTGTCTTTTTAACTATCACATGAATTACCACTGATTGATGGTTAATCGTTATACCTTGCATTTATAGACGGCTGCTCTAAATCTTTAATTTCGATGGCCGGAGGTCTTTTGGCTGCATAATGTACTTGCAAGTGTGGTGTCTGTAGCATCACCTAACCAGATCCTGCATTCCTTTGCGTAACTTATGTTTGGCAGAAGTTATCTTATCTTCTTACTACTCTAAAAGGAAACATTTAAAGGAACCTGTTTGTCAATCTAAAATGTCATTTTCAGCACGAGCAGGAAAAAGGTATAAATACAAAGACTTTTTTTTTCTGTATATTTTTTTTTTTTTTTTTTTTTTTTTTTTACTTTATTTTTTCTTTTTTTTTGTGTATGAAAAAAAAGCTTCATGAAAGAACAATTATGTCAAGTATGAGGGGTAGAGAAGGTAAGGAGAGAGCTAAAATGGATTTGTATTCTAACATTTTATAAATTAGTAGACACGAGCGAAAGGAGGAACGGGCTTGCACTCGGCTTCATCGAGGGTAGTATCAGTGACAGAACGGTAGTCAAGCTTGACTTCACCGGTCTCTTGATCTTGCCAAGAGAGGGTGTGCTTCATCCAGTTAACATCATCACGTTCTTGGAAATCATCACGAGCATGAGCGCCACGAGATTCCTTACGGACAGCAGCAGCGTGCATGGTTTGAGAGGCACAGGTCAACAAGTTTTGAAGTTCAAGAGTCTCACACAAATCAGTGTTCCAGATCATACCACGGTCAGTGACACCAACATCCTTGAAGGATGCCCAAACCTTATCAATCTTACCAACACCTATTCAAATGGTGAGTTTCAAGCAGATCAAACACACTGTCAAATCAACAAACCTTCATCAAGAGTCTCTTGGGTTCTGAAAACAGCAGCATCAGATTGCATGACCTTTTGCATGTTGAGACGGATCTCAGATGTACGCTTGGGACCTTCAGAGTTTCTGAGCTTGTCCAAGTTGGCAATGGTAGCGGCACCAGCATCAGCAGCAAAAGGCTTCATGGGAGTGTTGGGTTCGAGAGTCTCAGCAATGTGGTGAGCGACAGCACGACCGAAAACAACGATATCCAAGAGAGAGTTGGCACCAAGACGGTTAGCACCGTGAACAGAGACACAAGCTGCTTCACCAGCAGCATAAAGACCGGGAACAACCTCATCTTCACCCTTATCATTCACCTTAATTACCTCACCTGTGTACTTGGTGGGGATACCACCCATGTTGTAATGGACGGTAGGCAAAACAGGGATGGGCTCTTTGGTGACCTATTTTAAGACGTTAAAATCGTGATACTCTTAATTTACTATAAAATACTTTCATCAACACCAGCAAAAATGGCTGCAGTTTCTGAAATACCAGGCAAACGTTCATGAAGAACAGCAGGAGGTAAGTGGTGGAGTTGAAGATGGATGTGATCCTTCTCAGCACCAACACCACGACCAGCCTTAATCTCCAAAGTCATAGCACGAGAAACGACATCACGAGAGGCTAAATCCTTGGCAGTAGGAGCATAACGTTCCATGAAACGTTCACCAGCAGAGTTGACAAGATAACCACCTTCACCACGAGAACCTTCAGTGATGAGACAACCGGAGCCATAGATACCAGTAGGATGGAATTGAACGAATTCAAGATCTTGGAGAGGGAGACCAGCACGAGCGACCATGGCGTTACCATCACCGGTACAAGTGTGGGCAGAAGTACAAGAGAAGTAAGCACGACCGTAACCACCAGTGGCAAGAACAGTCTTGTGAGATCTGAAACGATGAAGGGTACCATCTTCCATGTTCAAAGCAATAACACCCTTACATTCACCATCTTCCATGATCAAATCAAGAGCAAAGTATTCAATGAAGTAATTGGTGTTGTGGCGAAGAGATTGACCATACAAAGTATGAAGAATAGCATGGCCAGTACGATCGGCGACGGCAGCGCAACGATAGGCTTGACCACCCTTACCATACTTCAAACTTTGACCACCAAAGGCACGTTGGTAGATCTTACCCTCAGGGGTTCTAGAGAAAGGTACACCGTAGTTTTCGAGTTCAATGACAGTGTGGGGAGCTTCACGACACATGTAGTGAATGGCATCTTGGTCACCAAGCCAGTCAGAACCCTTAACGGTATCGTACATATGCCATCTCCAGTCGTCCTCTGTCATGTTACCGAGAGCAGCATTGATACCACCCTGCAGGTTATGTTAAATTTCAATTGTGTAGCATGCGTAATTTGTTTAAAATCTTACTTGAGCGGCAACAGTGTGGGAACGAGTAGGGAACAATTTGGTAATACAAGCAGTGTTCAAACCAGCTTCAGCAAGACCAAAAGCAGCACGAAGACCAGCACCACCAGCGCCAACAACAACAGCATCGTATTCATGATCGATGATGGGGTATTTGCTAGCAATGGAACCCTACATTTAAAACGAAATTGAGTTTAAACAGCCCTCATTGTTTACATTTCGATATCCTTACGGTAGCCTCAGTTGCGCGAAGAGGATTTGTGGACATGACCTGCATGGCAGGCTTAGCATAATGAAGACCACGAGCAGTTAATCTACCAGCGTTAGTGTCTATTCAATGAAAATGTGTAAAATTAGAGCTCGAGTTGAAAATCGCATCATTTGAAAATGTGGGGTAAATGCTTACGGGCAGCACGCAACTATAAGATGTTAGTATCGTTTTCCTGCAATCGCAATCATCAATCACTTACGGCCTTGGGTGAAGAAGACTGTAAGAACTTCAACATTTTATTTATCTTTAAAGAAAAAAAAAGTAAAGAGAGAGGGGGGTGGTGTTTGTTAAAGAAGAAAAAGGGGTGGGAGTAGGTAAGATGGAAAAGAAGTTATCAGTTGAATCGAAGCCGTCAAGGGAAATATAGATTGGATTGAATGGCCCAGTGCCAATGTTACGAACCTTTCCGCGATTCTTTCCATCGTTTGTGTATATTTTGTATTGTAAATTTGACGGTGTTGAACAAGGTCCCTTGTTTGCTGCCTGAACAATTCACGTGCAACATGAGAAAGTTTTTCGTGATAATGTGAGGATTTACCCCGCAATTCAATTGCTCGGTTGATATCGTTCAAGCTTTTAAAGTATTATCCGTGAAAAAGATTTGTCATGCGTCGTCCAGTTTACATCTAATGAAGGCTTTTTGTAACAGTGCCTCCAAATTGAACAGCATTTGATTGACCCAGCTTTCGCTTTGTGGAAACTCAAATTTGAGACTATTGTTTCATGTAATTCTTGTAGAGTACATCATTTTTTGTTTGCTTTTTCCCATTTTTCAACGATATCTTGGTTGGAAGTCTATGTCTAGCTTGTTTTTTTTTTTTTTTTCTCTGTTACATGCGACTCATCTTGAGTATAAAGTCAAAAAGCAGGAGCACATTCTTCAAATCATTCAAGCAAGCAGAGGTTAACGGATTTGTATACGGGCAAGCAGCATACTGGTATTGCCCCCTTTCTAGTTGAGAGTGTGCCTACTACAGCAAACTCTGGGTGCATTTGAGCTGCGTTTTCTAGCGTTCAAGGCCGTTTCAGATCGTCAGAACAGCACCAAACAGTTGCTCTCATCCAGCAGCTACTTGATGACACTTTTGCTCAACTTTTTGAAGATCGAAAAAACATGGGCGAAATTCGACCAAAAAGCATGAGGTACCCCTCATGGTTTTCGTCGAAAACCAAACGATCGCGTTTTTCGCCTCGATAATGAAGATTTTTACTATGGTACGTATTACATCAAAATGTTTCTATCGATCAAACGTAACCCCTAAAGTCATCTTTGTGGGACTTTGATCTGTAAAATTTCGACTTTTTGGCCAGAAACCTCTTTTCATATTTTCGTAAATTGCTCGATAAGTTTACTCAAAACATCTATCTTATTAGGTACCATTGGATGCGCCTTGAAAAGTACTCCAAGAAAACTTAACGAAGCATAAGATGATGAGCATATGTTATATAGTCGAATCTGCTAAAATAGTTCAATCGAGTCGAAAATCTTTAAGATTTGGCCAATCTGAAGTAGACTAAAAGTCTGTGTTTGAATTAATTTTGGCCTATGGGGTAGGCTGGCAAACTCAATGCCCTTCTAATAATCATGAAGGCAATACAGTAATCGATGCTTTTGAAGCGTATGTAAAGTAGGTGGAAAATTACATAGTGCTATTTTTAGCCATGCTGTTCTTCTTGCGTTCTATATTTAATAGCGCCAGTCTACCAAAATACTTGTCAGATCAACTTATTTCCTTTTTAAGGTTTTGAGAGTGTCTAAGGACTGAACATTTATTATGTTATGATGAGATGATATGCTCATACCCATTGCCTAGACATGAGCGCAAAATATGGGCATAATTATGGTGAATAGAGAGCGAGAGATAAAGCATGAATCTTGTTCGCTAAATGCGCGTGGCAAAAATACTCTAAATATGACGAATCGTGTTAAGAACTGGCCTGATTTACGCTTCATGCTTAAAATACTCACATTTGCCTAATTCCGGACTTGACTACTTGTACAAGCTTGGCCGCCGCACATTTCTAAAGAACAGCAGCAAGGCTTGCGCTTTCAGCCTCATTAAACCAGGCGCCTTCAAAGAGTACGCGATGAGCACAAGCTGCTCTAGCAAGCTTTAGTTGTAAGACGGACCGTCTGCACTCTGGGAGATGTTGCGAGTGTACGGTTAAAGAGAATCAGAGAGAAAGAAGGACCTGGTCAGGTAGAATCTTGATTATATTGAGAGCGATACAACAGAAAGCATAAATGATGATATAAATGCGTCAAGATAAGCCATCTGGAGCTCCATAAAGAGAATAATAAGAACTTGGTTGCTACGAAAAGCTGAGGCTAAACAAATGCTGCCCCTGAGTGCTTGTGTAATGAATAAACGCCTTCTAGTCATGTGTGTATTCACATCAACCTTTGTTCATTTTAATTCTATTTCATGAGGCTAATAGTGATCTGGCTCGCATTTCAATACTATTGCAGTCGTTTTTGTTTTCTGTCAGACATTCAGAAATCATCGAAAAATCAGGAACAACTTGCTACCCACGTTACGCATGTACAGTTAGGATATTTGATTTAATATTGCTAAACATAGCTATCAACATTATGTTTATTCTGATCTTGTTGATCTTATACGTAATGTATGTACATATCTAAATGACGGCTAGAGATAAATGAGTTATGCTTGCGTAATGCCTTTGATTTTGACGTAATGTGTGTGCTATGGCCTACAAAAAGGCATGTAATTTTACTGAACAACAACAGAAGACATATTTAGTTAATTTTCGCGCGACTATGGCCGAAGTTTAATGTTGTATTTTATTTCGCTTAAGGAGGTGTAATAAATCATATAAAAAAAAGCCGTGTGCAAACATAAAATAAGGTTGATTTGAGGAAGAGGGGTCAAATATCACAAAGCATATAGGAATAGCATAGAATGTAAGAGCATGTAATATAATAAATAATTGTCTAAAGGAATGGGTAAACTATAATATGTATAAAAATAATTGCATAGGAAAAAAAAAAAGGAAATAGGATACAGATCAGCACGGATCAGCCAGTTTTAAATGATCGCGAGATGTCTAGTTGCTATTTGCCTTTGGGGTTACTCGAGTTTTCCTCTCCTGAACCATCAGTATCATCATCGCCCTTCATCTTATCCACTCCGTAATCGTTGTCAGTGTTCTCCTGCTGTAGTTCATGTATATCGTCTTTAAGGTTTGCCATTTGATCTTCATGCTTCTTTTTGTTGTTATTAATAGAGGAATCCTCGAGATACACATGCTTGCTTTTTCCTTCCAGTCGCTCCACTTTTTTCTCCAATTGCCGTACCTGAAGCATCAAATCGTCGTAGGCGAACCTCATTTCACGCTCCATCTCGGCATTGTGAGCCATTGCTTTTGAACGGCGCCTTTTATCTCCATTATTGTTAGCAACCGAGGAAGTATCAACATGATATTGCATTGGCGATGTACTACTCGATGATAATGCTCCAAAATTTTGGACCATAAAATTGATTGTTGCTGATGAAGAGTTGGACTTAGCTGCTGGCGTTGATGTTGCTCTAGATGGTACATCTGCCAAGAATGCGTTTCTCAAAGAATCCAACATGATCAGTATGGTAGCACATTCATCCCTGAGAAAAGCGAGCTCATTCTCAAGCTGATCGACAGTTTGATTGGAGTGCGGGTCCTTTGTAGCATCTACTCTCCTTGTTGTTGTTGTTGTTGTTGTTGTTGTTATTATAGCTCCACTTCCACCATCATCTTCATCGTGTGAAACCCCTTCTTCTTTTGATGTGTCTTTGGTATCGGTTTGACTTCGTTTTTTCCTTTGACATTGACTTGTGGTTGCAGTTGATCCTCTTCTCTTTCTCTTACCAGAAATGATAGGTGAGGGTATAGGTGCTTCAGAAGGAGATGGGCTTGTTGTTGATCTTTCAGTATGCTTTTGGGGTTGTCTGCTTTTTTCTTTCATAATGTGCTGAATTGGTTGCGTTCGATCAATTGATGGGGCGGCTAAAGGAGAGGAAGGGCCGCTAAATGTACTCTCTATGTTTGACATTGGTGCGTTGAATGAATTGCCCATGGGGTGCTGCGTGGTATAGAATGTAGGCACCGAACTAGCTGATTGATATTGATAATGATGATGATGGTGTGGAGGAGGAGGAGGAGGAGGGGGAGCGTAAGCTGATTCAGTATAATATTGCTGAAAATGCTGTTGTTGTGATTGAGGATGATTAAAACGAAAGTAGCTTGGATCTGGCTGGTAGGCATTTGACCAATATTGATCTTGCAATTGATATCGCTGTTGAGGATGTTGATTCATGTCATAATAATAATGCCGCTGATCAATTGCCTGCCCTATCGATGGCCAGTTCTGATTGTAATGCACTATGGTGGTCATTGGTGAAATTGGCGATGCAATAGTGGAGGGAGACTCTGTTGAAGGCTGGGCAAGTACAGGATGAAACTCTTGTGGATGTGTATGTGGATGTTGATTTTCATTTGATGACAAGTGATAGTTATCACTCATGGAAAAATGACTTATATCTATGTATAATTGAGTCGTTTTGGGAATATTGAATATGGTGTCAGAAAGAAAGAGGGAAGTGGATAAAGGCCAATTGATGTAAGTGAACAGAGAGAAAAGAAGAAAAAGATAGGATTATACAAGTTTAGTATTAAATATATAAATCAACCTTATTAAATGAGCGCAAAAATTTACGTTCCTTTTTGTGAATAAGCTTTTCCTTGCAAATGTAAAATTACTCAAAGAACAACGTATAAAGCATCTCCTTTATATACTGAATCCATATATGGCTACAGCAGGCAATTGATCTTGGGCGCCACATAGCAAAACTTGTTGAAAGTTTGGGACTCATTGTGGCTCAATTTCATTTTCAATGCCAAACGTCATGTTACAATGATTGATTTATACCAAAATAAAGCATAGAAACGACGCTATCCAAGAAGATTATCGTATAGGCAAGTGCTCTGGTCAAAAGATGGTATTAGCCTCATCTTGGCAACTGAAAACTGGGTCAAGTAAGACAAGAATAAAAAATTCTCGCTTCTCGGATTGCTCCGTTTGGGGGGCTACTTTTTCTGCGTTTATTTCCTGATGGAGTCAGAGCTCCGTTCGCTTACGATAGAACATGTATTTGAGAAACGTTTTATGCAAAGATGATCACTTTTGGTCTACGCTTACCAAGATGGCGCTCCCCTGTCCATCATCTTTCACCCTATACACCAATAGCCTTTTCTGTATGCAGTCAATTATTAATAAATGTGATACAATCTATCGCAAAATTAAATAACAGTTTTTGACTTTGGGATGTCTAACCTAATTGAAAAACGTGAATTTTGCTCTGGTGATTGCTGCTCTCCCAAGAAGCAAGCGTGGAAATGCAAGTCGCGTGCGTGTGCGTGTAGATTTGTCTCTCCCAACATGGATACTTGCCAAAGTAGCTTGATGCTCCTTTTGGCAAGAATTGAGTTGTACAGGATCTCTACTTGTTCTTCACGAAGAGACTCCTATTAATATCTAGAGAATAAACAAAGAAATAGGGCACATACGACAGCCATTCCGTACCTTATTATTTATTCAACAATTAGTACTCTTAGTAAATTAAGGGTTCTTTTTTTCTCTTTTATTTCTAAATGTGAAATTTTGCACTAAATTATTAAAGTTTTATGGTTTTTTAGTTCCATTGTTGTTGCAATTTAATGATTTGCAAATGACAATTATGATTTCCGTGTATTCTGTACTTTCTTCCCCTTGCTTAAATTGAAAATGCAATTATTTGGATCCACTCTTTCAATTATGGCGTATGCATATAAGCTTTTCACTTTGTAGTCTCATCAATTGGCATCTGTAGCCATGTATAATTGGCATTGAACTTGCGTAATGTTTTAGTGTTACAATAGATGGGTATCACAACGTTAAAATTTACAAAAAGAAACATGTTTGTTACACATGAGTGAAACTTATTGTGTAATTTGCTATGGAGATAAACAATTACTATGCGTATTGAGAAAAAAAAAAAAAAAAAGTATACGTGAAGAGCAAGTAAACAAACAGGATATCTAAATTCATGTTAAAAGCGAAATAGGATTAAGAATGTATTGTTTCCATGCATGAGTGAGTAACATGGCCCTGTATTTATTATTCTGCTTTGACCCCCCCCCCCTGTGAAATATCACAATCGAACTACAATACAACAGGAAATTTCCTTCTTGGGTCATTGATCCGAATGTTTGGACGTGCGCGAATAAAGATGCTTTCCCTGCAGCAGAGAGAGCAAAATACACATGTTTGTTTAGCGTCACCTGCAGAAGCATAAAGAAAAATATCTGTATTGCACTTTAGGGACAATGCATTAGATAAAAGCACTGATTTGTCGTTGTTTAATGTACTCCAATAAACTTAGAACTCGTATTTTTGACAAATAACGACTCATTAAGATGCACATTTTGGCCTTCATTAGCAATTTCAAGCCATGCATTGTCAAGGAACGCGTGCCAATACATTCCTCAATTCATGATGAACTCAAATACAGCATTGAGGATTGGAAGAAAGTTGGCAGCATATTGAACGTCATTTATGCAATATGGTTACATTAGTACCCGTTTGCTGTCAACTAATATTAAACCATGAGCTTTAAATCACTTTAATACCAATCGCTGCTGTCATTTCATGGCAAACAAGCATCATCTGGTATAAGATTGTTCTGTATTTACGTCTTGAAGAATCCAGTGATACTTGTTTGTTCTAAATAGATCAGTGCTGCCGTCCAATGCAATTTGACATCCTTAACTAATTGCCAGGCTAATGACAGTGGTTCGTGTCTTTTTCCACATGTCGATGGATTTATATTTACAGCAGCCATTAAAATGCAGCATCTTCTTCCATGCGCAGCGATCGATAAAGGCACGGGCTGAAAGCCTACTATTGCATGAAATTTTCTATTTGTTAAATAAATTGTAACGTTACACTTGTCTAATGTAAAACTAGCATTTGAAAATTGGGCCGTTATCTAAAATTAGATTTGAATATGACAGCAAGAAAGTGCGGATATAAGCTTACTTTTATTCAAAGAATGACGATGCATTACCAACATAATTAAACTATTACTTGAGATTGAAACTGGAAGCATTTGGTATCATTATGTATTAGTAGATGCAATTCAGAATAACGCTAGTTAATTACATGTCTACGAGAAAGAAGTTACTGTAGATAATAACAGATTAGGATTACAACGTTGTGCCAAAATTGCAGCATGTAGTGCTATCACAAACAGTAAACGAAATTTGGGGCAGATAACATAAACCCTTTTGCCAAATTAATAGACAACCAAATGCCTATATGCATTGGGTGGGCCTTTACCTTAAGGTTTCTTCAGCCAGAAACAACCTACGTTATGGCCGCTCAATGGTTCGTTTGCCATTGTCCCACTCGTTGAATTATAGAGAGCATTATCAAATATCCTGCTAATATATACTAAAGCTTCTTCAATATTACCCAAATTATTATTCAAAGGCCATCTGTAACTTTGCATCAGGCTCTTCAACGATGTTTCTCGTCTGCGTCAATGGGTAAAATGTATATGAAGACAGACAGAGTAGTTCCTTTACCTCTTACCACTCAAATAAGCGCAGGTAAAAGCGACATTCGGGTGCATTCAAGTCGTAATTTCTCGCGTTAGAAGCCGTTGCAGACCGCCAAAAAAGCACCAAACAACTGCTCTTATCTAGACTTACTTACTGACACCATTGCTCAACTTTTTGGGGACCAAAAAAAAAAACATGGACAAAATTCGACTAAAAAGTACGAGGTGTACCTCATGGTTTTCATCATAAATCAAACGATCGAGTTTTTGACCTTGAAAATGAAGACTTTTACTATGGTATATCGTAAATTAAAGTATTCTATCGATCCAACGTAACCTCTGAAATTATCTTTGTGGGACTTTGATATGTAAAATTTCGACATTTTGACCAGAAACCTCTTTTCATATTTTTATAAAGCACTCAATAAGTTTATTCAAAACATCTATATTACTTGGCACCGTTGGATGCGCCTTAAAAAGCACTTCAAGAAAGCTTAAGGAAGCTTTGGCTGATCATCATATTTTATATAGTCGAACCTGCTAAAATAGTCTTTTTTTTTAAATTTTGTTTATTGATTGAGCCGCGTACACTAGGAGTACTGGGTCGAAGTGAAGAGGCGGGTGCAATTGAAAAAGAAATAATAAAAAGAAGGTAAAATATTAACTAAACTAAACTAAACTAAACTAAACTAAACAGAACTATCAAAACTATCAAAACTACAAGAGGGAATGGACTAAAATAGTTAAACAAAGTCGAAAAGGACCAAAATCTGTCCAATCTAGAACAGACTATGTATCTGGGCTTGAATTAATTTTGGCTGGTGGGGCTGGCTGGCTGGCAGACAAACTCAATGCCCTTTGAATCATGAAGGAAAGTAGGTGGAAAATTGCATAGCATTGTTATTAGCCATGCTATTCTTCTTGCATTCTATATTTAATAACGCCAGTCTATCAAAATATTTGTCCGATCAACTTTTTTTTTTCTTTTTGACTCTTTGGGTGGTTTCCTGATCTACGCATCGCTTTCATGGAAACCAACCTACGCTCAGGTAGCTCACGCTACCACAGACCTTTAGCTGATATCGTAAAATTAATAATACTAGCTAAAATGTTAGAAGAAACTTGATTGTTGATTGATCGTAATTTAGTATAACGTCTCTAATCATATATGAACCATGCCTGACAAATGCCTCACAATTTAGTTTCCACATTAGGGTTGTAAAGTGTCTAGGGACTGAACATCTATTATGTTACGATTTATAAATTGAAAGCTGCAAAGAATAACATTCTGATAGGTCAAATATTGGCATCCTGGTGATACAGGACGTAAGATACTTGATTCAAATGTACCCTGGCAGGAATGATTTGCACTATAGAATGACTTTAAAAACATGATTGTTTGTTTGTCTGGCCATTTAGGGAATGCAAAAGACAAACAGAGCATGGGAAGCTTGCTAATCTGAATGTAGGTACGCCATGATGGAATTGCATCATGAGAAAAGTGGTGCCTGACATGTTGCCAGGTTTCTGTCACACTGACTGACTAAACTTTTATACGAATTCACTCATTTTCTCACACAAACGAAAAGGAAACGTTTATGCGGTTCTGAATAAATGTATCATTATCATTGCGCGCAAAAACTAAGATTGATGCATTCGTGCTGTATACGATGCAATGTATGGCTCACTATGTAAATGAGTAGTACAAGCTATGAAGCTAATCATTTGCTTGTCTGGCGTTCAAGATATGAACATGATGGAGCCACCGCCATCAGCCAAAGACCCAAAGCACGCTTTAAATGTTTAACAACCTTTCTGGTAGAATACACGAAAACCGACCACTGATAAACTTTTAGACCATCTATGCTGCTGTGACTCAAAGAACAAGTGTGTAAAGTTGTATTGCACACATTCAGTTGCACAGATCCTGGGAAAGTACGTTTAAAAAATCACACACATGAAGGTATTTAATAACGCCTTTCTCTTGAATTATTCATCTACCCCAAAACCATCATGTCCACTGCCAACACAGCAAAAAAACGCCTGGAGACCATCAAGCACCATTTGAATCCAGATGAACACCCTCATTTTGAATCATGTATATTGTCATATAGACATACAAGATGTCAACGGACTAACCCATCTAAATCATAGTACGTATTCAAAGAAAACAAAATCAAGTGCCTTACGTCTCCAAACTGGATCCATTGAGTTTTCTGCTGAGAAGCGCCATGGTGTATACTCACAAAACCGCCATCATTCATGGACAAAAGAATTTCACCTACTTGCAACTGTCTGAACGAGTCAAGACATTGGCCAATGTATTGATCGATACATACCAAGTCCAGCCTGGCGATCGTGTCGGTATTCTGTGTCAGAATATTCCTGCATTTGTGGAAGCCCAATATGCTATACCCGCCATTGGTGCCATTAGTGTGCCAATGAATACCCGTCTCGCTGCAAAGGAAATCGAGTACATTACTGATCATTCCGGCTTAACTGTGTTGATTGTGCAAACAGAGCTGATGGGTCGTCTTACAGAACGAACAAAGCAAGCGTCCCACTTGACACTGATCGAGGTTTCTGATTCAGAGAATGTGGACCAAGATCCTTACGAAATCATGCTGGCCAAGTGCAAGTCTCCCCGTCTGGGCTGGAATGATTTCCCCACAGTGGCTGATGAAAATGAGGTGATCTCTGTAAACTACACATCTGGATCCACAGGTAGACCCAAGGGCGTCATGGTGACTTATCGCGGCGCTTACATGATGGCATTGGGCATGGCCATCCATGGTCAGCTCTCGTCTTCCTCTGTATATTTGTGGACTTTGCCCATGTTTCATTGCAATGGATGGGGTTTCCCTTGGGCTATTGTTGCTGTAGGAGGAACACAGATCATGCTGAATAAATTGGACTATGCGCTTATTTGGAAACTGTTGAAAGAGCATGGGGTGACTCATTACAATGGCGCACCTACAGTTCAGAACGAAATATGTAATCATGAAGATGCTGTTCGCCTTGGTCATTCGGTGAATGCCTATAGTGGAGGTTAGTGCTGTATAGAGTCGATGTAGGCATGCAAGAGATTCATATCATATGCGTTTTGTAGGTTCAGCTTTGTCGAGTACCTTGGTGCGTCGCATGAAGGCGCTGAATCTGAAGCCCACACAAGTGTATGGCTTGACCGAGACCTACGGTAGGAAAATAGAGCAATGGACATGGTTAAACAGCAGAAACTCATATTGCTGAATGACAGGGCCAGCTGTGTTGACCTATGATCACTTTACACTATCACAGTATGATGAGGAAGAACAAGCCAAACTGCTTGCTCGACCTGGCTTCAATATCGTTACATCAGATGAGCTTCGAGTGCTCAATGTACAAACAGCCAAGGATGTCAAGCCCGACGGAAAAGACATTGGAGAGATATGTTTTACTGGCAACCTTGTGATGAAGGGATACTACAAGAACCCTGAGGAGACCAAGAAGGCATTCAGACATGGTGTTTATTGGACAGGTGATCTTGCTGTTAGACATCCTGATGGTTCTATTGAAATTGTGGACCGTAGTAAAGATGTCATTGTGTCTGGTGGCGAAAACATCAGCTCCATTGAGGTGGAGAGTGTCATTGTGCAATTAGATGAGATATCAGAATGGTAATGTTAGGTACACAAAGATGTAATATGTCTTGCTCATACTTTCCATTGCAGTGCTATCGTTGCTGGGCCTGATGATAAATGGGGCGAAAGACCAGTTGCATTTGTCGTGCTCAAAAAGAATAGAACATTGACTGAATCTGCCGTTATCGATCATTGTAGAAACTCGTTGGCAGGTTACAAGGTACAGTGTGATTCAGTATAGCGTCAAGCGATTTGATAATAACACACAACGACTTCAGTGTCCCACCAAAATCGTATTTACAAAGGAGATTCCGAAAACGAGGTAAGATACAGATCAAGTCGATTCCTGCACAGCACAATACTCACTACTATCTTAACAATTCATATAACAATAGTACTGGTAATGATATACATGAATGGAGCATTGGATGATGTAGGGGCACAATGGAATCACTCACACATTTGATACACATTTTAGGCAAGGTCCAGAAATTCGTTTTACGGGAGGGATTATGGGCAAATTACAAAAAGAGGATCAACTAGGAGGGCACGAGTATGTAGAATATACAAATGTATGAACAATAGATAATAGCGTAATAAATTGAGCAGCATGTGATGTTTTCTATGCCTGTAGTTTACTTGCCTCCTTGCAAATTACTACTAACAATGAGCATGTACATGGTATCATTCAGTGCACCGTGTTTTATATAATATGCAGTAATGTATTGATCAGACATGGAAAATGACAACAGTAGTTTGAATTGCATAAAGCCATATGATGGCAGCCCTTGAGTATACAGGGAATATAGAAGGAGGAGGAAGGTGAATGTACATATAATCAATGATTTAATCACCAATGTCATCAATCAAGGAGGCCTTTTTATGTAATGTATAGTTGAGATCAATATCATACAAGTGGTTTCTTTCAGAGCTATGCAGCATGGTGTAATTCTATACATCAACTATTGCCCAACCACCGGTAACCATGTTGGATGATGATATAGAGTCTGCATCCTGCCTTGTCAGATGTGCTAAACGCAAAAAAAAAAAGTATCTATTTCATATAAAATGGACCTGATTTCTGATGTCGTTTCGTTTTTCTACTATTATCAAACACACACTCAAACTAAATCAATCCATCTCAGCTATCAAGCATGAAATTGTCTACTACTAAACTCGTTTTATTCATGGTCTTTGTCGTTTGCCTCGTTGCTACTTAAGTAACTGCCAAGCACCACCATAAGGATTGCGATGATGACGATCACGAAGAATGGGATGATGACTGGAAGGACGATCATGATTGGGACAATGACAATGACTGGGACAATAATGATTGGGATCATGACAACCATCCTTCTTCCATCTGGTCCAGTGGCTGGCCTGTACCCACCTTGGGTTAATCCACTGCTTATTATCCTCCTGGTGCCCCTGCTACTTTAACTGCTACTTACACTCAGGTTTACACCGCTACTGGTGTTCCTACCGCCTCCCCCAATCAGCCTCAATACGGTAGCTTAGCCAGTGTCACTGGTGTTGGTGTTCCAATTACACTCGCTGCCATCATGTTTACCATGGTCATTGTAGCTTAATTTTCCATCATTACAGAAATGATCTATTTATTTTTACTTTTTAATAAATAATAAATGAAAAATTCCATTTTTCGACAAAATGTCTCGGATAAATAGGTCAACAGACTTTGCTTTAGTACAGAATTTTGGACAGAGAGAGCGGATATATTCGAGAGTCTTTTCACGCTTTTTATATTGATGAATTCAGCAGGAGGTAAGCCAAAAAAAAATGCTTCAGTGGATCATCTCATACCCATCTGTCAATCAGTGCCAGGCTATGTATCAGCAACCAATTACAGCAATAATACTGGATACCCTCTTCCACCAGCACCACCGCCAGCATATCATGAGGACGCAGGCAATCTTCCAGGACAAACCTATTACCAACCGCCCGCACCGCCTGTGTCATATCCACCACCATCACTAGAGCAAGAGCCACCACATCATGTTAATCCAGTCGCACAATTCTATTCTCCACCAGATAATCGAAAGCTTGCTTTAAGGAGACGTGTATCCTCGTGTCTATGCTGTATAGTGATCATCATCATCATCGTCGGATTAGCCGCAGGGTTGTCTCAAAGTAGCAGCTATAACCACAGGTATTGCGAATGGTAAGATCATGTAGCTATACAGGAAGCGCAGCCAAACACTAACTGATGATGTAGTCGCACAAATGCGGATTGCGTTAGTTTGTATGGTAAGTATGATGGTGATTGCGATCACATTTGCTTACACTAACATGGATGAATAGGGCCCCGTGTGTATTGCTACCAATCTTGCGATTGCGGTACCATCTAACTTATATCTATCACTAAAAAATCACCATTCATGTATATCTCACTATCAATAAATTAATATAAAAGAAGAGTGTGCCATTGGTATCAGACTGAAACCTTTTGTTGATTAATTTAATGGGATCTATTTCATCGGCGAAGCTATTGTGATTTCGTGTATAAATACGTTTCTTCTCTTAACCCCATTCATTATAGAGTCTGCCATGCTTGAAAGTAGACAAAATCAAGTTTTCTCAGACATCCAGACACCTTCAAAAACCATGACTATGACAGAAATGGATAGATCAGATACATCAGTACAGGAAGCATCACACCAACAAGTGCTAAAAGGCGCAGAACAGCATAATCGATCAAGGTCATTGACATCGTTGCAGAGCATGTTTACTCGCCGGAAACGACTCTCTTTACAACGATCCACTTCTCAGTTATCCGCACATAGAACTACAGCACTCTCTGCTTGTACATTACCGTCATCTTCTTCAACTTTCTCATCCAGCTCCAGAAAGGAAAGCACATTTAACAAAATTCTACATCTACTTCCATTTAAAGGCAATGACAAATACACGTTGTCTCTCGCAAACACATCAGCGCTGCCATCTCAAAAGTCTCTTGAATTCGAAGCCTTACTAGAGGAATATCCAAGTCGAACTATCAAGACAAGCTTGACACCGTGCACAGCTGCTTGATACTATCACTATGAAATAAAGGCTGGAACTTGAATTAATAGTTTACCTAATCAGACTTGACTGCATTACTGTTTGATCGGATGTGCAACGTTACTCCCTGTGCCAGTGCAATTTAGTATCAGGGTATACAAACTACTCCAAATGGTGTATTTTGGCTGTGATAAAGTCTTGAGCGTTAAAGGTAGCGTAGATAGCGCCTCTTTACTGGAACCAGTATCGAAACCCTCTTCATGACGAAGGACATTCATCTGAGGCCTCTCTAGCGAGCTCAGGCAATGTAATGTCATAATGGACACGGTTCTAGATAAACATGGCAATACGTTTGACGATTCAGCCATGAATGACTAATTAATATAAGTGGCCTCATGTCATCTATTTTCCAATATGTGATCGATATTGAGTGGATATACTACTGATTCATTGAATGCAATAAATCTATTCTTTGAGAGAGACATACCACTCAAACTTGAAAACATGTGAATCCAAAACAAGCTGAATTGCATATAACCATTTTTGCAAGCGTAAACAAATACGAATTATGTCATGAAATTCGTCATAAAGGACGACATCTGATTCAGGAACATGCAACCCCTCTTATTACCCAGGGACCATTTTACGGGTTCTGTGCAACTGCATTCATTTCACGAGATAGTATAATGTAATATCGCTCTAAATCTCTTTTTATCCGTGGATAGAGATTCCTTGACGTCTATTTGTACTTGTACCTGATACACAAAGTAATTTAACGTTTATATTAGCTGATTCTAGCGTAGCAATCCCATTTTACAAGGTTTGGTCTGGATTGCCACATAATGCTTATATACACTCTACGGATGAACTGTTTATATAGTTATAAAGATACACAGAGCGTATCCCATTTCCTTCAAGTGCCTAGTATCAATATGGTATCCAGTGCAGAATAGAAACTTTCTCAGGCACGGTAGTAACCAAGTACATTATATAAGATGCACAGCAACCAAGAGAACCAATACGAATGTAAGGTTACCTTGGCTATAGTGATCGATCGAGAACACGACACAGTGCTTCCACGGTTGTAACCCCAAATGCGCGCGCATGACTGATTTATAAAAAAAAATCTCTAGTTATATAATAATGCTGAAACTGTTTGCATGATAAGAAATGATTGGCGTGATACTTGTAAATCAGAATTATCTAAGCTGTATTTATCATCCTTTAATGCGTGTCTGTGTCTGTGATACTAGATAACTGAGATACTAGTTGGTTATAGGTTAAAAAGGGTTCTTTTGCAAGGGAACAGGGTCTACTATCCACGCCCCCATTGTTGTATTAGTCATTTGTCTATTCTATTAGAAACACATGGAATGCGTGTACGTCTTGTTGACAAACAATGATACCTCGGAAGGAATCGAAATGCAGTTTTACAACTTACTATCAGGGAGATTACTGTTGAATAATAATTCACTTGCTTACGTATTATATCAAATTGCATCTCATACAAGGTTACACATCTTTGATTTAAATGCATGATTCCGTAGGTTGTGTTCATTAAAAGAGAATTTAAGCTGCTCTATCGCCACATTACCATGCAGTCTATAGCGCAGTAGTCAACTCGACTAGACTGCACCAATGGTGCTTTTAGTTGATTTGATCAACATTGCCGTCTTATTACATTTACTATTGTGTTACGACAAATCAGAGCATGAAATTAACAAGAGTTACACACAATGTATTTGACCCTGAATACTAGTAAAAGAGAGACCCTCTTTTCTAGTATGATGAGAATTCAAATCTATCGTGTGTATGTGTGTATGTGTGTATGTGTGTATGTGTGTGTGTGTGTGTGTGTGTGTGTGTGTGTGTGTACAATAACAACAAAACAATATAAAAGAGAGCTGGTTCATTCAACATTTCTCTCTATTCCTTATCCACTTTCTCTCTCTCTTTCCTTACTCTTTCAATAGAATGAAATTCAGTACTCTCTTGGTCACTGTAGCTGCTGCTGCTCTCTGCTTGTTTGACGGCTCCACTGCTACCCCTACTGGTTTGACCACTCGTGCCACTAATGGCAAGGTCATTGTTGGGTATACATTTATTGCAAATCAAACGAATTCAACTAGACGCTAACAATAGTTCATAGCTACTTCCCCAACTGGCTCTATGGTCGTTATACTCCTTCCATGATTGATTTCACAAAGTATACTCACGTTGTAAGTCATTTCTACCATATGTCTTTGATCGCATTCATTAATGTAATGACAGTACTATGCTTTTGCCATTCAAAATACTGCTACTACCCCTACTTGGTCTGATTCCGGTGTCTTTGATGGTAAGTCTTGATCCAACATCAGTATAGGATTCGCTTCTGACAAAACACACACATACAGACTACGTCCAATACGGTTTCCCTAAGCTCGTCTCTTTGGCTCACGCTGCTGGCACCAAGGTCATGGTCTCCGTTGGTAAGTAATCTTGTCACTATTGTCATTTGTTCTTGTTCTGAACGGTATTTTCAAGGTGGTTGGTCGGGAAGCACCCAATTCTCTCCCATGGCAGCTTCTGCTTCCAACCGTGCTGCTTGGATCAAGTGGAATGTGGATTTTGTCTCCAAATACGGCACTGATGGTGTTGATATTGGTAAGTTTTGCTGCCCTGTCTTTGAAGGAATCTGCTGGTGAATAACCGAGATTATCTTTATAGATTGGGAATACCCTACTGCCAAGGGTGCTGGCTGTAATGCTGTTAGCGATAACGATGTTGCCAACCTCAACACCTTGGTCAAGGAACTCCGTACTGCTCTCAACAGCAACTTCCCCAACAACTACAAGGAAATCACTATGGCTGTCCACATCACACCTTGGGGTGGTGATAACGATGCTACTGATGTTTCTTCATTCGTGCCTTACATTGATCGTTTCCATGTCATGGCATTTGATGTCAATGGTGCCTGGAACAGTACCAGTGGCCCCAACTCTCCTTTCCATAACCAACCTGGATTTGGTTACCCTGTCGGCTGGGCTGAGGGTGTTGAGAAATGGCACAGTGCTGGTGTCCCTTACAACAAGATTGCTGGTGGTATTGCTTTCTATGGTCGTGCTCAAACCTTGACCGTAACATCCAACCCCACTACTCAATACAATCCTGCTGTCTCTCCTAGCCCCCCTCTTGGTGATTCTCTCGATGGCCCATGGACTAACCCTTACTGTTCCAGCGATACCTCCAGCGCCTCTGGTGTCTGGAGATGGACCAACATGAGATCCCAAGGTTTGCTTACCTCTCCTACTACTGCTGCTTCTCCCTGGATCCGTAACTTTGACAACGTTACTCAAACTCCTTGGTTGTATAACCCTACCAACAAGCAATTCATTTCTTATGATGATCCCGTCTCTCTTGGTGTCAAGACCAATCACGCTCTTAGCAAGGATCTTGCTGGTCTCTTTGTCTGGTCCATTGAACAAGATAATGGCGAACTTTTGAATGCCATTGCTCCCATGATTGCTGGTAACCCTAAGCCTACTCCGATCACCACTGGTACTGTTGCTCCTACCTCTACCGCCACTGCCACTGCTACTAACACTGGTACTGCCACCACCTCTACTACGACTGCTACTCCTACCTCTGGTGCTGGTTGTGGCGGTGTTGCTGCTTGGAACGCTGCCACCGCTTACAATGGCGGTGCCACTGTCTCTTACAATGGTAATGTCTACACTGCTCAATGGTGGACTCAAGGTGAAACACCTAGCCCCACTGGTCCTGCTTGGGCCACCTGGAAGCTTGTCAAGGCTTGTTAAATTGATGCCCTCCTTTTGTAAAACTTCCTGTCTCTCTAAATCAAACTCTAACCTTTCTTTTTTTTTTTCCTAAATTATTTGATATAATTTAACTTATTTAACATCATATAATAAATCCAAATAAAATTTCATTTAAAACTTACATTTTTGGTCTTCAATTGTACAAGAAAGAAAGAAAAGAAAGAAGTGTAGCCACTGACAGGGCATTCTTTATATTCAATCTAAGGTTGCTATGGCAACCTAAATGAGGCTGGATAGATTGGTTGTTGCGAACTGTGGGAGAGACATACAAGCAATGATCTCGAGGCGGAGCACATGGTGGTGATGAGCTGCCATCCGAGAAATAACGTTTCTGTTTTCAGTCTGTAATTGGCCACATAACCTCTATATAACTTGCGTGCATCAATGCGGCCTTGAGCTCATGAGCCGCCTGGCAACCTCAGCGTGGATCAGTCTGGGTTCTAGCAACAAATCCCATCCCTAAGCCACTATAGGAGACATCTATAATTTTTTTTACTGTCAGTTCCAACAGCATCTTCTTTTGTCTTGACCAATACGACAAAAGTAATTAAATATGCCTACCGTTAACATCGACAAGTTGGCTCTTTTCGAAGCCCTTGAGAGAGACTACAGTAAGACACACAGCACTCGAAATACAGTATAGCTTGAACCAACACATTTGTTTCCACTAGCCTCTCAAGAATTCTTCGAGCTCTGCTTCCGTTTCGGTATCGAACTTGAAGAAGATGTAAGCTTCCTACACTTCACCAAAGCAAATTACCACAATTCAATCATTTCGGCCTGTTCAGCATCTGAAACGAATTGATTTGGATAATGTGATTTGTTAGCAACAATTTACAAGATGATTAACGCTTGTTTCTGACACTTATATAGACTTCTGAAAGAGAGATTGCTGAAAAGGAGGGAAGCAAGAGCACCGAGAATTTGTCTGAGAGAGCTCTTTTGAAGATTGATATTCCTGCCAACAGGTAACTATTAGCACCCATCAGCAATCATAGTTCAATGCATCTGATACCTTGTTTGCATCAACCAAAAAGATATGACTTGTTGTGTCAAGAAGGTCTCGCTCGTGCTCTTCGCGTTTTTGAAGATAAGGCCAAGCCTCCTGTCTATAAGGTTGTCAAGCCTGCTGACGGTAAGCTCCAACAAATTCGTGTTTTGGAATCCGTAAGTGCATAATATCTCAAGTGATGTTTGGCACCTTTTAGCTTATATCATGTTTGTTGTGTAGACTCAAAAGATTCGTCCTTACATTGTTGGTGCTGTTTTACGCAACATCACTTTCACTGCTGAGAACTATGCTTCTTTCATCGACCTCCAAGATAAGCTTCACAACAACATTTGTCGGTAAGACACACTCCAGCATATCATAATCATGAGTCATCCTTTCACGTTGAAAGGCAGTCCTAACGACATTGCAATATTATCCATAGTAAGAGAACACTGGCCTCTATGGGTACTCATGATTTGGACACCATCCAAGGGCCCTTCACCTATGAAGCTTTGCCTCACAAGGACATCAAGTTTGTTCCCTTGAACAAGGATACTGAGGTTGACGGTGCTGAATTGATGGAAATGTATGCTGTAAGTTGTTGGAACGGGTCGACATGTGGATTGTATGAATAGAGGATGGCTGACAGTAAGGGTCGATTTTGTAGGAGGATAAGCATCTTGGTAAGTTCCTTCACATCATTCGCGACTCTCCCGTCTATCCCGTCGTTTTCGATTCCAAGCGCACTGTGTGTTCTCTTCCTCCCATCATCAACTCTGATCACTCCAAGATCACTCTCGACACCAAGAACGTCTTGATCGAAATCACCGCCACTGATGAGCACAAGGCCAGCACTGCATTGAACACTTTGGTCACCATGTTCTCTGAATATTGTGCCGAGCCTTTCAGGTACGTTAAGCCTAATGGGCTGCTGTAGTGCTGCATAAATCTGATGGAATGTATAGCATTGAGCCTGTCGAAATTATCTATCCCGATGACACTGTCAAGTTCTTCCCCAACTTGGAACCTCGTAAGGCTTCCGCCAAGGTTGATTACATCAACTCTTGTACTGGCCTTGAGCTTCCTGGTGAGGAAATCTGTCGTCTTTTGAATAGAATGTCTTTGGATGCTAAGATTAGCGCTGAGGACAGCAATGAGGTTCTCGTCAATGTTCCTCCTACTCGTTGGGATATTTTGCATGCTTGTGATATTATGGAGGATGTTGCTATTTCATACGGTTATGATAACTTGCCCAAAAAGATGCCCAATGTCAATACCTTTGCATCTGCTTTACCTTTAAACAAATTGAGTGATCATGTCCGTAAGGAGGTGGCCATGGCCGGTTTCACTGAAGTTGCTCCCTTAATTTTGGTAAGATTGTGATGGTAATGGAAGGCCAATACTGCAGAGTTTGCTCATACCACACTTTTTAGTGCTCTCATGATGAAAACTTCAAATTCCTTAACCGTGCTGATGATAGCAAAACTGCTATCCAACTTGCTAACCCCAAGACTGCCGAATACCAAGTTGTTCGTACCTCTCTTCTGCCCGGTATCCTGAAGACTTTGAACTCTAACAAAAAGCTGCCCTTGCCTATCAAGGTCTTTGAAGTGTCTGATGTTGGTTACAAGGATGAAACCCGTGATCGTAGATCTAGAAATGAAAGACACCTTTGTGCCACCTATACTTCCAAGACATCTGGCTTCGAGGTAAGTTTTACTTCAAAACAAATGGATGGATTACACTGTAGCTAATATTGGAATAGATTATTCATGGTCTCTTGGATCGTGTCATGACTATGCTCAGTACCTCTAGAATTCACAAGAACGATACTACTGAATTAGGCTACTGGATCGAAGAAGCTGTTGATTCCACTTACTTCCCCGGCCGTTCTGCCTACATCTTCTTGAGATACATTTGCCCTGAAACCAACACCCGCAAGGCCTGTAGAGTCGGCTCTTTCGGTGTTCTTCATCCTCTCGTTCTCGAAAACTTTGACTTATCTAATCCCACTACCGCCATTGAACTTAACTTGGAACCTTTTGTCTAAAGAAATAAATCATGCCATTATAATGCTTCTTTTTTTTGTATAAATCAAGCTATTGTTTCCATGAGTAAATCTCAAGTAAATGAGCTTCAATTATCACGATCTTGATACATCAAGTGAAAGATCAGACTGAAATACAGAAACTCTGGTACGTTCAAGAAGCGTATTGCTGCTCCACATCCCAATCAGTAAAAAATATCATAGAATCCCTCATGCCTCACCTGGAATTGAGGATTTGACTCTTTTACAGTGATACACATGGGTATTAAGAGGAAAAATACATACCGTATATGGAGGGACAGTATACTTGCTGCCCTCCTAATACTGGAAATTGCCAAATCACAGCGAAATTCGGGTGCATTCAAGTCATAATTTCTCGCGTTAGAAGCCATAGTAGACCGCCAAAATAGCGCCAAACAACTGCTCTCATCTAGGACTTACCTACTGACACCATTGCTCAACTTTTTTGGGACCAAAAAAAACATCATCAAAATTTGACCTCGAACTGCGAACCATGAGGGATATACCTCATGGAAAACATCAATAAATCAAACAATCGCGTTTATCACCTCAAAAATGAAAACTTCTATTATGGTATACATTAAATCAAAATGATCCTACTGATTCAGGGCAGCCCCTGAAGCTTTGTCTGTAAGATTTTTATATATGAAATTTTGACATTTTGGCAAAAGTCCTCATTTCATACTTTTAAGAATTTCTCAATAAGCTTATTCAAAACAATTATTGTAATTAGCACCATTGGAAGCGCCTTAAAAAGTACTCCAAGCGTGTATTAGGAAGTATAGGATGTTCATCGCAACTTATATAGTGTGGCACCCAAAATAGATGAATTGGATTGGTTTGGAACGAATTTTTTTTTTTTTTGTGAGTTTGTCTCTTCTGTTTTTATTTCAAGTCCTTAAATCGTCAGGAACGAAATTTGTCCAATCTTGATCAAAGAACAAACGAAGTTTTAAACTCGGCTTCCTAGCAAGGCCAATGCTTTATATTTCATGAAGGTAATGGATGCTTTCGAAGCTAATAGGACAGGGATTGCGAACTGCAAAGTAGTATAGCTTATCCAAGTATCTTTACGCTAGCTTTATAGTAGTTTTTCATATCAGTAAATATAAATCGCTGCAAATTGTAAATGCAAAGTCTAATATGTGAAATGCAACGTTGTCGCTCGTATGATATAGGATAGCGCAAGATTCTCGTAAAGCATGAGCGAGGTTAGATGACAAGCTCGTATTAAACAAAAAATTACACGCTATCTTAATACTGAAAAGCTTCAAAAAGGCTGTTTGGTACAAATGGCAATGATTTATCCTTGTATGATATTCGATGCATTTAATGCAGGCAGAATGCCTCTCTTTCTATTTCAGCCACGCAACACATACCTGTCAGTCTACCAGACTCCACAGTGATTTATAGTTGTAACGAAGTTCTTGATCAAGCTCGCTTGATAGGTTTAGTGTATAGAAAGTTTGAAAGCAGCATCTTGATCTCTCTGTTGAAGTAACTTGAATGCTTTAGCATTATATCTTGTTTTTGAGACATCGTAGGATACTAGCAATAGGATTATTATCGTATATCTGTCAGTGATACGCCTCTTATTGAATTTGCTAATCGATCTTTGTCGTTATAATTTATCCATTGCTTCTTAAAAACACATGTATCAGCCACTTATACCTTCTCCCTGTGTGTTGTACACATATCTTGGTAAATCTTTTCAGCTTTTTCGTATTTTTGATTCACTGTTTACTTGTTTTAGTATTGACCACGCCTCTTAACCTTTGGAGTTGAGAAGGAGATCCAATTAAATTGTATACATCCATGTTACAATGACTCTTTTTGATTTTGGTATGTGAAAACGTGCATAAATGTTGAAAAAAATCCGTTGTCTATTTCAAGCCATGTTGGATCATCCAGCTTTCAAAGATATTGTATCAAGTACTGCTGATAAGCAAAGCAAACGTGCATTACTACGTCGGAGTTGACTCATCATAACATAGTTATGCGTCAATGGCTCGGTTCGTCAGCCTATTTGACCAGCATTTTGATCTGACCATTGCTAGATGGTTCCTGGTTGCTATGGAGAATATACCTCCGCCCACTTAATTATTGTATTCCCGATAAATATTGCTCTTCTATTCATTTTAATATAAATTAGAATTTGGTGTAATTCATTTGTTTTATCACTTTCTTTCTCTTTCTACAACTTGTTTTTCGCTTTTCTCATTCATTATGGTTTGTCTAGGGCCTAGAAAGAAGGAAAAGAAGAGCAACCTTTTAAGTCCAGACGATGCCACATCAAGAGGACTTAAAAAAGGAACCAGCAAGTTAAAGACATCCAAGACCAACACAAGTCTGGCCCCGTCTGTCGCCTCCACTGCCAAAAAGTCACCTCGTTCATCTTTGGATACTGGTAATACCAAGAAAACAACACTGCCCAGACCATCCTCTCGCAATTCCCTCTTATCAAATGGACGCACCCCCAGCCCAGCTCAACGTGCAACATCTCCTAAACCACCCTCGTCTTCAAGACCCAATAGTATGATATCTGTCAAAAGTACCGCCTCAGTAGCATCGACTGCTAACAATACGAGACCCACATCAAGAACACCTAGCCACGCTTCAACTGCAAAAAGATTTCCCATTACAGAGATGAAGGAGGAAGTTAAGGATCTCAAAGCCAAGGTATGTTTGCAAATGATGTATTTGTTGATTGTTTGTATAGCTAAACCTATTACATCCAGAATGAGGAAAACATGAAGTTGATTGCAGACCAAAAAGCGGAGCTCGAGCGTTTGAAACACCAACTCAATCAGTCATCTCAGGTCCCTGCAATACCAGACAAAGAGGCGCCTGTTGCGCAGAACGACAAGACAGCCGAGCAGACTGAAGAAGAGCTGACCTTGCTCAAGACGAAAGAAGAGCAGTTGCAGCAACGTGAAAGGGAAATTGAAGAGCTTCGTATCAGATTAGAAGAACAGCAATTAAACATTCCCGTTTCTCCTCCACCGGCAATTGTTATTCAATCGGAAGAACATGAAAATAAAGCCGAGATCTTGGCTCAGAAAGAGAAATTGTTAGAGGAGAAAGAAGCTAAATTAGAGGAGCAAAAACGCTTGATAGAGGAAAAGAAACCAATGATTGAAGAAGCTGCTTTGCAGCTGGAAGCATTGAAATTGGAGGTAATTTGTGATTTCGAGACGGGACGAGGATATTGTTGATATTCAACTCGTTTTAATAGAATCTGGATGCCGTCAGTCAATTAGCATTCAAGGAAAAGGAGCTGGAAGAGCTTCGAGCAATGATCAGCAGCAAGCCTGAGGAGGAACACAAGGAAGAGGATAAGAAAGAAGCACTTCAAAAAATTGAAGAATTGAACAAGCAACTCGAGGTACACATGAAAGCAATCACGCATTGCCGTAGATTTAATTAAACTAAATTGGATTTTCCTAAATGTAGGCTCAAAAGAAGGCACATGAGGAAAGCCTTCGTCTCCATGAGGAGGCATTGGCCGAGAAAGACATTTTGTTAAAGGAACAAAAGGAAGCTTTAGAAGCTCTAGTACAGAATCATGAGGACGAGGTTCGCAAATTGAAGACAGCACAAACTGGGAAGATCCTTGCTTTGAAGCAAAAACACAAGCAAGATAAGCTCGATTTAGAAAAGCAGGTCGAGCAAGCCAAGATTGAAGCAGAAAATAACCCTGCTGCTGCGGTGGATATCGATGAACAATTGGAACGCATGCTGCATGAATTCGAACAAGCAGAGCACACTTACGCCGTACAAATACAAGACTTAGAGCAATCCCATGAATCCGAATTGAATCATCTGCAAAACGATCAAAAGGCTCAATTAAACAAGTTGAAGAGAAACCAAGGCTTGACCAGAGACAGTTGGACTTCTCGCTATTTGCCTACAGATGCAGTCTCCTGGCCCAAGCCTAATTCAGCTAATATTCCCAAATTGCGCCCCACACCTTCTCTTGTTGAGAGTAAGAGCAAGACTTTATTACGAGTTTTGGGTAACATGCCTGCTTATCAAAAGCCTGAACCTGTTTTGACACCACTGGATCCCAAAAAGGTTCAGATTTACTATTCCTCTGTCAGTGGCAATGCAGTGGTAAGTTACACATATACACTTGGCTAACACCATTTATCTAAGATCGCTCTCTCTACAGATCAAGAGAAACCAGGAACACATCCAACAATTGCTCAAGACAAACAACATCAAATTCAGCCTTGTTGATGTTGCATCCAGTGAAGCTGCTAGACAATACGCTAAAAAGTGCAACAACAATGGAAAAGCTCAAGGCAGAATTAAGGACTTTCCTCAGTTATACGTTGGTGGTGAATACAGAGGCGTAAGTAGGTGTTCAATGTAAAGAGAAACAGCTGATTAAGCATGTGTATCTATAGCAATATGAGGACGTTGTCACTGCTATTGATGATGGGCTTTTGGATGATCTCTTACATGCAGCAGAAGAGCGCCATTTTACTCCTGAAGAGAGAGCAGCAATCCAGAAAGCAGAGTTGAACGAGGAAATGGCGGGACCAATGCGTGCTTTACCACCCATGGAGACAATGCCAAAGCTGAGACCTACCAAGTCTACTGGTAAGCCTGTCAAGACACTAAAGGATTACGATGAGGATGAGGAGCTCTTGAAGGCACTTGAGATGGAATTCAAGAATGGAAACGTGAATCTTGATGATTTATAAACATATTATTAAATTTTAATTGCCCATCTATAGTATATCCTTTATCAAACATAATACATTACCCCTTTTATTGCCCTGTAATCCAAACGATGTTTAGCCTTGTTACAGCCGAGATGGATGAATCAATCGCTCATAATGCACAGATAAACATTTTTGCTTTATTATATTCCGAGTATTTTATAAATGAAAGACATACTATTACATAGATTTTTGTTAGATATTACTACTAGAAAAGGGCTTGAAGACAGAATGACGGGATGATGTGATGTAGCCTCATAATTGCTACTTCTATTTACAGCCACTTTGGTCAACATTGGCTATGTTGTGAGCCATGATGGCTACTATTGGAAGCTTGAGATCTCTTAAAGTTCACAATAACTAGATCGCCCTCTGAACGATCATTGGGATCGATTTCAATGTGATCTAGTTCTATCAATTTAGGACAATTCTGCATAAATAAGGCTCGGTAGACCTGTCGCCGTGTCTTCCAATGGTCTGATAGAGTCTCCAAAAATTCAGCGTCATTTATAGCCCATTGATCATCAAGAGCTGTTAAAACATAGGGTGATATTTTATCGTGGTCGCTGATATGCTGAATCAAGTTTGCGTCGAGGGGAGGGTATATATTGGAGCTGATTGGATTATGTCTAATGTGCAACATCTTTCAGTAAGAATATCAACTGTGTCCACTGCATCCCGCATCAACTTACCGTAGATCCAAATAATGGAGCTGTCTGAGGTTTTGCACGACGCTGATCACTTCATTGATGCTGATCAATCTGTTGTCAATCAAGACCAATCGCTTTAGGTACTTCAATTTTCGCAGCGGTCGTATATCTGTGAGTCTGTTCATGCTGAGATACAGTGTGGAAAGGTTGGGCACCTGTTTTCCGAACTCTGGCGGCAATACTTCTAATTCTGCGGCGCAGATTTCCAGGTATTCCAATGAGTAGAAATCAACCATGCGATTCAGGTTTGGACAAGGGCTTCCTGATAGATAGAGCTTTCTTGTGCCACGCAGATATTGCAGGTTGAATTCTCTATAGCAATTGTTTCAGTCGCTGTACATTTGATCCTGCACATAATAACTCACGTTTTATGGCCGCCTTGATCTCTCAACGAAAATGAATCCAGTCTTGACACACATGCTACACCGATAATGCGTTGGATCTGATTATCGTCCAGATACAAGACACGGATATCAGGAAAGGGTGATATGTCAAATGACTTCAATCTGTTGAAACTTAGTTGTAATTTGCACAATCGCTCCATGGGTTGATTCAATTGTATATATTTCAACTCGTTGTGATCTATCATGGGATTAGATGAATCCGGCCATGATCTTACCACAGATGCACTTACCAGCATTTAGCTCCCTCAAATGAACCAACGACTCTATTGAATCCAGACATTCGATTCTATTGTATGAAACATCCAAACTCTCCAGCTGATTGTGTCTATGAGTATTTTCGAAATTGACAAGTCGACGAATGCAATTTGCTTTTAACGAAAGTGACACTAAACCTGGTAGATCTTGGAATGATTTGCAAGATGTGATAGAGTTGTGGTTGGCGTTGAGTGCGCGTAATGATTTCAGTTCCTTCAAGCTTTCAAAGTGATTGATACGGTTATGGGACACATCGAGGTGCTGCAGTTTGTCCAAATGATACACGTCGACTTCCAACAGCCTATACAAGCCAATTAGCATGCATTTAGTATTACTGTGATGATTTGATTTACTTGTTGTGTGAAGCGTATAAATGAATGAGTGAGGATGGTAATCCAGATAATGTCTTTAATTCATTATGTGTCCTAAATACGCAGAAATAGTCAACACCCTGTTTTGCAGCATCTTTGTGATTGTATACTCTCACACTTGGAGCGTTTCTAGCACGGGGAAGCAACTCGATAAATCGGTCAAACTGGACAAATTCTGCCTGCTTAGGTTGAGCTTCTTCAATTGGCTCCACTGCTGAATCGGCGTCAATGCTTCAAGTTCGTACAAGAATGTTGCCAAGTGATCCCGCGCATTATCTGCAAAAGACATGCATTTCGACACCGTATCAGTCATCTCTTGAGAGCTTTGTTCTCTGGGCTCATTTTGTGGTGGTTGCTGAGGTTGTATATCAATAACAATGGGCCGCTGTGTTGTCAACGCAGCTCTTTCGCTTGGCGGTGCTGCAAATGAAGGTAATTGATGGAGGGATAATGTGGGCTTTATACTTTTTGGAAGCGATCTTTTGGCTTGCTTGATAGGCCTTGATGATGACGCCCTGGCCTGTTCATCGTCTGAAGTGTTGAGATCAGATTGCAGCTTTTTGAATCTATCAGTTAAATCACTTGGCGGTGGTGCGCTAAATTGAAACTGGTTCGAAGGAAACAAAGCTAGGATCTAGTGTCAGTGGAGCAGGAATAAGACGCAAATGTAGCCAGTATTACCTTCTCTCATACTGCGCTGTTTCTCTTCGAATGATGTTTCTTGCTCTTTTGCTTCGTCCTCTGAGTTTTGATGTGGTAGATTTGACATGTAAGGTACGGATGAGCCAGATGTTGAGTTTTTCCAGACTGTATTTTGGTCCACGAGCGATTCTCTTGTAGCAGCAACAGGGATGCGATGATGTGTTTTAGGTAAGGAAGAAAGAAACGGAATGCTTTCTTTAATTGATTCATCATTTTGATTGTCATTGATAACTTCATTGTCTACTTTACTGTTGTCGTCACCTTCGGCAGTGGTGTCATTCATCATCAATTTACTATCGCCCAATGTGAATTCAAAATCCTGATCTCTTATATCTAGATCAAGCACCTGACTGCTCGTTGTTGGACTCTCGCATAATACTGCCTTTTCTTCGGCAAGAAATACTGGATCGCTGTCATCGTCAATATTGAATTGGGGCATGGTTTGAAAACGATTAAAATCCAACGAAGGTCGATGATCGCGAGGTTTCGACATCTCTGACGAGTTGAGAGAATCAATCATATCCCATTCATCTTCCATAGTAGCAAGAGGCGGTGTGATGGCAGTGGTAAAAGGAATGTAAGGATAGTTGGGTATAAGATTGTATTTAAGGAACGAGTTTTATTGAAATGGGCCAACTTGTAGATGGTGGTATTATAAATCATACAGGAGAGCAGCCCTTCGTGACGTTCTTATGCAGGAAGTCTTGAAGGTAGTACTGAGCGAAAAGCTTAAATGTTCTTGGATAAAGGGTTGCAATCCCAGTATTTTAATTATGAACATTCTAGAGCATCAAATCCATTCCTAGACACATGTTTTCACGCTCATTTGTATGCAAAATTAGATGTCAATCATGGCCATGCTGAATCCAGGGTATAAGATCTTTCAAATCTTGGCATGAGAGATGCATTACACAATAGCCATTGCATGCAATTAAGATTTCTCTGGAATCAAGGTGGCAGTGAATTTGTAACCAAGTTGGAAGACTTCCTTTTTTTTCCCAAATAACCCATTACTTATCTTGACGGCTGAGCTACAACTACTCCATCATCAAACATATGGTTTATAAGGAGAGTCGAATAATGCCATTATGCAATGACAAGAGTATGATAATCTCAAGGTAGGACACGACACTGTTTCATAACAGCTTGGGTGCAAACATCATGGAATTATTGCTTGAAATGGAAGCGTTCTAGACATACAACTCTATTGCCATGAATAACGCTCAAGTACTGGATTATGAGCACTACTCAAGCACATGATGTGAAATAATTTTTTGATAAGCATAAAGTAGATGCTTATTTATTTATCAGGCTTCTTTTTCACTTTTCCTTTCCTTTTCCTTCTTCTTTTATATTCTTTAAGATTTCATACAATGGGAGTAGCTTCATCTAAATTCCAGAGAAAGAGCAAGTTACAAGTAATTGACTTTGGATCGATCACACCGCTTGGCCTATATGAAAAAAACAACGACGATTACGATTTACAAGTAGTACGAGAATTAATATTGTCAAAAAAGCTATCGCCGTTCTACAAAGGTAATGAGCTCTACACCTATCTGATGGGATGTATAGCTAATGTGTGGTTTAAAGGCCTCTCTGATCCATTAACGCAAGATTGCAATGCCATTACGGAAAAACTAGCAGCGATCTCAACAAGCAAACGACCCAGTCTCTACAAAAAGCCCAAAAGCAGAGGTCAAGACTACCAGATGTACCTATCAAAAAATGAAAAAAGGCTATATTCCATCTTGTACAATGATTCTATCGAGTGTCCTATTTGTTTTCTGGTAAGAGTGAAATCATACACACACAAAAAAAAAATTCTCTTAGACGTACATGTAGTATTATCCTGCCAACATCAACTTTACTCGTTGCTGCGATCAACCCATCTGCACCGAGTGTTTTGTGCAGATCAAGAAAAGACCTGCTGATGCCTCCGCCTCTACGAGTGTTGCGAGAGAGTCTGGTATCGTGTGTCCATACTGCATGACTAATATTTTTGGTGTCATTTATCACTGTCCTCCGTCGTCTCCAAAAATACATCTCGAAAAGGTAAAATGTTTGTTGATGTGTCAGTGTAACAAGCACAAAAACTGATGTATACGTATCGGAAACAGGCATACAAAATCAGATCAACGACATCTGGACTATCACAACATCAACAGTCTAAGCGTAAAAGTATTGAGTCTGATCATCCCAATGTTGTACTCATAGGTAGTATATTACCACATGTATAATTATAAGTGTATTAATTTTTGCTCACACATGTAGATCATGTGAGACTGAAGCCGTCTGATGCTGCAAGTAGTAAAAGTGACATGCGTGCAGGTTCACTCCACTTTTGGTTCCAGTCATCAAGACCTAGCAATGTTACATCACTTGAAAGATATCTATCCACTATAAGATTAGAAGATATGAGCATACAAGATATCATGGCAATGGAATCTATGAGGCAATCACTGTTAGATATAGAAAATAACAACCATAGTCATCGCTTATATCAATCTTATATCTTTTAAACCCTCTCAAGCATACACTGATATGAATAAAATAAAATATTCCCAGCATCTTATGCTAATAAAGACTGCATAAAACTTGTGGTAGGCAAGTAAAAGTAATCGAGATTGACATGATGAAAGCACACTGCAGTAAAAAAAAAAAGAGGCAGAAAAGAGTAGATAGAATACTGTTAAAACCCTTCTTTATTCGAAATTAGGATAACGTGCAATAAAATGTATATTCTGCGTCTCTAGTTATATTATTTGGTTTATATCTCTTATCTGGCAGCAGTTTAGTAACTGCCAGTGATTCCATTGTTTTGTATATTATTGTTGGGTTATTTAGTCGTTGATCTGATGGCCCAAAACAGTATTTCAATATATGATTTGTGAATCATGCGTAAAGAATAGCTCTTTATTGTTGAGTATGTATCTTTTTTAGGTATATTCATGTTACAACACATTATAATACCCTTGGCATTTACTTGAGTATCTGTCATCTTTTATTTGTAGAGCATTTTACCCTTGCTATCATCATGCTAATACTATTATTATGTATGCTTATCTGTTGATAATAGCATGTCTTGCTTGAGATGACATTTACTTTGGGCTTTGTTTATGATGAAAATCTAGTCTGGTTCACTTCGCACACAAATGCGCAGTGTTGCAATTACTGACCAATGATTTCTTACAGGTTTCCACAAATAATTGGCATGATAGCAAGTAATTGAAACTCTCAACCAACATGACACTAGTGCCATTAGAGGCAGCATAATGTTTGAAAGCAGTTGAATAATGGCGTTTTCCAGGAAGAAGCGCCTATCATTCGTTGTCTGACATCTTTGATGTAACTCGCCAAATCTTTGATGATATATGTGCCTCTGGATCAGACCTTTACATTCTTGCATCTTCAAAGCTCAATAAAGAAACTTAGCTTAATTACAAACCTTTCTATGGTGAGCTAGACTGACTGGGCGTTGTCGTATGAAAAACTTGACAAAAGAAGAGAAAATCAGTTAGTCTGATGATAGAGCGTTTCAATTTACAGCCCTTTCTACACTTACTTTGCAAACATCGATTGTCTCCCTAAGGAATCATTTTGCCAACAAAAATCGAGTTTTGAGATATTAATGTTGCAGCTTTAAAAGTAGCATGTTCCCATATTTCCGCTTGCTGCGAGAAAACCGATGTTGTCATTGGATTTTAGATTGAATGTGTTGCTGCTGAGGAATAACAGGTTCTTGAAATAAGCTAACTTTGAGTAACGAGTTTCATATAAGAACCTGTTAGTTATGAGCAATTATGAGTAATAGATCCATAAATGGAGTGCTGCAAAACGTCGTATTCAAAATCGCTTAGTGATAGCTTGTTTCGTTGTGGTTTGGAAAAAAAGGGCCAAAGGTTTGCTGCACAATTCACGGAAAAAGAGGAAACAGCTATTCCAAGCTCAATGTTAATGCCAGAACCTTATATAAGGAACATTATATGTCCACTTCGAGGGGTTGTAGTTAGAGATATAAACGGATTTTCAGTCGCTACTACATTGGCTGTCAATACAGTAACTATGTGAGAAAAGTGTAACAAAACCAGTACATAAAAGAACCATGTTTGGACGCTATTCTTTGTTCAACTGTCAACTCAAACTGGCTTCTTTATTGATTGAAGTTTGTTGTTCCTTTGTGTTTGCTTTACAAAACAAGACTTTATTTTGGCACCTGCGATGATGTATCGTGTTTTTTTTTCAATACCCAAATTGCAGTACATTATTGCAATGGTAAAAACGCAATTTTCTGGAATAACAATAACGCAAAAATGTCCTTACGGTGCATAAGTTTATAAAATAAATCCAGGGCGTGCATTGACTAACGCTGGCACACAAAGAGAACTTTATATACGTCACTATAGCAAAAGATAGCTCTGAGCAATTGATTTGGACAATTTGGCAGGGGCTGACCTTTTCGGCAATGTGGCTCCGTAAAACCACCTAGACCCAATTTTACTACAGTTTGTTGATGCCGAGTCTTCTTTTACAGGATTTCTAGGTATCATCAATCTCTATTCACTCGAATTTGATACATAATTTTGTTGTTTGTTTTCCTCTTCGTGTTGACAACAAATCGTGTAGAGTATTAGCCATCTCTACTTAATTTTGAGCGTCCAACGCCATGATGGATAGACTTTAAGGCTAGTTTTACGGCTAGATATGACATGTCTATTGTAGGCAACCATCAAAAGTGCCTTGACGGCCTGAAGAGCATCTCGCTTAGTTTGAACAAGTTGCTAGATTCAAACTTACATAATATTATTAACGCTCAAGGCTTGAAATTATTGTAATCGTGCACTTCAAATAATAGAATAATCTAAGCGTCCGAATTAGAATGAATGCGTTTGTCACTTGGGAATTCAGTTCTGTACAATGCAGAGCATCTGTGTCAATCAACAGAACTGTAATCTACGTACTTCTGTGGCAGCACAACCGACTAGGCCTTATATTTAGTCCAAATTCTGTCCAAATCTAGCCGTTTTCAAGAACGAATAACTCATGCCACAAAGAATTTTGAGCGCTTGGAATAGCACGACACGCTTCCCCTTGGCTACCCTTTACTTCCTGATGCTTTATCTCAAATTTTTTTGTGTCATTGCAAATTCATAAAAAATCCTCATTTTCACACAAGTACTAGCAAGGGAAAATTCTTGAAAATCAAACGATCGCGTTTTTCACATCAAAAGTGAAGACTTTTCCTATAACACATATTAGATCAAATTGATTGTAAAAATTAAATGCAACATTGGAAACTCTTTCTATGAGTCTTTTATATGCTAAGTTTTTACTTATTCACAGAAAACCTGTTTTCATATTTTTGGAAATTGCTCATTATTTTTGGTCTGAAAATTGAATGTAATCAGCATCATTCGATGCGCCTTCATTGACTCTTTATAAATGTATTAGAAAGTAAAGTATTATAGCGACATTTTTCATAGTCAAATTTAGCAAAAACGTTCAAAGAATGTTAGATCAAGTCAAATTTGAACACGAAAATACCCACTGCACAATTTCAAATTAAAATGCAGCAGTTGTGGCTGCCACCACGGCAGCAGGCTGAGACCAAATCTACTGGACGTGACGTCGGGTAGGGCGCCCTTCCATTTTTCCATACCACAGTTTTTTACCCTTTTTGCAAAACGCGTTTTAGTATCAAACCATGGTGGTTTTGGACACCGTTTAATTGATAATAACACTCTAGCTTCCGATAAATCTGTCTTGTACTGTTGCAAGAACCTGATACCACTTTTTTAAAGTGGAATATAGTAGGTACCATTCAATAACGGGCACTAGAAGACGTAGAATCAGCACTAATCGAATTTGTTTATTAGGTTTCGATAAATTTTTTTTGCCTGTTTGACGTGGGTGCTGCAGCCATTACTTCTCTGCTGTCTCTGTTGTTTGCTTCTTTGGTTTGTCATTTCTAATGGTTGCTTCTTTGATCTTTGTCTGGTTTCTGGTGTCGCTCGCTCTTCGATTTTTCTATGCTACTGGTGTTGCCGCTTCTGTTGCTGTTATTGTAGGTGATTCTTCTGGTGTCGTTTCTGCTACTGGTGTTGCTACTGCTAGCGTGGTCTTTCTTGGTCTGCTGTCTCTGTTGTATGCTTCTTGTTTTCTGGTCTATCTCCGGTGATTGTCTATTCTCTGATTTATCCGTGGCTATGGTAAGTGGTAAATAACTTTTTTCTTCTGGTCTCAATGATATAAAGCTTCTCTGGATGCTTTTATTATTGCTTCCTTTCTCATGATAATGCATTCATGATCTTTGCTTTGTTACGCTTTCTTTTTCTTTCGTTGGCTGTGATATGATCAGCTCAGCGGATGCTTGCGATGTTGTTGCTTCGTATGTACGAACAGTAAGCATGATGTACTGCTATATATCTGTATTGCCGTTGTAATACTACTTTGTTATATGGCCGTGGATTGTTGTTTGTGTTGCCTCTGTCGCTTCACATGAAACAACATTAGTCATCACGTTGCATTACACACTTATACTACTATTGCTCATGCAACTGTGTGTGTTTGTGTCCCTTTGCAACAGACTATTATCATGCAAGTTACTCATGTATGCATTTTTGTTGCAACAGCAGCGAGCTATTCTCAACATTCTTTGATGTTGTATTTCTGATGCTTTTCTTTGCCTTACTCTGTGTGAGTGCCCCTTTTTTGTCTGCATACTACTGTATTACTCCTTTAGTACTACTGTAGCATGTTCTTTTCATCCTTTTCTTTCCTTTACTATGTTTCTTTGAAGCATACCATTTTTTACGTTGCGTGGATGTGCCTATCCCTGAAGCTCAACAAGACTTTATCCGAGACTAGGAGGTAGATAGGTTGCCTCCACTTGGTTATCACTACTTACTTTAGTGATGATTGAGGGTCTCAATGCCAGAATCTAAAGCTAGGTGGTGTAAGTAAGGCATGCTCTAGCACATGAGGGAAATTTGATGATAGCAGCGGCTATACTACTATTATAACGGCGCTTAAAATTTTGCCTCACATCAAAACAGGGGGAAACCCTCGCAATTTTTTTTTAGGTCAGCGGAGTTTTCAAGTAATCTGATTGGCTCAGAAGTTGAATCAGCGAAGGTCTACAACTAGTTGATTTTCTGTTGATCCGTCATTTAATATGACCTTGTCTTTGTAATAATAAAAGCGTAACCAAATGGATGAAATCTAAAACATTCCTTGTTCAAAAGTAATATAAAGTGCAATCATTAGATTTATCATCCATTAAACAATTTTATTTGAGGAATAATTTTTATAAATGTACTCTGTAGAGAAGATTATACAATAGGTACTACAACAGCACGCTGGGCACAGGGTCCTTCCATCAGTGTCAAATGCCCCGCCAAGCATGCGATGTACTACATCATTGATTTTCAACATACACTAATAAGATGAATCAGTTGCAAGTCAACAAAAGGCAGCATATATTATTGAGTTGACATAATGACTCTAATATTTACTATTTGACGTGTAATAATAACAATAGTATCAAAAGATGTAAATAGCTGCTACTACGACATAGTTTTACATTTGTTGGAGGAGTTATTATGTTACGAGGAGGAGAGTATCGTAGTTTATAATTAAAAAAATATTGATAGTTTACTTCGTTTATAAATTACTGTAGTTTGAATGTTTGAGTATATATTTACGAAATTGGTTATCAAAACTATGGTATAAAAGCTACTAGCCGATCCATCTAGCTACGCCCGATGACGGCGTCGCCCTGCGGACTGTAGCTGTAGACATTTCAAATCAGAGATAAAGAAAATCTGGCATATCAAGCAGATTTTAAACAACCAATAAACAGTAAAAAAAAAAGTGGTTATATCAGAGTCAGGAGAGCGTGTTATCCATTCGCTGATGTTGCTCTTCAGATGGCAGCATAATGCTGGTCAAAAGCAAATACAGGCCATGAGTAAGATATACAGGGACTTTTTTGAGATATAGCCATTGCAAAAGGCACCTTCATGTGGTAAAACTCCCAAAAAAGTACTTGTGCTAATCAATTGCCCTTTCAGTTCCATGGCCTCCGTTTAAACAGCATCGCAACCATCATTGTCATCATCAGAAAGGCATTTGGTGAGTCAGCCAACAGCAGAGCCAAGATTGATTCAAACCCAGATTGTTTTTTCTGCTCAAATATTGGACAAATCTCGTCTTTTTTCGACTTGATTGAACTATTTTGTGAGATTCGACTATATAAACTGTGATGATCACTCTACGCTTCCTAATACATTCTTGAAGTACTTTTAAAGACGCCTCCAATGGTTTCAACTGTAATAAGTGTTTTGACTAAAATTATCGAGCAATTTAATAAAATATGAAATGAGATTTTTAGCGAAAATAGCCATATTTTGCATAGGAAAACCTCATAATAGTGGTTTCAGAAGTTGCTTTAGATTGAGAGAAACATTTTGATTTAATATATACCATAGTAAAAGTCTTCATTTTCAAGGTGAAAAATGCAATCGTTTGGTTTTTGGCAATGTTTTTTTGATCTCAAAAAATTTGAGCAAAGATGATAAGAAGTAACTGCTAGATGGGAGCAGTTGTGTGATCTTGCTCTGACGGTTTAAAACAACTTCTAACACGAGTAGTCGCGACTAATGCAGTAAATTTTCATTGTGGTTTGCACAGTTTCAAGTGATAAGAGGCAATACAAGTATGCTGTCTGCCTGTCTATGGTTTGTTCCCCATGATGCTACAGACGTGGATCATCGTAGGAGGCTCAGATCCACAGTTATGTAGGTCACTTACATATGGTTCATGCAGTAAAGAGGATCAATTGAAGCAATGCCATTCTTTCGAATTATATAAAGCTGAACGGTTCTTTAAGTACGCTGCTTTCCATCAAAATGGAAATGTTGTTGGCGCTGGGTATGGACTTCAAAAGTGATGATGCTAAAAAAAAAAAAAAAAAAAAAAAAAAAAAAAAAAAAGAGTAGAATAGGGAAGAGTTCCTACAAGTAGATCTCTATTTTGCGATCATCCGAAGCTTGGAAAAGATGCATCATGATCCACTTGACGGTTTCTAAATAGCAGATCCGGATTTTTTTGGTTGATGTATTGAAGTACGCACAAACCAGTCCATTCATTCTATCAGGAAAGGAATTTTAGCTGGGAAAGAATAGTTGAGTAAATGTGTATAAAGAGTAGAACAAGAAGATCTTTTTGCTTTCTTTTTTCTTCCCTCTCTTTTCACTCCATTATACACATACACTCACACACAGATGTCAGCCAACACTTTAGAACCTAGCGCCGGTAAGCGTATTGCACTTCCCGTACGTGTCGAACCCAAGGTGTTCTTTGCAAATGAACGTACATTTTTATCCTGGTTAAATTTCACTGTTGTTCTCGGTGGTTTGGCAATGGGTTTGTTGAATTTTGGTGACCGTATTGGACGCATGTCTGCTGTTTTATTCACTGTCATTGCTATGGGTGTCATGCTCTATGCTTTATATACCTTTCATTGGAGAGCTACCAAGATCAGAAACAGAGAAGCCGCTCCTTATGACGATCGTGTTGGTCCTACTGTCTTGTGTATCTTCTTATTAGCTGCTGTTTGTATCAACTTTTATTGTAAGTATCAGTATATTTTGGGCGGGGGAAAAAAAAGAAAGGGGGGTAGGGTAGAGCTTCATTGTTATGTTTATGTACAAACATGAGACAGTGCGATATCGTATACTGACACATCTGCCGTTTTATAGTACGAATGGGTAGCAAGCATTAAAATCGATATCACACCCATCATTATACACCCTTCTACTGGACACACTATTGAAAAATGTTCATTTTACACACAACATTCCTGCTTTTTTTTTTCTATTCTCTCCATTGTAATTCTTCCCTCTTTCTCGCTCTCTGTAATAAAATTGAATGGCATACGCCTCACTCTAATGCGATGAAATCAAATCTGAACAAAAAATAGATACAACGGACTTTAACCAGTCGATCCAATTAGGATTGTGCAAACATCCCCACGTGTGGTACTCTGTTAAACAAGAATGCCTCTGTATTCAGCTTTATCAAAAATGTTACTCAATTCAGGCCATTGAACTAGGAATCGATCCACAAATGGGTATAATAGTTTTCCAGTTACTGACAGGGATTCCACGCGAGCAAATGATTCGATGTAAATTATTTCCATCTTTTTGACGCCTAAAACCTAAAGAGAGATGTTAGATCTGATCGCATCATTCGGAGGAAATAGACACTCTACTCTAGGAATATAAGCTAGCATACAGATGGGTATACAGCTGCCAGGCCCATTGCAAACAATCTACAACGTGTCAGCATTGGAAATAGCACTCTTACATACGATATACCTACCAGATCCGGCCATGCTGTTACCATGACTTTGACAGATGCCACCAACGCAATCAACGCTGTAAGAGGGACCGTTGACCATGGTTGCCCCATCTCTCTTGCTCTTGGTATAGTGCATACTCTAAATTCATTCTATGCAACGTCTAGTTAGCGGTTGGAATCAGCGATTATTGTAAATGCGCATCATACTTGCTGCCCAGTTGATTGCTCGTATGCAATTGCTTTTTCTTCGCTCAGGATGTCTGTATTAGCGACAATGTAAGTTCTAGGGTAGTAATGGCTGGAGTTCAACGACTTCATTAGTTGTAGCATCTCTGCTGTATGTCCACCTAACACTTTTTTAACCCTTGCTGCCATCATCTGCCTCTATCAGTATTACCTGAACCCAAAAAGACGCATGTTTTGCATGGTTTAGTTCGCTTGTTTCTCTTTTGGACGCGGGCTCTGTCCCTCTTGGGAATGACAAGGTACACCCGTGTGATGGCCAGCACAAGCAATGCAACACTGATCAATATAATGTTCATCCAAGCAAGTTTATCAAAAGAAACACGAAAATGCAAAATCAAACTCACCCTGCTGACTTTATTCTGTCTGCTTTGTATTCAGCCATATCGATGGTAATAAAAGATCAATAGCATCTTTAATACTTGATTTCTATGATTATACATGCTGTTTTATTTAGTTTTCAATTTGCTTTTGCTCTTTGTTCTGTACAGATTTGAATTTAATCATTAATAATTCACCGACTTCGTTGATGTCCTGGATAGCTTTATCCAGGTCTTCTCTTGTATGAGCAGATGATAGACAGAAACGGGCTCTTGAACTGATGATAGGTGTGGCAGGATAGCCAACAACAACGACAGCAATGTTTCGCTTCAACATTTCCCGAGAGAAAGCACTATACAATGATAGGTTTAATATATTGAATCCAATGCAATAAACAGGTATCACTTACGAAATCTTAGCAGGATTGAACAGCAGTAATGGAATGACCGGGCTTCCTTCATCGCCATACACAATGAATCCCAACTTTCTTAGTGCTCTGGAGAAATAACGAGCATTATCGGCCAGCTGCTTGATGCGCTTCACGCCATCGTCTGTGCCATCTTCACCATTGATGACACTCATACTCGAGCTCACTTGAGCAATGACTGGCGGGGACATTGTTTCTGCGTATGAGAATGCATGGTTTTTCATCCTTAGATGGTCAATGACAGCCTGACGATATGAAACTTAGTACACATTACCCAACAACCGTATCTAATGACTCTTACCTTATCGCCAGCAATGTATCCGCCTGCAGCGCCAAATGACTTTGTGAATGTGCCCATCATAATATCGACATGTTTAGGGCTGATACCATAGAAATCACACACGCCGCCACCATTTTCACCCAGTGCACCGATGGAATGAGCTTCATCCACATAGAGGTAAAACTGAAATCATGAAAATCAGTGCACATGTCACATAATCGCACATGCAATTTATAAACCTTCTCACCTTGTAATCCCGCTTCAATTTGATCAACTCTGGTAGATTGACAATAGAACCTTCCATCGAATACAAACCTTCCACTATAACCACAATTTTCTTCCAAGGACGATGTGTTCTAGGCTGGCCTTGAGATATCACTTCACGCAACAAGTTCTTTAGATCAATCATGTTGTTATGCTTGAACACGCGCACTGAAGCACCAGAGAGACGGACACCAAAAATAATGGAACTGTGGTTCAATTCATCACTAATCACCAAGCAACCCTAAATGATCCATATATTAACATGGTGTGACAAAAGTTTTACCAGTGTCTTGATGATGGGAGGTAAGTTACCTTGCTAACAAGTGCTGGAATAGTGGTGGAATTAGTGGCAAATCCCATAGACACAATGATCGAATCTTCCTTGCCGACGAATTTGGCTACTTTTCTTTCCAGGTTGCGATGAATATCCAAGGTACCAGCTTCTAATCTCGTACTGGCACTGCTAGTACCATATTCTCTAACACACTCCTCTACCTGATCAGCACAATAGCCTTCATTCTGAGCAAATCCCAGATAGTTGTAAGATGAGAAATTGGTGGCCTCCAGCTTTCTTCCTGTCAATCTACGTGTTGAAGCGAGCGTGAGTTAACTTGTAGTACTTTATGGATGCATTGCTGATGTCTACCTGAATGTCATGTTGAAATCCTTTGACTCCCGTTCCAAAATAGTGATCTTTCTGCCAGGAACTGCAGTGGTAGGTCTGTTCCAACAATCTCTGCAATACGAATCAAAGTTCAGTAACAATGTCTGTATGTGAGCAGCCCATTGACACCTACCTGATACGTATATACATGCGTCGTGTGTAAAAAGAGTCGAAATCAGACACTAGAGGCGCATAACCCTAACCCATCACAGTGAGGATCAATGGCCATCCCGGATACATAACACCAGTACATACCTCGTTTGTACGCAGATGAGCATACTCCTTTCTCTTGAACATCTTTCCCATAATATCGCGGACATGCCCAAACAAGATCAGCACAAAATAATTGAGGTAGGTCGAGACCAAGACAAATAATGGAGCTGCCTCGATTTTCTGCTCGAAATCTTCGTATTTACGGTGTGCTGCAGCGATCGAATTTCGGCGCTGTGCAGGTGTCAATGAAGGCACCTTGATTTTGTCCCTGAAATCATCAGGGCTCAGGTCCTTTTGATAGTTTGGTGGTAAAGCGAGAGCGGGATGAGCTTTCACGGGGTAAGCTGAGGATACAGAATAAGCTCTTCGGGTACGTTTGACTAAATTTGAAAAGGAGAATGCTCTTTGCCGAGTGCTAGGTTGAATGCCATCAACAGATATAGTGGGGATTTGCTGCACATTCTCAACTGGTGGCGGCAGATCTGCTGCTGAAGGTGCTTGCTGTTGAGGCATTACAGAGTGTAAATGTGGAATAAAAGAGTTAAATGTATCAGAAAAAGGCGGAGGCAGAACAAGACATTTCCAACCTTCTTTTTTTTCCCTTAATTTCTTGGTCAATTTCTTGCCAATTAAAACTTTTTTTTTTTTTTTCTGTAAAAAGACTGTCTCAGAATGAAATTAGATGGATGTGGTAGATGTATAGTGAGCGATCCCAACATTGGTGCTTTACGGCTTGAATGAATCTGCAGGTGTTTATAGAAGCCAGGCATCGCTACATGGTATAGTTAGCAAATCGTCGTTGGGATACCAATGTGCTGAAAGTCAACAGCATTGGATCAACCTTGAGACAAGATGCCATGCACTTCTTGATCTCGAATCGGCAATATTGAACATTGCGATGCTGAAAAAAATGTATTTTAGGAGAACAGGAGACATAGCAAGTGTAGTATAGTAGCTGCTGGATTGATTGCATCTGCTGGATCTTCAAAATACTGCCATCCAATGTCAAAATGATCTACTATTAAAACCCACAACTTGAAGTAGTATGTATCGTTCTACTGATTCTTTGGCTCTTTAGGATTCCGATGCACTCTTTGCCTCAAATTAATGAGTAAGGATAATATAGGCAACTGGGTAAAACCTATTGCAAACATTTATTATTTTACAATTTTTGGAAACACATAGGCATGGCCTTAACCAAATCATCTTGGCCGACTCCAAAGGTGAAGTAAGTAGCTTGGTTTTTTATCTCGGGATCGTAAATTGTCTTGTATTCTCCTGCTGTTGATATATTGTGGCAAGTTGGAGTAAGGCTGATTGAGGGTCTGGTATGCCTACTTTTGCTATCAGTGCTTTCTTTTGGCTTTTTCTTCTCTAGAGGAAGGCTACAATGTGTTTGTCATGATGTGGATAACAGCATATGGGTTGGTATAAGGTGCTTTACGCATGGTTCCAGGTAGATGCCCGTGGTTGCTTTCTTCGTTAAGCCTTTGTCTGTTGGTTGATGATGAGGTTATGATTGCTAGCCTTCCTTCTTACATATCAAAAAAGTAAATGAAAAATCGATCCGAAGCAGGGCATTGGAATAGGAGAGACGTATTTTATATTTCGAGTTTGTTTGCAATCTTGCTGTTTTGGGAAGGAAATCCTCATGGTCTGGATGGAGCTGTAAAGATCAGAGTTCAAACAGGAGCAACCTATAGAGAGGACAATCATTTAGCATTGCTCATGAAGTATACAATTACAAAATACCAACGAGCAACCATCTTTTGCGGATGGGTCTACTATGGCAATTAAAAGAAATAATGCATAGTCAGACATGCAGTGTGGATTGGTACGAAATCAAAATGTGATGTGCAATATATTAGGTCTTCATCATATTAAACTTGATCATAAATCACTGTGTGAGTCAATGCAGGTCAATCAACTGTATCCAATGCCTAAGCCTATCATTTTCTTTTATACCATTGCATTCCCCAGGTTGATATGGCACAGTATGAGCTGAATAGGTCCATCTGATTGAGTCACAGTGCTCTACCAAGTGACGTAGATTTGAAGCCTACAAATTTACCGCAACTAGCATTTGAAAAAAAGTTTCTTTTTCTTTCTCTTAAATTCTGAAATAAAACAAAAAAACAGAAATCCTATACAAAATGGACGTTGACGTTGAAGCTATGCTTGATGCTCCCTACCAAGAAAAGAGGGTAAGTTTACTGGTAAATGCGGTTCAAAGAGGGCTTCCATCTGATAACATTTGACAGGAAGACCCACATGCCCCTTCTCACAGAGACCACAGAGACGATGAACGCCGGTAAGCTCATTTCTTTATACGATTGCATGCTATAGGTAACTCACACAATCTCATCTCTTACAGAAGCTCACGACACTCTGAACATCGCCATTCCTCCCGTTCCGACTCTCGTCATCGATCATCACACCACCGTTCTGATTCACGACACAGTAGCAGAAGATATCGTCGTTCTTCTCGATCTCCTAGTAGAGAAAGAAGACACCGACGTTCACCTTCTCGTGAGTATAAAAGAAGAAGTACTAGTAGACGACGCTCTAGAAGCCCTACTCGTAGAAGACGTAGTAGAAGCCCACCACCTCCTATTCACCACCATCATGATAGGTATAATGATAGAAGAAGAGGAAGAGGAGGAAGATCCCCTTCTCCACCTATCCCAGAGGAAGATAGAGACAGAAGAACAGTATTTGTCACTCAATTAGCTGCTCGTTTAACAACTCGTGAATTGGAAGACTTTTTCTCTCAAGCTGGTAGACTTCGTGAGGCCAAAATCATTACGGACCGCAACTCCAGAAAATCCAAAGGGTAAGTTATTGAAGCTTGTTTGGGGTTCGAGCGTATGCTAATGATTGCGAATTAGTGTGGGCTACGTAGAGTTTTACGAAGAGGTATCTGTACAAAACGCTTTAGCATTATCAGGACAAAAACTTTTAGGCATACCTGTCATGGTATCATTGTCAGAAGCCGAAAAGAACAGATTGGCCCTGCAAGCACAAAGAAACGCGTAAGTTTCTATCTCTCATCCAATGCCAAGCACGTCAATTGTACTCATGTATGTATGTATGTGTCTTTTTTTTTTTAGTATGGGATTATCGGCAGAGCCTACCTATCAAAGATTGTACGTCGGGTCACTTCACTTTAGTTTGACAGAAGATGATGTCCGTCAGATTTTTGAACCTTTTGGTGCTTTGGAATTTGTCAACCTTCATAAAGGTAAGATCACAGTGCAATTGTGTTGGCACTTCAACTAACATATGCTTGTATCGATAGATCCTGAAACAGGTCGTTCAAAGGGGTTTGGTTTCATTCAATACAAAAATGGGGAAGATGCTAAGCAAGCTTTAGAAAAGATGAATGGATTTGAATTGGCTGGCAGAAACGTATGTAGCTTGTGCATCTTGAAAGGAAAAAAAAACATGTTTTAATCAATGTCTTTTTTTTTTTTTTTTTTTTTTTTTTTTTTGTCTTTAGCTCAAAGTGGGTCTTGTCACTGAAAAGAACACATTAGCCAGCGGCCTCAATTACAACTTGGATGATGAAGGTTTGTTTGTAATGTTTTGATGAATTTTGAATTATTGACTAATGCGATGACTTAGAAACTGAGGGCGTTGCTTTGAACTCCATGTCAAGAGCTGAACTGATGGCCAAGCTAGCAGCCAGAGACCCTACCTCAGATCATGGTTCTCCTGTTCATGTTGCCGCACCCATTGCACCGTAAGTGTTCTCTCCCGAGTCAAATATCGTTTAGCGCTCATACTAAATATACTCTTTAGACCCAAGCCCTTCATCCCTGCTGCCGCTTCTCGTTATGTCATGTTGAACAACATGTTCAATCCTGCCGAGTAAATATTACACGTGAATACAAACACGATAACGACATCAAACTAACACACACTACGTTTCTAGGGAGACAGAGCCTGACTGGGTAAGCGACCTCGAATCTGATATTAAAATAGAATGTGAAAAGTACGGTGCTGTAGAACATATCAAAGTGAATGGTGATTCCATGGGCGAAGTATTCCTCAAGTTTGACAATATCGGATCAGCCGAAAAGGCAGTTGCTGCGTTGAATGGTAGATGGTTTGGTGGCAAACAAATCACGGCATCCTATGTCTCTGAAGCTATTTTCAATGCAAATGCTCTTTAAATCCCATTTCTCTTTCTCTTTTAGTTATATGTCGCATCTCAACAAGGCGCACCCACACACACATAGAGACTAGCGCACATACACACACACACACACACACACACACACACACACACATACATATATATATATATACATGTTTATCTCTCAAAAATTCTGTAGGTGTCAAAATACAACATTGTCGCTTGTAACAAAAATAAATAGGTTAATCAAAATTTTGTGAATTGAATTGATCTCTTTTTGCTTTCCTTATCTAGTGGAATGTAAGTGTCATCGTATCTGACTCTCTCTCTCTCTCTCTCTCCTTTGGACACTGGGAGTGTGTGTGTATGTATTTATGTAATCAGAATGAAGAAGGCAAGGGCTCCTTGAAGGTTAAATATATATATATACACACACACACAAACACACGTAACTTGGACAATTTGATACGAGAAAGCTATTAATTGATTGATATGAAATTAGGGGCTCTTTACCTGTTTATGCTTTGCATCAAAATGATAATTCTCTTGACATTTTACACACAATCAAGGAGAGGCCGTTTGACACTTGTACGGATGTTTCAATCACACAAAGTTTTATTAGTCGGTTTCTCCTTTTTACCTTTTTCTATAAAAACCTGAATCATGATCCGCTGTGGAGTTGTGAAGAATACCCCTATTCCTTCCCATTTCGAGTCAAGTGGGTTCAAAAAGGCTATTCTGATCTGGCTCGCAGTGGCATCATTTGGAATCACCTTGGGTACAATTAATTTGTGCTGTCTAAATGACAAGATTCACAGTTGCTAAAAAAAACACTATTAATTGCCATTAAAATCTCGTGGATTCTACGTTCATTTGTGCTTCCACATCTTACAAGACACTCCTTACGGCTATATCAATCCCCTTATATAACACATTCATATTATTTGTTTACCTGTTTATATAAACTTTAATCAAATGTCAGGTTATATAAAGCCCAGGTATTTTTTTTTCTTTGCTTACTGTTATTTCCTCTAATTGTTTCTTTGTTCTCTTACATAATCTCAAGAAAAATAGCATAGGTTGACCTACAGCTCCTACTTGGCATCACTCTCTTTTGTTTATATTATCTCATTAAAAGACGGCTTGCTCGTTTTCTATATATATATTACCTTTCCCATCATCCTTTCAAGTGGAATACCTGGCTTGCTGGTTATTTAAACATCTCATTGATTTATACACCTTCTTCTCCCTCTCTCTCTCTCTTCTTTCTTTCAGTATCTATGTTATCCATCTATTCAGGCATGAGTTACAACCTCAATCATCAAACTGCTCTTGATTGCTCGTCAACCAAAGATCACCCCTTGTACAATCCATTACCTTTACTGCCAAATGAACACTGCCCTTTACAACACACTGGCAGAAACAACTACATGCAGCAATCACAACCACAACCTCAAATGAACAATCAATCCATTGGCATGCCAATCATTGACAATTCATTTTATTATCCTCTCTACAGCACATTTACTCCTCCTCCTCCTCCACCACCACCACCACCTCCAGCTCCAGCTTCTTCTTCAGCCTCTGTCAACCACGCTCGTTTCTACCCTTCTCCAACTCCATCGTTCCATCAAACGCACCATTTCCATCAACATCAGCCAGCTACGCAACATGGCATCAACATGACAGTGTCTCCATTGTTAAATTCCTCGCATTCACCCTGCCAAATGTATGATAACTTTTTACCTAATGACTACTATATGATGCAACCCGGTAGACGCTCATCTGTCAACACATCACGCTCATCATCTCCTCAACAGCAAGATACCCTCCACTCCAGATCTGCAAGCCCAGTCAACAAGCGTTATAGCTGTCGTATTTGCAATAAGCGATTCACTCGTCCTAGTTCACTGACAACTCACATCTATAGCCACACAGGAGAGGTATGCTCATCATTGTCTAGTCGTAAGAGCATGATGCTGACCCATTTCTTGTAGAAACCCTTCAAATGTCCGGTTGCAGGATGTGGTCGCAACTTTTCTGTTGTCAGCAACTTGAGACGACATGCCAAAATCCACGGCAGTAACAATCATATCCTCAGCACCTCATCCTCTTCTTCCACAGCCTACTCATCCTACTCTCCTTAAAAAATCAGTTTGCTCCTCTCACTCCTTAACTCTCATGACTAACATTATATTTTGCCACACCATGAAATGACGCCTTCTCTCATCACAAAAACAGTTCTCTCCTTACAATTTCATGTCATTATTTGTCTTACAATGCAACACAAATAAGAAGAAAAAGTAGCAATCAAATAAAAATAGTTCTTTATACATAAAAAAAAAAAAATCAATGTGTCTAGCCGGTTTCCATGCGTTTTACGCCAAATCAGAGATTTGATTGGGAGGACACACATGCTTTGTAAAAGGGCTTTGGCTGTCGTTCTGAGAACGATGGATCTCGGGAATGCTAGCATATACGTTATTCATAGCTTTCAGTACAATTCTGCTAAAAAAAAAAAAAAAAAAAAAAAAAAAAAAAAAAAAAAAAAAAAAGCCATGCGTTTCGAATCACAGGTTGGCTCTCGCGACCTCATTTCATTCAGGTACACTTGCACCAAGCATTGCAAAAGCGTCACGAAAGATTGTCATCGACTCATCATGGCTGTAACCTGCACCGACCGCCTCTCTCGCTTTTTTACAAATACACTCATCATGTCTCTATTGCATATACGTCGTGTTATCTTTGCCCAGCAAAGTCCTATAGTGTATCGCCCCTATACAACGCTACCCGAAAAAGCACAAGAAAAGGCGTTGGCAGGCTATCGAAAGTATGCACAGCAATTCAAGAGCAAACCGGGATCTTACATGACAACATTTGCAATTTTACATGAATTGACAGCAGTTGCGCCTTTTCCATTTATATACTGGGCTTTGGATGCATCGTCCATCAAGATCCCATTTCCTGACACAGTGGTATCTGAAGGCAACCGGTTCATCAACAAGGCTCGTGTCTATTATGGGTACGAACCTTTAGAGCCTGAAAATAGGGTCATGATGAATTTGGTCACTACATATTGTATCGTCAAGGTAAATGGAAAAAAAATGCTTTATTCAACTCAATGCCATATCAACATCCATCTCTCTTTTAGGCATTACTACCAGTGCGAATTGCAGCATCTGTCGGCATGACGCCCTTCTTTGCTGAGAGATTCGTTGGGCCCATGGTGGCATTTGTACGCAAACGGTTCTAGAATAATAAATCCTCTTTGTCACCATCTCTTCCATTTGCCTTCACGGCATCTGCATCCATTCCTAATACGATAACGTTCTTCAATCTATCTAAGCGGTCTCTTTGAATTTGTAATAGCTCTTCCATATCCTCCTCATCAATAGCGCTGGTGGCCGACTCTTTAGCAGCGTTTTGAGATGATTGAGGTTGATCTGTTTCCATCATGTCTACACTCAAAGAAGCATCCATCTGAGACGATTCAAAATCCATGTCTGTATCCACATTCATGGTATCTGGAGGTGGCGCTTGCTCTGCTTTTTTTTGCTGCTGCCTCTCCTTTTCCAAATTGTCTGCTTTGATCTGTATCACTTTTTGTTGGTATTCTAGTTGCAAGACACGTTTGGATTGCTCCAGGATAAAGTAGATTTGATCGCACACGGTTTCAAAGTCTTCGCACTTTTCTATCAGCTTGTCGTTTAAGTGAGGTGGTGTCTGAAAAGCGGCTGCTTCAAATTTACTAGCAAACACTGGCTTAGATGTCTACACACGTAAGTTCAATGCTTCCATAGTGCTTACTTTTCTTTTGTTGCTGCAAAGTGATCGAGTATTCTGGCTGCTTGTTCAAGGATGTCCTGTTGATGTGGTGAGTATTCGCTATGGCCTCAATTATTCATAGACTCACGCACAGTTCCCAGCAGCTTTTGTAGTGTCATTATCTCATTGTGCAGAGGTCTCTGCGTTGTTGTTTGTACAGGCTGATAGCGAGGAGGCATTTTTTTTTGTGGTTTATATGAAAATGAGAGAAAGGGGAGAATCAAATGTCCCAAAAATTTATTCGAGTTTGTTATGTACAGCTGATGTTGATTTTGTCTTAATATTTACATTATCTATTCTGCAGAGGAATGTTGGAAGCAGCAATGGTGTCTAATGTAGAGATTTGGCCGAGGTCATCTTGAATCGCTGTCGATATGTTTGAGCTGTTGGCGGCCTGACTGGGCTGGATATCGTATATCTCTTCTGCAAATTTACGTCTGGCAATGTAACTACAGACCTGTCAGTAAGTGACATTAAGCATGTGATGCGATTTTGCTCTACCTTTTATTATGAGGCCTGCATAATATATGATACATGTTCTTGAATGGATTGCCAAAGTTGTACGGATGGTCCTCAAACGGCATGGATGCGAGATTGGATCGTAGCTAATATTTACAACCATGAGTTCTCCTTTACCACACCGAGGACTATAAATAACCAAGCACTAACCTGTTCGTGAGTTGTAACACCTCGCATGACCAGAAAGCAGTGGTAGCCCGTCAAACAACCCACTGGAATAAGAAAAAAAAAGCAGAATATGGCAATGAAGAAGCTAATCGGTGTATGCAACAATGACGCTTGGAACGATTCTTCGCTCGCTGCGTATACCAACAGCACATGTGTCAACGAGAACGCTATGGCATAACAACACAGGAGCACACAACTCACGATAAACGTAAAGAACGTCGTATAGTTTCGCTTGCCAACGCAATTATTGAGCCAAATACAGTGGTGGTCTTCATTTTCTATTCCACACACACACACACAAGGAGGTTAGCGCATGGTCCACGCCTACAAAGACTCCAAATTGGATTTACCTGCCTACACAATTATCGCATTGTCTACAATGACTAGCTCGAGGTGGTCGATAGATGCAACATGTTTCACAGTACTTGAGTCGAACTGGAACGCCTTTGATTATCACTTCCTTGGGTAGAGGAAAGCTGCTCACATCAGACATGGAAGAGTACCTGTATCCAAATCGATTGGGGTCGTTTTTGTGTGGGTTCATGCTCTTGATATCTAAATTACGAGGTATAATCTATGTCCATGGACATGAGTTCTTTTTCACAAATCAACAGCTGCACGACGCTACTCTACTTACGCCAGGATCCGTCCACGATGTCTTGAGCATCGAACTGAGTGTGATGCAAAAGATGTATGCAAAAACGATGGGCACAGCCGGCGAAATATGATACCATAACCAAGGACATCTGAGTAGTTTTATTAGCATACATAGTGAGCATTACAATAGTCGCTCTTACGTGAAAATGAGGAACAGGACCGAAGGCATAACCACCAGAAATAACGATATACAAAAAGCCCATAAGGCTGTACTCGTCAAAAATCTTCCTCCACAAAAGAATACCGTCTTTCCATCGTACATTTTGTAGTTTCGAGTGCTCAATTGACGTTTGCCTTGAATGATGCGAGGAGGCTCTATGGTTTGTTGTTGCTGTGTATGAGGTGTCCTATGTTGTAATTGTACATTGGAATGAATCGCTGGAGGAGGAAGTGGTGGGTTCGAGAGATCAAACTGCTCAAAGCTTTCCTCTTGAGTGGGCACATTTCCAAACCGAAACGAGTTCATATGATGAGGAAGCGAATGTGCTGGAGCCGCAGCTGAAGCATCTAGTAAGAATGGTAAAGGCAGTATCACCCTGTTTTCAGAATTCGGCTCTGACATGATGGTGGCTCTTGATGTGGTTCTTGTATATATATATATATATACAGTATCTGAATTGGTAAGAGTAATTGAAAGAAAGGGAAAAAGAAAGACAATCAGCAACCACGGATATTTTCTCTCCGCGAGATCACTGGCCATTGCACCACAACAATGCTATACAAACCCAAATTTGGGATACAATCAAACTTGACGTGAATGGACGTGAAGCAGGTGCTCGACTGTCATTTCCTCAGAATGACATACACAAGCAGCTCTGAAAGCACGCAATATATAAATATATATATATATACCAATAGACATTTTACCAGAAATGCTCATTAGGCAATCGCAAAATGAAGATGAAGGCCTATTCTCCACACTAATGAGGCCTTGAGCCAACATCATAGAAACTAGCTAGTTAAATGTTCATTCAAAAGACAACCTGCGTTGCAAGTTTTATTGCAAAGGGCACTTGAAAATGCATACTAGGATGATGATAAATGACTCTAATGAAAAGACGACGAAACGAGCAGGATCACCCACGCTAACCTGAGCCTTTATAGCTGAACTATCACTACAGCTCTAGAGATACTGATAATATCAACTCCAACGAGTAAAAAACGTGGACATTTCAAAACGAAAAAAGGCAAAATTGCAATACAAATACAAGTTTATTTATTCAAGCGTCATTAAAAGCACACAGAGGAAAAGCCATGTATCTGTAATAGAATAGTCATCAGTAAATGTTACAAAATGAATATCAGTAGAGAAAAAGAAATGTCAAGAAGAGAGAATTATAGTCAGGGTGTCAATTTGAATCATGTTTGGTAGTTCATTTGAAGAAATTCAACAAAAATACTTTTGCTAAAAGCATCATTTTATAATTCTCTCTCTCTCTCTCTCTCTCTCTCTCTCTCTCTGCTTTTAATCTCTTCCTGTATACGCTCTGCTCAACTTACCATGACAATCTTGTAGTTACAACAACAATAAAGAAGAAAACTCGGGAGATGGACATCTGGGCACCGTGGTTTAAATAGGCTTTGGAAAAAATTTTCTTGGTTACTTCAACAGTCCTCTGATGTGATTCCAACAGTCCTCTTTCATCCGCTTCAAATGTGTATCACGCTCATGTCTGCAAACACTCTTGCTATTGCCGCTTTCAATTTACTAGTCAAGTGCAATCGATACTGGATTATGACGACGTGCTATACATTTGAATGGCATATATACGAGGCGTCACGTTAAAGATGCATCATATTTATCCTGGTTGAATTACTGAAGATATACTTTATTAGATGTTACATTAATTGACACGATTCTTTCAGATAATGCCTATGATGATGGTGATGATGGTGATGATGATGCGGTTTTGTGTTGGCTGTCGTGGCCTTTGATTTGTCCTTGCCGTGCTTTTTATCGCAATTACAACGCTGCTCTTCTGTGTCTGTTTCGTACGTTGAAAAGGAATCTGTTGATTTGAGATCTTGCTTCATGTCAACACTTTCAGAATTGATTGAGGAGGAAGACGACAACACCATTGATCCCCTTCTATGATGGCATGTCTTATCCAGCTCATAAAAGATGATGTAGGCGTTTTCTGCAAGATCCTGGCAAATGCTTGATGAATTACTGCTCTTGATTTGTGTAACACGACTCGAAGCATTCATATCATCTAATTTCAACCAATAGAAAGTTGAATCATGGTTGTCCTGATCGTTTTCTTCCATGACTCTTGCGTAACTGATGTAATGACCAGCGTAAGGCGAATCACCCTTATGGCAGACAGCACTTTTGAAATGTAGCGTCCAGTTGATAAGATGACCACAGGTGGGACACATTGGGTCATCCACATTTTGATTCACAAATCTGTTGAAATCGATGGTAGGTGGAATGTCGACATGTGTCTTTATCTTGACCGAGCCGCCTGAGCTGTTGTAGCGATAACGCTTCAATACAATGGGTAAAATCATGTGTGTATCTGGAAACGAAGAGTCGACTTGCGTCTCGATGGCTCCGCCTTGTTCGTTGGAGGCAGTGTAGAACGGCAACAATTCCAGTACTTGCCAAGCAGTAACAGCCTGTTCATCCTTCATTCCATGTTTGCTGTTGGCCCTTTTCAATAGCTTCTTGAGGGTATATTTCTCGTCCTTTTCGCTCAGCTGTCTGTCATCCAGCATGGTTTGTAATGATGGGGAAGCAGCCACGTTTTCAGACACATCTTGTTCAACGTCATAATCTACTTGTCGTCTTACACCCGTGATAACGTTGTTATAGAAATAGTCTACTAATATGTCTTGCAGTTTAACCTCTTCTCTAGGTGCGTCATTATTATTGCTGCTGTTGTCAGGAATAGATAGGGTCAGGGTTCTGTCCGTCATGACTCGATCATCGTCTGTGTCCTTGTTGGCTCCATGAAATAATCTGATTTGAAACTATTAAAAAGCAATATATGTGAGTAAATGGTTGCACAAACCCAGATTCAAGCTTACTGGTAAATATGGTAAATCAAATGTTTCTGTAATAAACATAAAGAGCTCACTGGCATCCTCTTGCGTCCAATCACCATATTCATTTTGCCCGTTCCATTTAGCCTCTTTCATGACTTTTCTCAGCCAGTGGACGTAGTCTGCATTCACAAAATGGCCTTTCCTCAGCTTGTTGACAAACAGCCGCATCAGTGTCTGCAACTTGACCTTTTCCTCCTGGTCAGGAGGTATATCATACGTCAACAGCGGATCAAAGGTGGTGTTGGATATAAACATGGCGAACAAAAGAGCGTCAATGTAGCAAGATGTTCCGCCATCGTTTTCGGAACCGAGCAGCGGTTTATCAATGCTGTTGGGAGGCTCGACTAGAATGCCATGGGAGGCCTCTTCATAGTCAATTAGATCCGCTATGGACCTTTTGGAATCCCAATCATTGCTTTCCAGTATGCTTGCGAATATTTCATGATCCAGATTGACTGAGAAATTGTTGTGAGCATAACTAGAGAGTTGGGTAATCTTGTTGTTCTGCTCTGAAGTGCGCTTTTCTTTGGACGACATGTATTTTGATTTGCTGTTGTTGTTTGCCTTGTTGTAATGTGGAAAAACCAGCTTCCAGAAGCGATCCCTCTTTCTGTGGGCCTTTTTCTTCTTTTCCTCCTTGATGTCCATCTTTTTTTTTTTTAAGGGTTCAAATGATGGAAAGAAAGAGAATAAAAAAGGAAATCTGAAATCCCATGCTATTAAGACTTGAGATCGAAGTCACCACCAAAAGAAGGTGTGTAGAGTGCAAAGGCATAGTTTTAGGAAAAAGCTTAAATTATGATAGTATTTAATGTTACATTTAGTTTTTGAGAAAACAAAAAAAAAAAGGACGAATAAGGTTATCAAGAGGGAATAATACATAGCTAAGCTTCATTGTGGGCGGTTGAATTGGCAATGTTAGATTGCAGCTGTCTAATCTTTTCCTTGACCAAGTCCTCCCAGTTATTTTCTGATTTGTCAATCACGCAATGAGATGAGGCGTCTTCTTTGTCTTCAATCACAACATGATGCGGCTCATCCCACACTTCAATTCTGGGACTCAGTTTACTGTGGCCGAGATCAATGACTTCTTCGGTTGTTTTATGGTGTTCTCCGTGTGCTAGAGGCGGTAAATGGCTAAACATATTTCGAAGGGTGTCGTAGGTGCGCGAATTGCCCTCTTCATGTGCAGCGGCAGTGGGAGCAGCAGGCGGTTTAGCGCCAGTTGGGGACGAAGGAGATGTAATTTCAATGTTTGGTGAAGGCTGTTGTTGTTGTTGCTGTTGTTGTTGTTGTTGTTGTTGTTGTTCAGGAATCTCGTCTGTGCTTTCCTTGTGGCGTCTAAAGAGGTTTCTCAAACCACCAGCATTTGGCATATGTGATGGAGGCGGTGTGGTGACGATACCAACTTCTTCAATGTCATTGGCATCTGATGGCGATCTGCTTCTGTTCATCCAGCTTCTGAAACTAGACACGCTAGCTTCATTTCGTTCTGCATTAGTGCTTGATTGATGTGCTCCGCTTCCAGCTCTGGGATTTACAGGCTCTAAGAATCGTATACTCTGAGATTCGTTTGTTGCTGTAGCAGGTATATGGAGATGTTGAGGCTGAGCAGGTTTATCATCGTATCCGCCCACTTGAGTTTCATCTGATTCATCAGGTAAGAAGTCTTCTTCATTCAAGCCATCATCATCGTCTTCATCGTGCATATCAATTGCATAAATAGGCGTGGCATTAGGAGCAGCGGCAATAGTGTAATCATGTTGAATGGTGTTGGCCAATGTGTTGCGCTTCAATTGGGCCATGGCTTCAGCATGCTCATCTGTTTGAGCACGGACATCTTCTGATTTTCTAAGACTGATTTGCTGGCCAAATTGAAGCTTGGGCAGACGAAGGACCTGGCCGCTGCCTGTACTAGCAATGGACAATGTACGAGTACGAATACGCTTACCAATCTTGAACAGCGGAATAGTTGTGCCATGGACTAATGTGGACGATAACACAATAAACAGCACGACAGGACTAATGAGTTCTATGGTCAGTGGCTTCTCTTCTGTTTCGTGATAGATTTCAATCATCTCCTCCTTGGCCACCATGGACAAAAAGACGGCACCAACACCCATAGGGCCAAACCAGCCACTAAAGATGGCTTCTCTGTATGTTCTCATGGCAGGCATCACAGGCTTCAGGACAATCAGGATAGGCAAACGTCTGAATAGCAGGATTAAGATGGCAATTACGACCAGGCGCCATGGTGTCAAACCAAGAGCAGCATTACCAAAATCAGACCAAGGCTACATGGTGTGAAGATAGAAGGGTCAGAATGTCATGTACACATTTAAGGCGTTTTTGTTGTCTTACAATAATAGCCCCAATATAGACAAATACAGCTAAATTCAGCATCATATCAATGACTTCTTGGAAATGGGCTTCTTCTGTTTCTTGTCTGAACCAATCGTCCCATGAAAATGCATTACCAGCAACAAAACAAGCTAGTAAATCATCACTTCCAGAGAATCCAGTCATGCTCATCAGGAACAGCTACAAGGAATTAGCTTTCAGGTAACATGACAAGCATGTTAAACTACTTACGGCTAATGCAATTGCGAAACAAAGGAACGAAGGTTTATCGATCAAATGGCTAGACAAGGATGTCAGCATCATTTCTCGCACACATTCAACCCTGCATTGCACTTACTTTCTTTCAGACCACTGCAATATCTTTCTGGCCACCCATCCGACAATGAGTCCAATAACACAGGAGAGTGCGATTTGAAATAGCAAAGTGATATAGATCCATTTTCCAATTGCGGTTCCAACATTGGGTTCACTAATCAGAAACAGTGCAAGAAAAAGAAAGGGGAAACCCATACCATCATTGGCCCCACTATGAAAAATATTAAATTCAGGGGTTCACATTGTTGCAATATGTATGTATGTATGTATGTGTGTGTGCTGTTGTACCTTTCTGCGGACAATGCATTTCGAATATGAGCTGGCACATGCTTCTCGGCGAATCGGCCTTTGACGACTGAATTGGCCAAAATCTATGCTTGATGGATCAGAACAAGTGCAAGGTAAACGGCTCTATTCTACTTACTGGATCAGTGGGACAAACACAAGCTGCAATGACTAGAGCATGGAGCTAATCATCGAGCGGTTAGAGACAAAAAAAAAAACAGATGATCTGACTGCACATTGGACACTTACATAGTTAATTGGAGGAACCAACCACCAAATGAACAATCCACTGATGAGCCACATAAAGATCATAATGGGTAGCAACAGCATGAACATGGTCAGCCATTCTTTTTTCATGTAGTGTCTATTATAATATATGTAAATATTTTGATTCGAGTGATGTGTATGTGTGTGAAACATTACTTGGGTAAATCAATACCGACGGCCATTACCTAATGATGAAAAAATGTAAGCGATCGACCAATTGAGAAACTTCACTCTCTTATTTTCTGCTCACCTGAATTGCAAGAATGCATCTAGTCAATTCTTTTGTGATTTCATCAGCGTCTTCCCAGCTGTTTGGATCAAATCCATTTGACACTAATGGACCTGCAATGATACCCACAATTAGAGCGACAACTGGATGGTGAGGATATGTTAGCATCAGCCATCATTCAGCAAAAATAAAAAAAAAAGCTATCCCTACATGCTTCTGATAGAAAGCATCTTTCCTTGATAAACATGGACACATAACCAAAGAACACAATGAAGCCACTCAAAATGGCTATGGCAATGGTAAATGTCGAAAATTCCCCCGGTATAACATGTAAGGCACTCATCAATTTCTCAGGTTTCGATTTATCTAGTGCAATAAAGAGGGAGATGAGAGGGCTAAAAAAAAAGATAAATAGAAAAGAAAGAAGAACTAGAATCAAAAGAAAGAAAAAAAACTTGAAAAATAGGATTACAGACGTCTTGATGCTCGTCAATTCATGACGATTACAAAGTCAGATGTACGCTTTAACAAACGTGGATGAGGAATACGAGACGACTGTGTAACTACAGTTGGCATTCATGATGGCATACATGTTGTGGCAGATGGAGTCAAAGATAATTCACAAAAAACAGCGTCAAAATCATGTAGAATGGCATTGATTTCATACAGAAGAAGAAAGACATTTGATGCTTGATCCCTTTTGCTGTACCAATTTTTTCAATGGACGCCTAATCGGCTAGCAATGTCATGTGAAGCTGTGATTCATAACTCTGTTTTGTAAATTTGATTGCCCAATCCAATATAAAACAAGGTTGCTTTCTCGTCATTCTAAGTAGATCTGCAATATGTATCATAATAATATATAATTACAAGGTGCCTCCAACACCATAAGTAGTAAAAAAGAACCGCATGGTATCATTTTATCAGTTGCAAACTAAAATACGTCATTTCCATCGGATGTTTTGTCGGTAGCCTACTGTAACCTATTTTTCATGCTGAACAATCGCCTTATTTACCCTATCAATGCTGAGCTCCTGCCGGGGGGAAAAGCTTTCAACTTGGGGTCACCTGTCAAGCAAGGGATAAAAAAAAAAAAAGCAGTTCCCGAACATGGAGTATGCGTGAGTACGTGTGTCACCATATCAATACCCGGGCATTGCGATGACTACATGTACAATTTAAATATAGCGTTGTTGATTGATCATTAGTTGTATCGTAAATGCTCATGATTCTCTTCTAATATGTAATATTGAATGATTGGTTTGCATCCGGATATTCTCGAATATGTCAGTCTGCAGTATCAATCGGCTGCTATGCTGATTTGATTTCGGGTACCTGGTTGCTATGTGATCTACCGGATTTCGTTCTTGATCCAAGCACTGACTTTAAAACAAATTTTTGATGGATACGGTTTGATTTTCTTGCCATGCTATCTGGATGGGAGTACGGGAGGATCAATGAAGTTCAGGATAACTTTATTATAAGAGTAAAACTTCTAGTTTTGGAAAAACAAGCACCTTTGTCGCATGCTTACCTTCGGAAAGAGTGCCGTTCAACCTATTAGCATTACGACATCTGTGATGCTCAACTCTATTTCCTCATACATCTGTGCTTCCTTCTTGTCCCAAAGCTCTGTTTTATTCGACAAATAAACACGCATCAGCTGCATTGATCTATAAATCTAATCACCTATCAGATCTTGGCATTTTTTTTTACATATTTGTGCATTGGATATCGTAACACGTACTTCCAACATGTATTGAAAGGTTCCAGAACTATTCTAATGATTGAAGCAACAATTGAAGCATTCTAGTGTATGCACTTCTCAATTTTTCAAACACATAGAACAAGGCTGCATAAGGAAAAAGCCGGATTTATTTGATCTAGTATGTTTTATACAGCAACAGAGACATCAGCCATTCTAAAACTGGCATGTCATGAAACGTATACCTGTTGTTCAACAGAAAGAAGAGTAGTCTATAAGTCTAAAGGTGGTATATATATATATATATATCTTGTAGCAAAGAAATGTTTTGGAGTAATGATACAAAATTCACTGGAGTTAGATTATCAAAAAGTAAAGCGATTTAAATCCTTGTAGAGATTCGTCATGTTAATGTTTCCGGCATCACAGCTATTATTAAACTTGGGTACTAGTAACGGTCCATGTGGAGGCCATGAGACCAATTCTTGCAACGAAATACTGCCATTGTTGCTGTTACTGAAAGCAGAGGCTGGAGTATAGAGAGTATCATCATTTAGCCAGTTTGTAACTTGAATTAGATTATTTGCATCGGCAGGAAAAGGACCAGCAAAATCATGGACAAGCATGGAGTTGAGAGACGCATTAGATTGTTGCTGCTGCTGTTGCTGATACTGTTGCTGTTGCTTGCACTGACCATTGCCAAAATACTGCATATTGTGATCCAAAGAAGAGACCATATCCATATCTTTGCTAAAATTGTTCATATTTGCGTAGCTAAAATTGTTATATGCTTGAGTCCCTTCGTTGATTTGATTCCAACCCTTGTTGCTGTTGAAACCACTAGAAGTCAGGGAATTGCCAAATACTGTCTCAATATCGCCGGTTCTTACATTTTCGATGCCAATAGGTGTAAAAAACTGTTGATCCATACTAGCATTTTGACCAGAGATGGCAACATTTAAGATAGGAAGAATCAAATCCTCGGAAAAGAGAGCTGCCAGAGTGGGGTCAAGTGGAGGATATAACAAATCAGAATGCGAAGAACAACTACCGTTGGAATTTGTGGTGGTATTGGTAGTGGTAGAAGCGGTAGACAGAGGAGATGGCATACAGACTGGTGTCATTGGAAGAGGTGATGAGCATGATATGTCTGAACCAGTCAGAGATGTTGCTGAACAGGGCGAAGGCAATGGTGGCGTAATGACATGTCGTTCTACATAGTAACGAGTGCCTGGCATACGAAGATGCATGCGAGCAACACCAAAGTAGACTCTTGCTTTGTAAGGTTTTGGTAAATTAGTGTCTTCCACTTCAATGTAATAGCTTGTGCTTCTTTTTTTTCGTTGACTGTAAGCTGCTTCAATCTTGTCATGATTCTCCTCTTGGAATTCCGTGAATAAGGTGTTTTCCAACATGAAGCCCCAGATCACCTTGCACTTTTTCAATGCTCTTGAGCGATTTGTACCAAGATTTGTTCTGATTCTCATTATAAAATATCAATGGGAATGAAAGATGTATGTAGAAAGATATAATGGCATAGATCGACAATCGCAATCCTTATATACCTTTTCAATGGATTTATGGCGCCCTGTGGATCGCCTGCCCTATCACATTTCTTTTCGCGTAATCCAGGGCTCAAAATGAACGAGGTAGCAATTCCACAGCAACCGCTTGTTTTTGGTTGTCGCTTTCCTCCTTAAAAAAAATCAAGTATTAAAAGTTGCGCATCAACCCCCTCCCCTCCCCCCAAAATACCCCAACAATTCTAGGCTTCTTTTGCTTCTTTGTGAATGGTCTGTGGGTTAAAATGGTTCAAGAAAAAAAAAAGAACACAACATTTTATGCCATATTGGTAGCGAAACTTTTCCGTCAAGTCTGCATGGATTACAATGTTGCCAATATTGTTTTTATTATGCACACCTACTGCCTTTGGCAATAATATCAAAATTAAAAGTGTTAATTTAACAACAATAAAATGAGTACAGACAAAGATCATTTATGTATGTAATATGAGATGCTATTATGTAAAGCTGATAAGGGTCAACATCAATGTGAAAAGCAAAAACGTCTCCTGATGCTTAATCGATAGAGCCAACCCTATCTGTGATTTATCTGTTGGATCACACCTTGCATCTGTTTCTATCTCATTGATCATCATCTTGGAATGTTAGCATCATTTGAGCCATAATAAAATACAGTTGTACATTGATTAGCGCAACGAAAAGAACCCCACCAGTTTTTTTTCCCCTTCTTCAAATGACCAATTGAGAAGAACAGGAACTGATTACTGTGTGCTGATGCTAGTACCTGCATCCAAGCTAAAATTAAGTGGTCTTGTGCTGATCATACAGCCATATTAATGGTAAGGCTTTTTCTTTCTATTTTCTTGGTAACAAATAAATCTTCACATTTCAATTATAGATAAACAGGTTTCCATGTATGTCATGTCTCGAATGGTTCATCATCATCATCACTCTCTCATACGCTCAGACGAGCTTTAACCAAACGCTATAAAATAGCTCGTATAATTAACATGCATGAGATCTCGAACCTATCAAAAGTCTATACTTTGTGTATTTTGTTTATTGACATAAACAGAATATACTGTCATAAAGAGGCAGTGTCATACCATGCTATGCTCTGAATGAGAACTCTGTCAACACTATGCTGTCTATTCTAAATTTACATCGACATCAGATGCACGCTTAGCTGTTTGTCCATTACAAATATGTACATTCCCCGAGATGTCCGCGCGACCATTCACCCTGGGTATGTAGCTCTTTGGTCATTTTTACTCTTCTCACGAAAAGATTGAGAGCTATGACCCTAATATCGCTGTATTTTTTACATGATAGAAGAAAAAGACCTTGTAGCTTACCAGGTAAATGCGGTGAATGTACCAAGTTTATTTCAACATTTGCTTTCATAACGACCATAGGAATACTTTGAGCATAATACAAGCTTCTGTCTTGATTTAAGATTGATCAACATACAGCATAAAAACTTGGGCTCAACTATTTGCATTGACTTGAGAAACTCTCGTCATGGCATGCAAAAATGCTCTTGAAGACTTGCATCCTGCTCAGATCAACAATGAACACCACATCATGTGCTGCTTCATCTAGTTGGTTTCATGAAAAGAGATGTTGAAAAGATTTGGAAAAAGAAGTTCAAATGAATGATCAGCATTACAAATTCATTATTGTCATAGTAATTACTTTGACCAGTGTAGGATCAATTCTGCATTGGATTTAGTAGTCCATTGCCTATATAAAGCATTTCCGCCATCTAGTGAATTATAAACGTAGCTTTGTATTCTAAAAACTTTACGTTTGACACGATGAACTTGAACAGATGCTAAAATACGTCTTCTTGGCGTCAAGTATCAGACCACCAGCATTTATAGTGGGCTGGCATTAAGAAGACACACTATCGCTTGCAGGAGGTTGACATTCAAATGACTTTTTCTCTTGGATGAGCTGATTGAGATAGTTCTACTGTATTGTATTTTAATTCTGATATTTATTGCTAATAAAATGTAGATTTGACATTATGAAATATGGGCAGTATATTTGCAGCAACACCAGTCTTTGATTTCCTGTTTCCTAAACTGCTGGTATCTCGGATATGCCGGCCTGATATTCATAATTCTATCAAACACCTAGCAGTAGTAATTATTTAGTATACATACAATCCTGCTTGATTTTATCACTGCATACTTTGTTTCCGTATTTGGTTTCAATCTGAAAGTCCAAATTCATTCAGTACAGATTATATACGTATAGATGTATCTCTGCCTTAATATAACTTGTCTTTGCAATTTGAGTGCAACAAACTGTAGTTAAAAGCACAATCCTTTATTATTTTCAGAGACAACAAAGAGTGTACGTCAGAACCCTTAAATGGTTCGATCAGCAGAGGCCACTCACGGTCAAATTTGACAGGTTTGAAGCCTCAACATCTTGAGATATATACCTTTCTAAACCACCTGAATGACGCCAAATGCTTGTACTCGAGTAGACGCAACTTCCTGGCACCTTTGCTCAACTTTTTGGCGACCCAAAAAAAAAACGGCCAAAAATCGACCAAAAACCATGAGGGGTACCTCATGATTTTCATCGAAAATCAAACGATCACGTTTTTTTTTTACCTTGAAAATGAAAACTTTTACTATGGTATATTGAATCAAAATATTTCTATAGATCTAACGTAGCCCCTGAAATCACTTTTGTGAGGCTTTCATATGTAAAATCTATACATTTTTGCCCAAATCCTCATTTCAAATTTTATTAAATTGCTCAATAAGTTCAGTCAAAGTATTTATTACAATTAGTACCATTAGAAGCGCCTTGAAAAGCACTTCAAGGATGTATTAGGAAACGTAGGGTGATCATCACAGTTTATATAATCGAATCTCACAGAATAGTTCAATCAAGTCGAAAAAAAGACGAGATTTGGCCAATATTTGAACAGAAAAAAAAACAATCTGGGTTTGAATCAATTTTGGCTCTGCTGTTGGCTGACCCACCAAATGCCTTTCTGATGATGACAATGATGGTTGCGATGCTGTTTAAACGGAGGCCATGGAACCGAAAGGATAATTGATTAGCACAAATACTTTTTTGGGAGTTTTACCACATGAAGGTGTCTTTTGCAATGGCTATATCTCAAAAAAGTCCCTGTATATCTTACTCATGGCCTGTATTTGCTTTTGACCAGCTTTATGCTGCCATCTGAAGAGCAACATCAGCGAATGGTATGACAATTCTGCTACCAAAAAATACGACACAAACGGAGAATGTAGTATACAAATGCTGCATAAAGCTTGAACTCTCTTTCACATCGTTTCAATAATAGCTTCCGTTGATATCAGTGTATAAGCAAAGGGAGGAGGATGCAGGGAGAAATACCTGCTTCCCTTTCTGACTCTCATATAACCTTCTTTTATTATTGATATATTGTTTAAAGTCTACTTAAATAGCAGGTTTATATTGTCTCTGATTTGAAATGCCTTCGGCGAGAGCCCGCAGCTCGACGCCGCCATCGAGCATAGTGAGGTTGATCGGCTAGTACCATTGATACCGCAATATTTCAAAATACGAGGTGATACATTTGGCACGAAGCAAGCAATATGTAGTCGATTTTAATGCGATACAAATTAATGAGAATATCAAAACAGTGTTTACTCTTTTCCAGACAGTGTGTTGAGTTTATTGAAAAAGAGTGTATGTATCTTTTGAAAGGCCAAGCCATAGTACACAGCGTATTAAGCAATAATTGTACGTTGCATTTAGCCCAGCCCATTTAAAGGACAATACTAACTTAATAGATCAAGGTCGGTTTGCGCCTGAACATGTAAGTTCATTGAATGTCTTGTTTACGTCGTGGGAAGTGACATATAAGAGGACACTAAAGCAGTTGATCCCAAAGCAATGCCATATAATCCCTTTTGAGTGTGAGCTGCGGGTGATGATGTCAAGCGCTGATACTCTATTGTCACGATTCTATTATGATCTGTATTTTCTTTCGTATCCAAGAAGTTTTGAAAGAAAATAGCCATTCTGACCACATAGAGAGAAAAGCTCACGCTAAGAATTTATTCAATCGTGCACCATGTTAGAAGTTTAATAGTTATCAGCCCATCCTCACCCTCATCGTCATTCTTATCGTCATTCTCGACTTCGCTTTTATCCTCACATTCGCCGCCTTCCTCGTCTTTTTTATCATGCCATTACCATGCTCAGCGTTACAATCCGCATTGCATTTGCCATAATCCTATACACCATATTCTCTGTCATCTTCATGATCGCTACCATCAATTTTATTGCCTTTCTTTTTATGGTTATAATGATCATCACCTCCACACATAGGAATTGCTCCATCATACTCATAGCATTGACCGCACTTGTATGATACTGGATCTACGTGGTGATGTTAATTGGATATTGTAATAAATAGCTCTGAGAGACTCGTTGCGGATTAGTCAAAAATAAAATGGCCTACTTGAATCTGCGGGTAACCTACGAGTTAAGCTTGATGAACTCTCGCCAACTTCATTACCACTACCAGAGGCGGCAGTAATGACACTGATATTTCATATCCTACTTGTGTAAATAAAGGATTGCTGATCAATCGCTTCTTGGTAGGTCATCCATTTGAAATGTATCCGTCTTCAGATCATGCCTCATGCCTCATTCCCATATCCCATTCCATCGTTTTAAGCACACCGATAATGAAAGGCTTGAGTATATTGAATATCATATGCATATAATACAGTAGTAGAGCAGCCTAAGCAAAAAGACAACAATACTGTATATGAAATACCCAAATTGGTGAAGACCATTTGATTTCCTGTCTATGAGACAGTCCAGTATGACTTGTAAACATATTGATTTGTGGCAGAGACTATACCTTGAAATCATTGCTCGCGCACCTTTTTCTCTAGTTCTTACACTTTTCTCTTTTTCATCTCTTTTGAATTCTCTTT